CCAGTCAACATTTAAAACCTTATTTTAACCATTAGATTTCAGTTTCTTTGTCTTTATTTTCTTAAATTCTATTCGCAAGTGTCCAAATCGTAGACTGTACATAAAGATGGATGATGCATCTCCACTTCCTAACAAAACCAGAAATAAAGCCAAAATATCCCAAATACAAATGCTGACATTTTGTGCATGTGGAGCCAAAGTCTGCGCAGTATGCACATGCTTGACCAATCAAAAGTCCATCTCAGCTGTCAATCATGACAATTTATCAGAAAAATTAACACTCAAACTAACATCAGTGTGATCACAACTAAAATGACAGAGACCATCTCTAAGAAAAACGAGTGCTTAAACTTTTTAGTTTGGTTCATATCCCATCGACTAACATGAAGGATGAAGGATTTATGACCTATACTGCAGCCAGCCACCAGGAGGCATTGTGGCTTCACTTTGGGAGCAGTCATGTCATCCATCTTTATTTAAAGTATGAATCAAACTTAGTAACATTAGCAAGATTCATTCCCCTACATCCTTAATTCTACCATAAGTCACAAGGATAGCAGTACAAGTCCAAACACACACACACACACATAAACACACAGTGCGAAGTCGCCTGCCACGGCATCAGAGCGTGCAGGCCGTTCAGCCGTCTGCCATCTCCAGCAACATAAACATAAAAGTAAAATAGTGGGTCCTGTGTTATAGAGGAACAGAACACACTGTCGCCTCCAGACATCCAGTCCTCGAGGACGTGCAGACGGACTGACGGTGGTGCCCCGAGGAAACTCCACCCCCTTTGGCACAACAGAGGGGAGGACAGGATTGTCAAGTCACACTGCATGTGTAGAAAGGGATGACTGTCTGTTACGGCTTAGAGATACTAACAAGCTGGAGATCTACACACAGAGCAAGAACAAATCACTACATCCACACACTAAACATACAGTGGTGTGATTTATATTCATCACAGCATCTGCGGGGCATTTGGAGAGGGGCGACTGCAGCGGTTTGGTAAACAGCTCCTGGTCTATTCTCTGACATACAGCCTCCTATTCTACAATGGTTCCAGTCGTGCTCAGCTAACTACTGACTCTGCCTTCAGGTTTATTTTGCCAAACTCACACCATGGCATAGGTCCTATAGAGGGAGGGTCTTGTGGAGATTTTGCAGCATGAAGAAATAATGTCCATTTACTGTATGTAGTCATTGTGAATGACCACCTTTGGTTCACTATATCTGCAGCTTGAGAAAAGCTGACACTTATTTAGTCAGTGCAACTAGTCATCGCTTTGAGTGACCGGTGGCGGATCTAGGATTTTCCTAAATCAAGGGCCATAAGGGGCCAAGTATCTTTCCAACATTCATGCACAATTCGCCTTTCATTTAAGTCATTCCTTGTTTACGGTCAGCTCTATTGCTTTTAGCAAACCCTAACATCACTGAATATATTAAGAAAATTGTTCAAGCACATTGTGAAAAGCTTGCAAACCATTTATTGTCAGTAGAGTTCATAAGTGACTATTTATTTGTTAAAAAGTCTACTGACAGGACAGAGGCAAAGACATATAAATACATACATATACAAATATATACAGATATACAAGTACAAATAAATACATGATTACATGTATTGAACAAGTAATTAAATAAATATATGTAGAAACACAGAAATAGCCTTCTTTATTGCAATGTATCAAACTATTCACCTCTGCATTTATTTATGTATTTATTAATTTTGTCATATTTTCTTGTTGCTCAACTTTAAAAGCATTTCATTTTTGTCACCACTTTTTTAAAATTAAAATGCAGAAACTAACGTTTTTTATTCAAGCAACTTTGAGAGAAAAATGCTGAAATCCTTTCTTTAATGACATTTTGAATCGTTATTTTGTTGCTCACATTTGGATTCAGAACAGGTCCCTGTTTGCTTCAGGTTTTGCTCTGTTTTTATTTCACATCTTTAAAAAAAACAGCATACCATTCATAAAACCTGAAAACATTAATTCTAACCCAAAATTACTTTTCAGCAGCAGAAATCATAATGTTGTTTCATTTTTAATGGGTTCACAGCAAAAGCTAACACCCAGCTCCTCTGGCCGCCTGTGAGGAAACAATGACGGCGTGTTAACCTTTAAATCAGCTGAGTTGGCTGACCTTTTGAATTGTGCAAGAGTTACATGGAACCACTTAGCATGAAGTGTTGTGAATTAGTCTTTCTACTTTTTTATTCTGTCGACAGTTGTCTCTTTTCAAGAAAACTGTGCATCACGCTCTTTTTTTCCCCTTACCCCAAAGCTTCTCTATATACAGAGAAAATAATACAGAACCGTCCAGCGCCCACATGAGAGTCAGGGAAAGGGGCTTTATGAAGGAAAAGCAGAACTAGCAAAACTCATACTGGAGAAAAGCAGCTTATCTTTTTTTCTACTTCTTTCTCCCTCACTCTTCTTATTTCCCACTCATTCTCCCCCCTCGTTTCCATGGCAGTGTTGTGTTTGCATGAGCACCTGACTCACGGCAGCTCTCGGGGCTGTGGGGGAGTTATCAGTGAGCCAAGCCAGATGCCCTCTCTCCGGGTCTGTACTGTACCACTTCCCACACAAACCGTCCACTGGACTCCTGGGTTCCTGACACGGTTGCACCATAGAGCCACATCGCTTGTTGTCTTCTCTTTTTCACTGAGTTGAGAATAAAAGAGACCAGAGGTGTCTTGACTAGACCTCTGTGTACCTCACAGGTCAATGACTTCATGGATAAAACGGACATCAACAATGTCTCTGTTGCTTTTTTTCCTCCTGAACCCTTTGGTTCAACATTCACCAGCATAAGTACGATGCCTTTTTACTTAATTATTATTTTAGCGGTTATTAAAAGAAAAAAATCTGCATTTGATTTGATATTCCAATGTTAGCGTGCAGCCTATATAATTTCATCTGGTTATCTATCAGAGGATCATCACTTCAAAAGTAGGAAACAAATGCTTCAAAGTAAGAAGCTGTAGTGGCTATGTGTGGGGAGCAGATGTGGTAATGAGATATACTGTAATGAGAATCACGTTGTCGAGCTGCAGCCTGCATGAGGCCGCTCTTACACAGTGGCACTGCAATCATCACGGTGCATGCATTTTTCTGTGAAATAGCTGATTTGTAAAATCGGAACCAGAGCATGCTGGAGTCACAGTTTTGTAGGGGTCAGACTGAAAGATCAAAGCTATGCATTTCAAATAAATCGTATTGTTTAGAGCAGCTACATGGGCTCATATGGCCACAACAACATGCATAGAAGAGCTTGTGTGGGGCTCAGTTGGTACAGCACAGCATGATCACCAGGGTTAGTGGCTTAATTCACGCAGGAGCTACCCGTGCTAAAAGTGAATGCACGCACGGCACTGTGCTTTGGTTCAGAGCACTGTACAGTACGTCCTGCAGCACTCACTCATGCACGCTCCAGACTTCAGGGTTCGAAGGTATGCTGGTTCTCCTGAAAAGTCTGACCTGGTTTCTCAGTTGTCACACAAACAGGCCACTATGTAACTCCCTGCTATGTGAGGGAACGTGTGCACGAGCTATCAAGCATGACATGACGACACTTCCCTTGACTTGTTGGGAAAACAAATGTATATCAACAGTGAGGCTAGTTTTGATTTAAAAAAAAGGAGATACATCTTTTGGAGAGATACTACGAGTTCATGGACATTTGCGTTCTCACATACAGCCTTTCTGAGAATTTTAGGAAAATGTCTGGAGTTTGATGCATCTGTGAAAGCAGCTTGATTAGAATCATGTGCACATACTGTGAATGACTTATTTAAGCTTGTAGGCTTCTCTTTAAACATGTTTAAGAGCATGAGGAGGTGTTGAATAAGGATGGTTTCACTCTAACAGACATATCCCCCTCCACACGTAATGAATGGCTCTCAGAGCTGAGATGATGAGCTTTAAGTGGGCTGAAAAGGATGTTGTGTTTGCTGTCAGCCTGGCTCTCTGTGGCAAAATCAGTTTGCACCAATAACTGAGAACTCCGGTGAACTGAACGAGAGGGCAGGCGTGGTGGTCTCTGCTGCAAAGAGGATAGCTCTCTGTATCAGCCACACGCAGGAAAAACACACAGATTTAGACAAAACAATCATGCAGCTGAGCAAATGTACCTCAGCAAAAGTAGTACACTGCATTAAAAACCTCCCTTTATGAGTTCTGCTACTTTACTTTTGGCACAGTGCATCTTATATAAAGTACAAAAGTAGCTTTTCTTATAGTCTGACCTTGTGGAGAAGGTCTACATCACTATTCAACAGATACACACTCACACCAAAATACCAGGACTGTGCTACAATAAGGAACAGCCGAAGTGGGAGTTGCTGCTGTTGTTGTTATTACACCTTCTACTGAGAGAAATATGATTGCAAGCACAACAAATGTCGACTGTCACTCTGATCTCGGCTGATGATGATGCTGCACCATCACATGAGTAAGCCTGAGTCTTCAAATGCCAAGGGCACAACTCCATTCACGTCACCACTAATAACAAAGACTTGCGTGTGCATAAGCTAGAAACCATCATTAACATCTGTCGCTAAGTGGCAAATGTATGTTAGTCAGTCTCATTATAAGCACTGTGAAATGTTCTGGACATCCAGATGTTTCATCTACTCCCTCGCACATGTGCTGGTGCTGGTTTTGCTGTTCCCATCACCCCAGGCACTTTGAGATGGGCTGCTGCATGACTGCACCATGTGCAGTGCAGTAAAGCACAGACTGTACAGCATCAATGCAACAGAGGCTCTCTGCCATCTAGTGGTGGACAGTGTTATTGCCAAACAAATAACAGCTCAATGCAGGTTCACTCAGGTCGACTCATTAAAGTGCAGTTATTCCCATAAAGCAGATTCATGAGCCTGCTCAATAATTCACTCGAACATAAATGCGTTGACAGTCATTATATGGGTTGGGCGATAATAGAGGGACTGTAAAAAACAATGACATCACACCGATTTTTATTTTAATTAAAAATTTATTTCATTCTTTACAATAAAAAATCCAGTTATTTGCATCTGGACATTTCTTAATAAATTAAAAAAATGAATGATAATCTTATCTAATAATTGTCAAAAATACTCATTGTATTTCCAGTCAGAGAAAGTCACATGAATTACATCCACGTAACTGTGGGAATCAGGGTTTAGCAGGTTTCATTTTCAACTAAAATGTACATTGAAAAGGTTCACGACAAAAATAACCCCTTAGATTCAAACACACCCGATGTTTTTTTTGTTTTTTTGTTTTTGTTTTTTTTTTATCAGTAAAATAGAATTTGAGCTCAGAAACGTATCATGTGTTAAAATTAAACATGAAATAAAAACCACTGTACGTGTACAAAAAATGTATCTGTGCTGGTTCTTTTAACAGCTCACTGATGTGCAAGACACAAGAAACCACCACCCAATACCCACACCAACTCCCATCTGAGATATACTGTAGATCTGAAATGCTTGATGCTCCATTTCTGCGCTGTGACATTTATAATAATCTCTGACTCTCCCATGAGATCATGTGGCCCTAAAAACATGAAAAGCACTGGAATTATCCAACATCCAATGAAATCAGACATCGTACTGTTTTTGTTGAAGGCGTCTGGTGGCTTTGAGCCATGTATTGGCTGTAACTGGTCACATGAGGATGTCATTCTTAAAGAAAAAGGTTTGGAATCTTATCCATGATGTTGTCAGATGCTTGTAAAATAACAATCTGAACCTGTCAGTGGCAAAAACAAGAACTTTTAGTGCCTTGATGTGGACAAACAGGCCATTTTGTTACACTGCAGCAGCTTTAATGCACCAGTGTCCCTCTGCACAAGGCACATTACGATCCCAGATGATCCTCAATAAAGTCACATAAAATGACTTGTTTTTGATTAAATCAAACTGAAAATGTGTGTGTGTGTGTGTGTGTGTGTGTGTGTGTGTGTGTGTGTGTGTGTATTATAAATGTGGGTGCAGGTAGAAAATAGCTCCTGAATCCTCCAATCTTTTTAAGGCATCAGATTCGTGATTGAGGTCGTGGTAAGAATTCTGCAGTGGAGAGAAAGAGAAGCGTCACAAGTGAAAAAACAGAAAGCATGTTTCACTTCCAAGATTGTAGACGACAGATACCCACCTTCATAGACTTCATGGTGTCGTATCCGTAATAGTGGATAGGCTGCTTTTGGCTGTTTGATTTAGGGTATCCAAACCCAGCAATATGGACCACATCACAGTAGTTTAGGGCAACAAACACGGCGAGGATGCCCGTGGTCGGATGCACCGGGTTCTGTAACACATAAAACTCAATGACAGCTCACTGCGCACAATCTGTGTCGCCAGGAAAATCTGTTAAAGCTCTATGTGCATGATTTGAAAATCCCACTGTAATGGTGGCATCAAAACAAGACGCTGGGGAACTAACAGCTGCAAAGAATGAGCCGACAGTATCACAAAGACTGCATCAAATTGACTGGATATGTTGTCATATTTCTACAGAGAAATAAAAAAGGTCATAACATTAGAATCATGTTCAAAAAAATCCAGTAAAGTTTGAAAAGTAAGAAAAACAAAGTTGAATTAAGCCTTTTATTAACATGCTTGCTATTAAGTATATTGTGTTGTTAAATAAAAGTAGGGGTGAAATGTACATGCGTGGTAAATGTAATGTAATAAAAAGATGTTGAATTTTGCATCTGCTGTGTTGTGGCAGCTAGAACTGCCTGCATATAGCCTTTTATAACTGGACTTTCATTTCACCACTAGATGGTAGTAGAGTGCAACAGAGACTTGCCTCACTACACATGAACTTCATCAACTCAAAGTGCAGTTCTGTCTCTGCTCACTGGGAAGTTGTGTTGTTTCTACAGTTCTTGCAGACATCTTCATCCCACACAGCCATTCTGCCTAATAAAAGCTGAGTGATATGAGCTTTTGAACAGAACAGAACTGCAGCATCGTCTCACTCTGCAACATGGGTGTGTGACAGCAGCTTCATCACTACCTGAGTGCACACACTGCTGAAGAAAAGCACTCGAGATGCCAGTTACAACTTCAGACCAGACTCGCACTCAACACATTTGGTCAAAACACTTGAGACGACGGTTCACCTTCAGCTGAAATATGTCCTCTGAAAAATTTAAGAGCACAGAGGTAAAGTGCTTGATGAAAGTGGATGTTAAATGCAGGAGAACATACTCTGGATGCCAGTACAACATAATCTAATGTCCCTTTGGCCTTGGGGGTTTTAGGTGTCCGCTGCGAACCACAACACACCAAGTTCAAATCCATTTATAGAAACTCGATCCACCTTACTTCCCCTTCGTTTCGTGTCATCCCACTACTGTCGCTGATCCACCTACAGCACTAAAAAGCTACAGAAACTTGAATTCTTCAATACATTTTCAGGCTTATCTGTAATTTATCAGACATAATTGTTTCCAGAGGCTACAGTCACCAAACCAAATAAATTGCGTGCATGTGTTGAAACGATTTCAAGGCACCTGTCATTGTGTTCAAATTATTTCAGAGCCTAGCTCCTGAAAGTGTGCGTCCTCAACAGTGATACGATCAGCTGACTCTGATTCATTCATTCCAGAAATAAAGTGACGGCATTTGTTGGATAATAAATGTATCCATCCATTATCAGCGAAGAATGTCTCTAAAACAGATAATAAGAGATTTGTTCACATACTTCAGGTATTAGGAGTATTATAGGATTCAGTGAGGAGCTCCAAGAACGTTGGATTGATGCTGAGAGAACTGCACATCTGGATTGTGACCTTTTCTCTCCTCATTCTGGATTTATTTTTTATATTCTAAAAAAAAGGAATGACTTGTGTGAGGGGAATTCAGTGGTAAGAGAATAAACTTGCCAAAGTCTAAGAACGGGGTTGAATATTTATCATCACGTCCACCGAGGAGGTTATGTTTGTTAGTTTGTCTTTTTGTAAGCAGGAGTACACAAAAAGTCCTGAACCTATTTGCATAACATTTTGGTGTGTATCTGCTTGAAGGTGCAGGATCCAGGAAGTCTTTCTCACTTTCATCAATAGTATGTGTGAGAAAATAAGAGGAACATATTTTCATCAACAAGGTGCATCGTGTGTTGTGGCCACAAAGATCATATGGAGATCAGAAACTAGGTCACGGGTTCCCCAGCTCATCAGGAGCGATGGGATGCACCTGGGTTCTGGGAGGGTTTATAAGGAGGTGTGGTTTCCTTGTGCATTTGGTTGTTTGCTGTCAGAGGGTCAACACCTTCAGTTGACCCTCTCAGTTTGTGTTGTTGATTTTGTGTCATTGATTTTGTAGTGTTGGTTTTGTGTTGTTGGTTTTGCTTAATCTAAGAGTTTTTCATGTGCCTATTTTATTTACACCCCCCTCTCTGTGTCTCTCACTATATTTTAGTTTGGGTTAAATTCTTCTATTATTCTATCCTATCCTGTGTATTTGATAGATTAATGGGTGACAGTTGGGAACTATATTCTCACCGTTACCTTTGAGAATCCAAGGACCCATGTTGTTAGTTTTGTTGCAGGGCTTAGTGTTTTTTTAGTTTCCCCAACAGCGGCCCCTGTGGTCAGGATTTGTTGTTCTTGGGGGGAGAAACATAACACTTGATTTAAAGGTTCAGCATGTAGAATTGAGTGACATCTAGTGGTGAAGTTAAATGTTGCAGCTTAATACCCCTCACTTCACCCTTCCCTCCCAAACATGAAAGAGAACCTGTGGTAGCCTTCAGTTGTCATAAAAACTCAAATGGGTATTAGTTTGTCCAGTCGGGGCTACTGTCAAAAAAACATGGCGGCCTCTCTGGATGTAAATATAAAGTATTTAAATAAAATGGCTCATTCAAGTGTACAGAAAACAACAATTTGTACAATTTAGATGATGAACACTAGTGAGAACATCAGTAGGATTATTTTACACACTGGACCTTTATTTATATATATATATATATATATAATTGTTTGAACTTGAAACACTGGACCTTTTTAAAAACATATACATTTAGAATATATAATTGTGGATTGTTTGATCTTGATAGAGGTATGCAGTCAACTGAGTGTCACTATCATAGACAGACTATAGATAAAGCTGGACGACATGACAACTGTCTGTAGTATCTCATAAATCCTGCCTCAGCCAAGTTAATGGATGGGACATGGACTTAACTAAAAAGTCAAATAAATTTTGACTAGTGCTGCAAAGAACAAAAAGGCAAATTAACTCCTGTGGTTGGATTCCAGCGAGGGACCTTTGTTGCATCTTTTACACGTTTTTCTGCCTCTATGTCAAAAGGCTTTTCTTATTTTTTAAGAGAAGATGACAGTGTCCTGAGTAGTTCTACATAAAACAAACCTTTGCCCTAAAAGTGTTACAACACATCTTTCAGCAGTTTTCCTGCTTGTCATTTGTGATCAGCCTTTCTGGAAAATAAAATAGCATTAAGGGATGTTATCAGACCCCATCCTCATCTTTTGGCCTGTTTTGGGAAAGAAACAAGAAAAGGCACTAATGTGAGGATTAATGGGCTGAGACGTGTTTGTTGTGTCGTCCCTGGCGGGCTCATGTACTGTGTGCACTGATTTCCCGGTGGTACCTCCTGTTCCACATATGACTGTAAATGATTATCCATGTTCACAGAGGCAAGAGGGACAATCACTTCTACATGACCTGGAGATAGAAGACGCTTTCTCTTTCCGTCCCGCTGTATACTTTTAACAGCCTCTTCATATCTCTCTCCTCTGCAGCTCTCCATGTTATCATCAAGTTTCCTCTACTCGAGCACCGAGAACATTTCTACTTTCCACTTTTATCACTGGTGCGTGCGCCAGAGTGATACAAGAGCTTACTTCTCATATTTCCTCCAGCTGAAGTGCCTAAACAATTGACTGTTAACAAAAATTAATGTCCTTTGTTAATTTGATTCAGATAAAATTATGGGGGAAACAATATGCATATCTTAACCATATTTTATTGTTTTATGCCCATGGAAAAATACTGCTGTAGAAAGTTGCATGTGACAGGGCAGAAGTTTCTCCAAAGCAAATAGATGTTTCTTTTCCTCATTCTTATTCTTTTTTTATTTCAAATATCATTTTGGAGCATGTTTGCCTGTATTGATTGGACAGGGATTTGGGAGAGAGACACGCAGGAAAGACCAACACTAACAGGTGAGCAAGCAGGTGCATTTTAAATCCTGTCCAGTTTTCTTGGCGGTTAGGTCCCTCTCAGATTGGATCTCTGTTTTGTTTTTTTAGGGTTATCTTGTGCTCATGAGTGTGTTCTGTTCTGACATGCACCTATTTGCATCTGTCTTGCTCAATGCTGCTTTTGTACAGTTGCCAAAATAATCTCCACTTCAATGTTCAGGCAAACTACAACTATTACCAAACTTAGAAGGTCTGTGCGATCAAAGCAGAGTGTATTTAAAGCTGCTTTCATACATACACCGAATTCAGGATATGTTGCTTAAAATTTTGTAGCTGTTTATATGAGAATGAAAATGTCCTAGTTAATTGCTCCATTTTTCGCAACTTTTTGCCAGCTCCCGAGTAAGATGTCCAGAAAATGTCCAAGTGAGAATACAGCGAGTGGGTGCATTGATGTTTCTGACATGTAATGGACACAAAACTGAAAAAAAGATTTCACTTGATAGACACTAACGGAGATGTCAACTTGGAAAGACGGCGAGATTTGAGAGATTTTGAAGATGAAGGCCGACTCCTGTTAAGTCTAGACATGTCTGATAAGAGATGCATGAAAGAAGGAGCTGTAGTGATACAGATCACTCTGACTTGCTTTTGCACGGATCACGACCATCGTTTTTTTTGTTCTTTAACTCAGAAACTGATGGGCACCCCGCGATGGGACACAGCTGACATTCTTTGTGTATTAACCCCACGTGGTCACAGCACACGGGTGAACATGCGAGCTTTGCACCAGCCCGGTGCATAGTTTGGATGCAGGCCCGAGGAGCCTTGGTGAGAGAGGAGGGGTGGCTGCGTGCTATCACCGCTGTGAGTCAGACCTACAAGAGCTCAGCACAAGAATGTGTTTGGGGAGACAAGTGTGAACAAAAAAGCATTACGTGTGAGTACATGTGAGACTGTAATGTTGGGTGCAAACAAAGAGGGGAAGGAAAGGGAAAGTTTGTCCTTGTCTATCTGGCAGAGCTAAGGGAGGGTGTGGTGAGTGCAGAGCTGCTTCAGTCCGGAGCTCAGCTGGTTTTTAGTGGACTACTCTAGTGCCCAATCTGAACCTGGATGTTTGATTGGCCTGTGGTAGATGTTGGTTCTAGCTTTCTTTCTGAATCTGTAAAAGTATAAGCAGTAATTGAGCCGCGGAGAGCAAAGAGCTGCTGAAGGACTCAGTCCACAGAACCATTTAGCTGCACCACCACTGCTGCACAAAGAGCTGTTCACCAAGCTGTTAACGACGTTCAGTGACGCTCGACTCACACAGAACTGGAGGATCAGTTGTCCTGAATGTGCCTGTTGCCTATGAACTTATGATGTAACCAAATCACACTCATTGCGACACTGCACTTTCTAGGTCCGTTAATGATTCACATGCCGATAAGTTGACATGTTCTCAAGATATTCAAACAGACTAACAGAGATTTCTGGAATATGAGGAATACCTGAGGATAGGGAAAAGAGACAGGAGAGGCTAGGGTGTAATTAAAGGGGGGATGGGGGGGTTGTCATTTCTGTGATAATCAAAGCCAGCCTGTCAATCCCATAATAATCATATTTCAAACTGAATTGAAATTATGAGCTGTTATAAGTGGTTGGTTTTCTCAATTGAATTTATATTGCCGAAATGTAGCTGCTTTGGCTACTATGAGTATTATCTGGCAAGTATGGTGTATAAATAGTGATTATGTCTAAAGGATATTGTGTGATTATGCACTGGTGTGAAATAATAGTTATTTGACCTCAACCTCCCAAATGTTCAACGCAGAGTTATAAAGAAGAGGACTGACGATGAGATACAATGGGTTCAATGAGGTAAATCTAGGTTTTCTAATGTGTCCAACAAGTTGGCTAAAAATAAAATAAGCTAAATTCAAAGTTTAAAAAAAAGGAATACATATTTGCAGCCCTGAATGCAGCTTCAGATGTTTTAACACTGATAAAACAAGCAGAACTGCCTGTTGCTCCATCTTTTATCTCCTCCTGCCCACTTTGCTCTTCCCCTGACCTCGTCCTTCCATGCAGCCTGTGCAGATGGTGCAGAGCTCCAGTGGGGCCAGCCCGCTGCTCGCCTGTAGGATCACCGCCTTCCCACTGCTCGCTCCTCTAACGCACCAGCCAGTTGTGTTTGTACTGCGGTCCAAAAAGGGTAAAACACCTCCCCCTCCTCCCGTGACTCTTTAACAAAACGGGCTCAAGAAAAGGAGAACAAGCAGAACCAAAAACAAAACTTAGGCTCAGGAACACGTCAGAGCTGATCCCCACCAAACACACAACAAGCCCCACTTGGCAGATGGGAAGCAATGAGCCAATAAAAACTCCATTCTACATTAGTAATGGTCCAAGTCAAAATCCCAGGGCACTTCAAAATCCTAACGCCTCAGCCAAAGAGGGAGTGAGTTAAGGCCCAATTTGTTTTACAAAAACATATCAATGGTACACTGCAAAGAAAAAGTAATGAGTCATGTTTTCTCATTGCACAATCACTGCTCCATAATTAAGTTCTGTGTGTGGATGTTTCTTCTTGTGGTTTGGTGTGTTTTGAGTTAAGTGTCCTGTCTTTGCTTTGTAGAAGATTGAAGATCAACACATATCTCAAACAAATAAAAGAAGTTAGGCCTTCGAAACTTTAAAAATTTACCTCATGTTATGTAATATTTGAAATTGTCATGGTAACTTCAGTTTTGGTAACTTCGAATCTGTAATTATAAAGCGAAAGGTTTAAAATTAATGAATTCTGATTGTGTGTATTCTTTCGTTCAGGAGTGTGGGGAAAACAGTTTTCACTGTAAAACCTTATTTACTATAAATAATATAGTTATCCTAACCATTTATATTTTATAGTTGTAAATAAACTATGCATGTGATACACCATGACCATCCTAATGCACTGCAGACCACTTGTGGTTTGTTGTATTTTGCTTATTTTCTTGTCTTTGCTCTACTTTGTCTTTTACGTTCATCTTTATTTAAGTGAGTCATCTACTTGATGAATATAAACTGATACAAAATCTGGAAACTGTCCTGAACAGCTCTGCCGAGAGGGAACACTGGGAGTTGTCCTTAGTCTAAAAAAAAAAGTGGGTCTAGTTGAAATGTATACAATATTTTGGCTGCCTTTCAAAAGCCAATTATTTCACAGGGGATTCGCTGTACAGCCTGGAAGACACGAGGAGCTTATCTATAATGAGATGCCAGAATGCCAAGCAGAAGCTAATCTTCATCGTGTTTTGCAGTAATTGGACCCACAAACTCGTTGTTGACCCGACTGCATTTCAAGAAAACTGCCTCTTCCAGTAAACTGTTCATCACAGCACTCAAGACGTATCACTCAAGGAGCTGTGGCTAATCAGTGGACGCTCCGTCCCGACTTGTTAACATTCATGTGGGAAGCACCAAGGAGCGAAAGGAAAAAATAGTGAGAATTGGAACAAACAGGAGGGTTCTGGAGGGAAAACTGTGGATGTGGATGCCAAAAATGGTCAAAGTAAATGAGCTGCAACAGACAGACGCATCACCACCTCAGTTTTAGATCATCAGTTCTGGACTGATGAAGTTAGAGATTTAAATGGTCTGGTTATAGATGGGGACATAAATATAATCAAAACTTCTGCAGTGGCAATATTCTTATAACAGTGACATGCAAGCAATCTCTCACCTGCTTAGTCTTGGGGTGAAGGGGGATCTGAAGCAGTCTCTCTGCAGTCTTGTGCAGAAAGTGGGGGTCCAGCACTCTGATTTTACTGGTGTCGCCCAACCAGATTTGGGGAGGGGGCTTCCAAAAGCCTTTTCTGACCTGGGAATGTTCACATGAACAATAGAGCAAAGATAAGAGGCAGGATGTTGTGTCACATGAAATGAACAAAAGGACAGAGCAAGAGGAAAATATTGTTCGGGTCAGTCCACTGACTTCGTTTAGACAAAAAGAGATGCAGTTAAACCTATGACTCCATGTCTCAAGGCAACTGAATTGATGTGCAAATTAGCGGGTAATGACCCTGCAACTATTAGCAGCAGGAGCCTGGAGGCGCCTGGAGCAACAGCGTCTGCAATGGAAACTACATTTAACTCTAAAGGACCTTTCACGTATTTGTTCCTGATATGGATGGCTGGCAAGGTTTAGGAGAGGACTGTGGTTATGTGAGGGAGAGACAGTGAAAGGAGAAGTATGTGTGTGTGTCTGTGTGAGAGAGAGTGCATTCTCACACATATCCTGTACCCTCTTCTCATTATAGAGGATTTCTTTGAGCCACCGCAGGTCTTGCTGTTTGAAAGGCACAAGGACCATGAGCGTGTTGGGCTCGTTGTGCAGTCCAGGGTTGTAGGAGGCTGACTCGGGATAGAATAACCTCATGGTGGTCTTGTTCCCCACATCCTCCTCATATCCTCTCACCGGGGCATCATTTAACCTGAGGCAGGGACATGACACTACATTCAGCGAGAAGTTTTTAAAGTTTGTTTTATGAAGTATTTCGGGCCATTCTAACGTTGCACTTTCCACCTATTGTAGGGATTCTGGAAATGTGACTCCAGCTATTTAACGCAATAACCAGTGTGAGCCTCCTAAATCTTTACAATTGAATGAGCAATAATTATTTTTAACATTATACTTGTCACTGGAAAGTAGACATAAAAACAAACCCCTTTGACATTTGTAAAAACATAAAAATCCAGTCCAGGAACAGTATGTTTCCCATGCTTAGTTTTAATTGGACAGTTATGGAGGCACCAGCCAATCAACTGCACAGGTGTTAGCCAATCATCATCATCATGGTTGGCATGTTGAGGAGCTGCTAAGTTGGACACAATGTAAGTCGACAGCAGCGGTTAGAGAGAAAAAAGTTGAACAAATGACTTTAAAAGAGATTGTTTGTGAACACAAACTAAGGTAGGAATATGCCTGGGCCGCAGGGCTTGTTAGTTTTCATTGAAGCTGTGTTTTTTTGGATGCAAACGTCATCGTAACTGTTAAAATCATGAAAGATTCAGTGTTGTGAGTGCTGATATGCCTCAGAACATGGAGAGTAAATCTTAGGAACATGCTTTATTTTTTAAGAAACAATGAATGAAATGCTTGGAGAAGATGATAGCAAGCTAGCATCATATTCAGGCTGTTGAAGCCATAGACTGTAAATGAAGATGGACAACACATTTCCACTTTCTCTCACTATCCAGAAAAGAAACATCGCGGATACGAACGCAACGCCTGAAGTGTAAAACATTAAATCACCAGGATCTTTTTGTCCTCTGGTCCCACTCTTTCCACATATGTCCCGGGTCATGGCTCACTGTCCAGCATGCCTTAAGGTGATAATGTAAAGAAAAACTTCTCAGACTCTGTGTTCGACTGTCGAGTTCTTATAACTAGATACTGTATGTGCTTCATTCTTTATTACTTCGAACAAATTCTTGACACAACCACATCATAACTCCTTCCTCAAACACAGTTGCTCAGACTGAGCTTTGGTTGAATGATTAGTCTGCACTTTGGAAACTTATGTCTCAACAGGCTCTAACAGAGTCTAGCTGTGTTTCTATGACAGGAACAGCCCAGTGACGTCAAACTACCAGGCATGTATTGAATTCTAGATGTCAATAACCACATGGCCAGAGAACGATTAGCTCCCGAGATGAGAAGGGAGAGATGTGAGGGAGGAAGGGGACGGGGGAAGGGCGGTAGAGGAAGGGGGAGATGCATTGTGGCCAGGCCAAATTCCTGCTGTTTGAAAGAGGCTTATAAAAACTCAGAATGCATGTGTTCATTCCAAGTCTGTAAAGTCAGATGCTCTACAGTGCCTTTGTCCTTGAGTAAACTAGATGTTTTCTTTCTTACTTTTTAAAGAACTCAATTTGACCTAGAGGTTTGCTAATTGCCAGCAGGAGCGGCTCGATGTCAGGGTCAGATGGTCACATGGATACTGGTCATCATTGGGCTGCAGCCAAATGAATTGATAAACTGCATTGACCTCGCGTAGTGGGGAACAACACATTCACTTTTTAGGGTCATATCTGTTTCCAATTTATCACCAAGTATCCTCAGACATGACGGTAGTTGTGGAGAGATTGAACTGTTTGCAGTTTATTATTCTAAATTTGATTGACTCTGTTTGTAACTGTATGACAATATGGTACAGTCAGCCCAATAAGTCATGCTTACCCATATGCTATTTTATTTAACTCCTCTCTATGTTCTCTTCAGAGTGAGAGAGTGTAATGGCACAAAATACTGTCATGTGGTTGTTTCTTACCGAATGACGACGTCGTATTTGTTGATGATGCTTCCCAATGAGCTGTTTTTAATAGCAAAGCTATTACCGATGACTACACAGGTTCTGCATTCAAGCCTGAACAACACAAACATACACACAGTTTAAATGTACCACTTTAATGTTCATCAATCCGCCCAACTGCACTGGAAAAACTGTATATTCTTTGATATAGAAACAAATACAAGTTGTTAGGCCTCGGAAACTTTCTAATCGTCAGCCTTCCGTGTAATACTTGAACTTTTGCCGACAATGCAGCTAAAGGTCAGTTAGTCCTGTAACGTATAACTTAAATATCTTATTACGAATTGAAAAAAGTATAGGTAACTTTTGTTTTCTTAATTTAAGAATATATAAAAATAATGTGCTAGGAGGGCACAGAACAGTATACTACCATCCTCGTACACTGCAAAACATTTTTTTCTTATTGCACAATCCCTTTTCCTCAAATAAGTTCAGTGTGCTGGTTTATGCTTTTCTTTCCCACTTATGGTTTGTTGTATGTTTGATGATTTTTTTTTTCTTAGCTCTGTTTTGTCCTTTACTTTCATTTTCATTCATCTGAGTAACAAAATCTACTTGATGAAGATAAAGTGAGACAAAATCTGGACACTGTCCTGATCAGCGAGCACATGGGAAATGTCCTGAATCTAAAAACAGAGCGTCTGGTTGAAATTTATACAATATTTTGGCTGCCCTTCAAAAGCCAATTATTTCACAGGGGATTCACTGTGCAGCCTGGAAGACACGAGGAGCTTATTTAGTAATGACAATGCCAAGCAGAAGCTAATCTTCATCGTGTTTTGCAGCGATTGAACCCACAAATTCTCAGTTGACCCGGCTGCATATCAAGACAATGCCTCTTCCAGTAAACTGTTTATCGCAGCACTCAAGACGTATCACTCAAGGAGCTGTGGCTAATCAGCAGATTGCAAGAAAACATTTCTACTGTATTTGCACAAACATGTTGCTGTGAGATAGGGACTCTGATGAGCAGGAGTTTGACCCAAGTTGACATTTGAGACTTTGGATGCTAATCTGTGTTTTCATTTGATTGGAAACTTGGTCTGCTGACCATGACTTTTGATTGGTTGTTTGGTTTGATGCACTGCATTTCGTTGCTATGTACGTGTGACATGCAATGACAAAGTTTAATCTAATCTAATGGCTTCAGTTGGTGGTGGATAGGGCAAGACGTTTTAACATGTAATCAAACCACACTCCTCCCTATAATTGTTTTTAGATTATTTTACAACATTATGTGCCTGACTGTGCAAGGTAAACAATAAAAAACCATAATGAATAGAGGTCTGTTCTTCAAACGCTGCCTGTGACCATCTTATGTAATGAACTTGAGTCACCAGGGTCGTATTGAGGAATGCAGTTCAAGCTTATTGTGACTACTGGCAGGACAGCAAAAGCTGCCATGAGGGATAAAGCTTGACACAATAATACATTTAGAACAATGTGAGCTCACTAAAACGCAGAATTAAAAGTGGATAGAGCAAAACAGATTTGAGTTACTTTAACGCAGACTATCACTCAGTGGAGTACACACCTCTGAAAGGACCAAACAGTTTTTTATTTGTATCAGTCCCCTTGATATGCCTGATTATTGTCATTAAGATCCATGATCATGACCCATACAGCATCCGTCCACCTTCCAAGTTTCAAGGTTATCTATCCAGTAATTTTCTACAAACAAAAACCTCTAGCTCTAGTTCCTCTAGCTTCCTCTAGTAGACTCAGACAACTACGCTGTCACGAGGACAGATTCAGGAAGTCTTCTTGCTATCTGCCATCAGGTTCTATAATAACTAACAATTATAACAACTGACTGTTTAACTCAACTACATTAGTCTCCTATTCCCATCTGCATTTTAAATTTAATTTATTCGCTGCTATTTATAATGACTGGTATTCAGTAGCAGTAAATGTTATTTTTGCAGACTGTATATAGTAGCTAGTATCTTTTGCACATCACTGTATCACTTATTACTTGCACTGTTTTATCACTTTATGGCTTTACCACATCTACTCTTACGCTGTTTTATGTTTTTATGTTCTTATACTTCTTGATTATTGAAACATTCAACTAGTCTCCTCTGTTTTAACTTTGCCTCAATTTAGCTCTGTCTGAACAACTCAGTCACCGTCCTACATGTATGCTCTTCTATGTAAAAAAAAAAGAAAAGAAAAAAAGAATTGTACTTATTGCACTTGTCTGTACTACTGGAACACAAGAATGTATATCTATCTATCTATCTAATTAACAGCAGTTAAAAAAAAGTTTGGGTAAACTTAAAAGAGGTCACGTATTAGAATTTAGTTGAGTTGTCCATAGTCACACTGGCCACTGTATTGGTGGACCATCAAATAAATCCAATAACGTTTTACTCACCCTGTCCTTCTCTGTGTACAGACTGCAATGATATCATGAATATGCGAATTAGCGTGTTTTCTTATCATCTTGCAATATTTAGCAACTGAATGAGCCGGATTTATCTTCTTTTAGGTTGAAACTAGTTCATTACAGATATTCCACAATAGTTTCAACTACATCCTCAATTTCACACAGTGACCATACAACAGAAAGAAAACGACAAACCTCTGGACACATAACTGGCCATTTACACCAACATCTATAATCCACGAAAGACTCCTGAACATATTGTATATTACACAGAATTTGGGAAAATTGCACAATCACCCAAATGTTATCTTTATATTGTACATTTAGAAAAAACGCCTTGAATCTAATATTCTGCTGCTTCCCTGTGCTGCGTATTCATTATTTGAGCAAAACCTGATTGTGCTTTCTTGACTGCCGTGAGAACAGGCTTGTTAAATGTGGCTTCATTCAAGTACCCACAATGACCGTTAAGAAGTCATGTTGGACTAAAAATGTGTGTAGTACAGCACAATGGCAGAAGTAAGTAAAAGATATAAGATACAAATTGCTTAAATAGAAACATTGGTTCCTGCAATAAAACCTGATCACTGTGTTGTGGCTAATGTGTGTTCACACTTACTTCTCAATGTGGGCTGGCACCTGATAACTTGCAGTTACAGCAAGTACTTTCAGCAGCAGCAGCTCTGGGAAAGTGAGAGAACAGCCGTTAAACAAGAGGTGCAGTGTGTTGAAAACTAAATATATTATTAAAAACCAACGATGGAGGTTTTTGTGACCTTCTTATGCCATGTGATTTCATGACAGTAAAGCATCAAAGGTTTTATTGTTTGGTTATGAATTAAATTTAAAAGTATTTAAAAAAAAAAAAAAAAAGAGTTTTGTTTGGTAAAAATTGGTATATATATGTGTGAGACATTGTGCGGTGTGTGTGTGGTTAATGTAAAGTCGACATACCACTGCCCTTAATGCCATAAGGTAATGCCAGCTGAGACAGATGCTCCCGCCAGAAGAAATCCTCCAGTTTCAGAAAGAGCTGCGTTTGTCTGCTAATGCTGCATGAGAAATGTCAGAGCAGCCATTACAACATCGCACTGCAGAGCCCAGGGTTCCACTGCATGGACAAATTACAGGAGGGTTTGTGGCTGAGAGGGGATTGGAGGAGATGAATGAGGCGTGAGACGACGAGGATGAAGAGCACTGCTTATTTTTTTGGCGATAATAGAGCTGCACAATGGACAATATCAACTGTTCTGCCAAAGAGGAAAACTGCATGATGTGCTTGACTGGTGCATTAACTTTGCCAAATGCTCTGGTATCTATTAAGCAGGTAAACCAGACTCATTACAAGCAAAGTAGCCATTTACATGATGTCACTGGACTGAAATTTGCCTCGTTAAAAATCCTCTGCTAGCGATTCTAAGCTGAGGAGGGGGAAAAGGAAAACAAAAACACTCACAGAGCCTGTGGAGTAAGAGACAAATGTGGCAGGTTGTAATATATGAAACAATCGCTTCTCTGTGTCCATTGGCTTCAGACTTCAGCTGCTTATGACCCACTGTCTTTGACAGTGAGTCTCTGAGACATTTATTACCCATGTGTGCCAGCTCACTCTCCGCAGGGGATCAGGATAAAACTCCAGGGACGGGTTTAATTAGAGAAATGTCACTGTGATTGCCTGGAAGGCCTCGCTGTAACTGTAATGACTGATGTGAAAATCCAAGAGCAACCAAGCAGCAGCCTATCATGCAAATCATGTTCTGTTGCGGGGGTAAACACAGGGATTATGAATGTGGAGCGTTCTGGGGGTTAACGGGCAGGCAGCGGAAGGTCTGCTGGGCTGAAGAAATAAACTGTGACCCTGGAGGAGGTTGGGACAAGCCACAGATGGAGACTATATTGCTATTAGGTAAGAGAGGAGGGAGCCCACAAAAACACCAGTAAATATACAGCTGGATAAACTGATAACAGAGCAAGAGGCTTTGGAACAATGATTGTACTTAAGAAGGCAGAACCTGAGGAAAAAACAAGTTGTCTTTATCAAGAGCTCTTTCTTATTCTCAGCCAATACTGGGTTTTATACTGACTTCAACCATTTTAAGGCATTCTTCTTGAGTTACTGAAACTTGATGTAATGATTAAGATGGAAAAATATTTTTTATAAATCAAGCCCTTCTCTTTCTTTCTAAAGTTTACTTTTCCTTCATAAAGACCTTATGTTCAAATAAAATGTTGGCACACCTCCCTCCCTTAATAAGCCATCAGCTCCCTCCAGTTTGTGTAAAAAAAAAAAAAAAACCAGACATGCCATTACTCACTTAAAGTTAAGGCTCTCCCACTTCTTCTGGGTTAGCCAGCCGCCACACAGTGTCTTGCTACTGTTCACAGGCTTGCTGGTGACGCCGTAGCTGAAACACAGACAAATCACCACAGTTGGCACGGGGACTAAACTGCTGAATCCATAAAAACACGACGTGCCAGGAACTGGGTCCAGAGCACTCGAGAAGTGTGCAATAATGGGCATGTGTGAAGGGCCGACATTGATCGTCAGCTCTGACCACTGGATGATCAAAATGTCTTAACTTTTAGTGACTCGGCACATTCTCGGACCTCGTGAGCTTATGTTTTACCAGAAATGGGCATTTCTGCTATTATGTGAACCTAATACCAGGGCAATAGAGAAAGAAAGAAAAAAGAAAGATCTGGTTGTCTTTAGACTGTGTGTGTGGGGCAGGTATATCCAAAATCTGTCCACACATTATGGGGACTTGTCTTCCTTATGGGAACAGAAAGCAAGTCCCAATAATGTAAATCGTGTGTGTGTGTGTGTGTGTGTGTGTGTGTTTACCTTTGAAGTATGGCATTGGAACAGTAGTACGTGATAAAAGAGATGAAGAAGAAGAGAACTGGGAGAAGCCTAAGGCACCATGCTGGAGTCAACAAAGGGAAAAAAACACAAACGTACACAGATTTAAAAAGCACGTTAATCAAATTTCACGTATGTGAAACACATGCTGGCTTCAGTGAGACTCCAAGGTTTCATGGATGTTATGTAAAATAATTAGTCATTCAAATAAGTGATTAATGCATTTTCAATTTGACTCTAAGTTCTAAAAAAAGACAAGTTTGGTATCAGTTGCAAAACAGACACTGAAAAATGCACAGATGAACAGGAAGCGTGCACCTTCTATAGTCTCAGCTGCAGAGAGTGAAACCCACAAAATATTCAAAGAGCTCCTCTTCAAATTCCAGTCAAGTTAGTCAAAGTACATCTGACACTGAGTAAGTGGGTGAGTGCTGCAGAGATGTAGTCAGTAAATGTAACATTATCTTCTACAACTTATGCTCAAGACAAGACACTCATCAAGTTTTCTGTCCTGGGACAAGAGACTACAGCTTCAGAGGGATGCTTTTGCATTTTAACAGACCTGCCCGGGTGGGCTGCATGCAAGAAAGCAAATGTCAGAGTCAGTTGCTACAGACATTTTTTGGAACTTACAACAATTATGAATAGTTTAAGAATACTTTACTTTAAAGAGACATTTAAAGTTGATACCACAGCTAGCATGGCTCCCATCCAAAGATAACAACACGATTTGTGGTGTTACAAGAGGTTATGTGCGAGGATGCAGCCCCTGAATTCAAAAATAAGCTTATTTTTTATTTCTATTTTAAGTGGTGAATTTCTGCAGCCTGTTGGTCACCTGGCAACCTCACATTGATGACTAAAATGTCTGTATTCAGGATAAATGCTAAGTGCAGTGACAACACATCACAAAAAGAAAGACTTACTTTTCGTTGCCTTCTGGGACATCTTCACGTGCTCCTCTGTGCTCTCATGTCTACACTGGGCATGAGGTTATCCTGGAGGAAAACAAAATCATTAGAACCTTCTTTAAACTGAGTAACACCCCCCCCCCCTCCCTTCTGAGGTGATTGTTGTGAAGTGAAACTACTCTGAATGAAATATACACTTCAGTCGTCACACATGCATTCAAATAAGTTGCCATTGAAAAGCAACAAACGGACACAGAGAAGATAAGAGTATCACTATAGACTAACACTTGTTAACTGTCCCTGAAGTGAACTGCACATGCAATCAAACAGCGTCACATCAACTTCAGCAATTTGCGCTTGCTTCCACTGCAGACGTTGGAGTGAGTTCAGATTACAGTTTAGGTCAGATTAAAAGCCATTTGGCGTCACGCTCATCTGACTATTTAATGCACAATGCACATCCTGTCTAAATCTTCTTGATTCACGACGTGCAGACCAGAGCCTCGCACACGGTCGCACTGAACATGCCTGACTCTGCTCCAGAACCAACACATCACTGAAAGTTGATACCGAGCTGAAAGAGCGCACAGCTGAGCGTCTATTTAAAGATGTGCATGCATGCACATGTACTCGATACATTGCAACAACGGTAACGGAATACTGCTGTAAATCCATGACTAAATCATGCAAGCCTAAACTTGGAGACAGTCAAGGAGTGGAAACCACAGGATCGATTAGCACCACAGCAGGGATTTTACTCCACAGTATGTGAACACTGAGGCCCCTCCCTGTAAAACACAACAGTCATTTCACAACATGAACGATGACATGACACTCATCCTTCATCCTGAGTCACACGTGAGGCGGGGCCAGGGATTGTTTCCTCTGTTATTGTTTAGGAAATGACGGAAGCTCGAAAGAATGTGGAAAGAAACAAACCTTCAAATTCTACTTTTTTTCTTCTAATGATACAAGCAAGATGAGATTCTTCTGTTGGGCTGTTAGCTCTGTAACAGAGCATCAACACTGAATCCAACTATGCTGATCTTGTATCATCGTAGTGCTGAACAACTAATGCTCATTAGTTTAAGTTGACCTCCAATGAAAAAGTTTTTAACTGTTAACAGTCACAAAAAACAGCTTAAAAACATTAGTGCTTATATTTTGGGGCATTTTGCCATTATTGACAGGACCGTTCAAGTGGGAACTGGGGAAAGAGAATGTGGAAGAGAGGAAGCAAAGGGCCGGGTCAAAACCAGACCTGCGGCTGCTGCAGGAGGATTCAAGCCTCCGTATCGACAGTTGAGAACGCAGGCCCAGACTACTCTAAATAAAACAAATTTAGATGGCCAGAAACCTACACTGTCACCTTGGGGGCGGGGCTCAGCAGCTGGGGCTACCCAAGTAATTTGCATGTGGACCACAGGTCAGCTGTGCGTGCAGGGCGGGGCCATATTGGAATATTTATAGATCAGTAACATGAATTTAAGAAGGTGTAGGATTACTTTAATGATGAACCACTGGAATATGTCATTTTGAGGACCAAAAAAACAGCAGGGGTGTAATAAGCTAACCCATCTAACTGAAAATGTATCCTAAACTGTTTTAATCACTGATTGATTAATTCATTAAGCAAATAAGATTATTAACCAGATGTGTGTTGTTACTTTTAGTGTAAATTATGTATATTACTGCATATATACATGTATTAATCTTGACTCATGGAATCAGTGTGGAGATGTGATCTTCTGGCATGTGAATCTACTGGCACACATTGTTCCAACCGTCAGGAGTTATATTTTTTCGGACATGCAGTAACTAATATAAAGTATTGTCATAGCAACTGCAGGCTGACTCCTTCCTCACCTTCACTTCACAAATCCCCATTAGATTTTTACACTGTGTAAAACATTCAATGTATTTTCTTGTTCAGCTGCTCTCTGCTCAGTAGCAAATGATGTAAAAACCTGAGGTGTGGATTTTTTTCCCCTGCTAAATGTGAACCTGTAATATGTGCATAAGTGAAATACCTGCAAGGCTCAGTGGTTCGCTCTGTTCCCTGGGTGGGGGAGGGGTCTGTGTGTTCAATCCAATCGCCTGCATGAGCAAATCAATCCAAAAGTTCAATCCACGCTGAAGGCTATTTTCTATCCAGTACAATGCTCTGATATGTGCAGTAGGTGAGGCCAGCTGTGTGGCTCACAAAGAAATATGTGGTTCAACCTTACACCATCTCAGGCCAAATCCAAATGTTCAGACTTCTCTACACTTGTCGACTCGCTGACTTTGCAGCCACGTTCCCGGCAAGTCTTTGAGCGCTGAGGGCCGTCCAAACCCACAATTCATCCAGTGCACATGGAACCTGAAGCAGACGTCCTGAGAGGCAGACTTTACTGATTTAATTACCCATAATTCACTGCAATACATACATGATGCTGTAGTTTTCTCCAACAGCAATACATGAGCAAAACTAAGTTGTTATGTCAGTGTAAAACGATTTCTTTGGCAGAATTTTACTTATAGTATTGCAATGGCTACAAATAAAATTCAACCACTTTATGATACAGCAATAAGTAATTTATGATTTATTTTATTGTTTGAGTCCTGAAGTGATCCTTTTATATATACAGTTTATGGTTGTTTACAACATTTCCACAGCAACAAGGAAAACAGACTTCACTGATTAAGCCTTGCACCCTCCTGCCCTGACAGACTTTGATGTGATGATGGTGAACAGGTACAAGTGGGAACCGGAGGGTGGCTGGTTAAAGTCCAGCATGAACGGATTTTGGAGAGGCTCTGCCCACTGTGCCGTGTGTGGATTGTGTTCCGTGTGTTCCGTGTGTGCTCCGTTCACACGGATGGGTTAAATACAGAGGTCAAATTTCCCCATGTTTGCATGTTGCATGCTGTGTGTGGGACCAAAAATAGGAATCTTAATCTTACATGTTGCATACAAATACTCAATTGTGTATCGACATGAAAACTAGTTCTTTCAATGTGCCTTTGTGAAACTTGCAGATTCCTCTTTAATTGTTACACAACCTCAACAACACAATCTCCATTTTCCTTCCTGACACAGCTCACAGCTTTTATTCATTTCACTTTATCTTAAAACTTGAGAATGTGTTCTGCAGTTTGTGTTTCCTCTACAATTTGCTGAGCATGCAAAAGTTCAGTCCCAGCAACAGCAAGCTTAAGTTCAGTCCCAGCAACAGCAAGCTTAAGTTCAATCACATGTATCTTAATAATAATGAGTTGATGCATAAGACACAACTCTCAAATGCAAGCTTGTGGTTGCATCTACTGGGAGTTTTCACAGCTTCGTGGTTTGCACTGCAGACTAGTAATAACAGGTTGAGAGTTCAACCCTCTGTTGTCTAGTCAGATAATAGGATTGGGTTGACTGGACTGCTTTCATAAGACTTTAAGTTTGGTGTCTTCAACTTGCACATACCCCTTTAATTTGACTGTGATGTAACCGAACAGTATAATCTCATACTCAGTTACTCTTGCTCACACGGCTAAAATATGAAAATGAAAGAGCTATATCCGCTATTAAACCATGCGTTTGAACGACAGGCAGCGTGTTAAACGTCTGTGCTCACATGCATGATAACATAAAACATGTGTTGCTATGGATACCTATGGAGGGCACACCAGAGACCTCGGACCTTGTGGAACATCTGGATTTGCATAATGTGCAAGATAAACAAAGTAAAACTGGAGGATGTTTCTATGTTGTTAAATCACAGCAGTAACGGTGACAGCAGCGCCCTCTTAGTGGAGTCATGTGACACTTCTCCACACTGCCCCTACCATCCATGTGCATATTGCACCTTGAAAATGAAGGGTTTCATAGACTAGTCGACACCGTGCATCGCTGTAGGCTATTTGTTAATTGATGGTTTTAGCATGTTGGCAGTGGCAATGCATCTACAGCAATTAGGCAGCAGGTGGTGCTTTTGTTGAAAAGTAGTTGACAAGTCATAGGTCTATTGTCATGCAAGAAGGGAAGGTGGGTGATAAACTTGCTTTTAACTATGCGTACAGCATCATGGCTGCTTAACATGTCTGTTTGATCGGTTGAGCAGGTCCCCTGAAATTAATGTGACACATTTGCAAAAGGCGGTTCGTACATAACAAAGAATGTTAAACACCAATGCGCTTTCCTTATGGCGATTTATGATGGTAGGTTTTTTTTCCATGTCAGTTATTAGCACAGCTCATTCCACATTATATGGATGTGTCATAAAACAAAACAGTTGAGAACGTTAACCTACCTGTGGACATTCATTGTCTAAGAGATTACTCTTGTAGTTTCATACAGTGTTGAACACACATAGTAAATGCTTATGAAAAACTTAATATTAATGCATATTTTTAGAACTGTTTAAAAGAAAAAGTATCATTGAAAGTGAAAAGTAATAACAACATAATACTAACGCAAGAAGAACCATGTTTCACAACAGGAAGGATAAAATGACTGAGAGTAACTGAGAAGTGAGAGAGCTGTCACCAACTGTCAAAAAAACTTCTTACCTCTTCCCTCTTTCATTTCGAAGACAGCATACTCAGTGCTTCTGGTGTAATTGGATCAGGCTTCTCCCTGTAAAGAAAACAAAAAAGATCATATAAGCAAAAACTACTGCAGAATATCTGCCAATTAACAAGTTATTCTTCGCTTTCTACTTGTCTCTGCACATGATAAGGGAACTAAAACTTATACTGCTGCTCTGACCACAAAGTCATTCACGAACAGGAAGATTTCAGAATTTATTGTACAATGGAAATACAGTTGTGACCAGGGTTCTGGGATGGATAAAGCAGGACTAAAGATGAATTAAATTATACAGACATGCTAGAGCTAAAGATACAGTCTGGGATATAATGTTTAATTTGATCTATTATCTATGCTTCATAGGACAACATTTGTTGTATTGATTCATTTACCGGCATAATACAATAATAATGATCAAATAATAACAGTATCTGGATTCAGCATGTCCAATGTTTGGTGCAAAATTTGCTTTGTATAATCATAAATGGAACTTGTTTTGTTGGTTATAAGAGGCAAACACATGGAACGCTATCCCACCATGTACTCTGTCATTTTTCATTTGCATTTCTTCAACCACTAATAATTATTAGTTTCATCAACACTCTTTCACCTTTGGGGCATGATTGAAAGAGCTGCAACATCTGGACGTGTTGCAGCTCCCGGGAGCGTGACGCACAGAGTCTGAGAGCAGAGGACCTCCTCACAGACACCACAGGCAACACAAGAGCAGAGCAGCACAATGGCTGACTATGTGCGATACTGTGGGGGGGGGGGCACGCTGGTGACAGGTCGCCAAGATGCAAAGGACCAACGGAGTGCGAGCAGAGTGAGATCTAACACCGTCAAACAGAGGTGCCCTTCGCCACAGATGTTCCGAAAGCTCTGCAGCAAGTCGAAGCACGGACCACATAGGAAACGCGGACAGAACACTTAAAGAGCTTAGTTACACACTGTAGTGATTAAAGATGAGTCAGGCCGCTACCACAGAATCACACAGTGGAAGTAATTCCAGCAAAGGCGCTCCATGGGAAAATGTTGTTGGTGATTTATTGGTTGAGGCTCCTTCCTCCCAAATTCCTGAGGAAGGTGAGGGCAGAGAAGGATACTAAGGGTATCTGGCATTAACAGAAAAATTGCATATGTCAGCATATTTTGTAGGTATTACGATGAGCTCTGTATTGAAGTTACAGTAGGGTTCAACAAGGATGCAAGCAAATCATTGACATCAATAATCAATATTACAGATTAGATTACATGAGAAGGAAATCCCACACACGCACAGACATCGTCATGACATCAGGGCGTTGTACCACTAATCTTCTCTGAAGGCCAAACAGATTCACAGTGAGATTTCTTGGTTTGATGCTGAATGGGTAAAGCAAAAATCCTTGCAGTGCGGACATACAGTAAATGACGACTCAAAATGACCTTCTCTAAATCCCTTTCACCTATACCAGCTGATTTCTCTCAACCATAGACAACCTCTGTAAAAGGAAATCACATGTGTCTCTGGCTCACAATAGAAAAACACTTCTAAAACACATAATCCCGCAATTTAATCCAGTCAGAGGAGCTAAATCTGGAGCCCATTTGTATCGTTTTGACCGCTTTTATGAAAAGAGGCTTTTAAAGAAATTGCAGGCTATTACCAACACTTTTGCTTGTTATGCACTCGCATGTGAAAGGCACCTTGAGGGAGACATAAGTACAGCATGTAAAGTGAGTGTGTAGATGAGATGTGGAGATTCCCTGTAGGGTTTTTTTTTGGTGGCGGTCATGGTGAGGGCAATAAAACAGTGATTTCCAACTGCCAGTGGCCAACTTACTTGTGACTTATCAAAAGTGAAGCCAAAGTGTCTTGATTGCCCCCTAGTTAGTTTGGTTTAAATTTCTTATTTGATGATATAAAAATGGGGTGAAACATCTTAATTGACACCTGAGACTGAATCTTGATTGCACAAATAATTAGGAAGTTTAGGAACAAGTAGGCAGGAAGTTTTCATTTGCATGTTTGAACTTTGCACCAAAAAGAAGTGCTACTTCTGTCACATTGCAAGGTTTAGTGATAAATGATCCAAATTTGACAGTAACCATGATAACTGTCTGCAGTATAAATTGTAAAGTATGGGTTTATTAAGTAACAGACTTCCATGAAGAAGGGAGGTACTGAATTTCCTCAGGAAAGGCGGTCTAACAACAAGCATGGTTTGTTCTTAAGTGTTGAGGATGGCGATGGTGTGTGCAGTGTTTGGGAGGAGGATCTAATCTAAGTGGAGAGCAGCAAAGTGTCCAAAATATGAGAAGTAAAAAGGGAAACAAATAAAATAGAGTCAAGTCTCCATGAACTGTAAAGCAGAATCTTCTCTTATTCTTTGTCAAAAACCAGTTTGGTTAATATATATGGGACATTCTACCCACAAAATATATGTGAAGATGATACATTTTGACTAATGGCTGGATTAACCCACGTAGGAAACCTTGTGCTCAAATGGGAGCCAAGTGATTAACTTAAACAATTAAAATATGTAAATCTACTTTTCCACAAAGGACCATTCATTCTACAAGTCAAAGTAGCACTTTGGGCTGAAGTTGTGGCCCATCAGCAGATTCTGTCTTCTGATGGTTATTTAATTTGACTGAGTTCAACAACTTCATAGCATTTTAATTTGATGAATTCGTGAAAACCCTGGTCAGGGACTCTCACAGACACAAGTGTATGATTACATTTGCCTGAATGTTTTGACGACAGATGTGTGTTCATCTTTTCTTTTCTTTTTTTCAAGCCACATTGCCTGATTCATGCTGCAGAGGGCATTTCATTGTGTTTTAGCTGATTTGGTACAAGTTGTCCTGTGCTAAATCGGAATCAGAAATACTTTATTGATCCCAGGGGGAAATTGTGTTTGTTACAATTGCTCCAAGTAAATATCTTTAAGCGCCATTAAATGCACCCTCTGTGGATTAAAATATCCACTATAGTATATGCAGCTGCTGCTGTGACTGAAAAACGCAACCTGGAAGATATAAAAGAAATGAATTCATTATCTATCTATCAAATCCCATTTTCTTTAACGTCTAGTCTCATGGCGGACGTCAACGTGGCTGATTTCCCAACAACCTGTGAATAGACACACCTGAAACAAACAAATTCAATGGAAGGTTTGCTTCCCATCACTTTGGGTGTTTTGGTGTCTCCACTATGTCCTTATCCAGCCGTGTCCAGGATTTCCTCATAAAAGAAGGACTTATATAACTTGATCTATTTAGGAAACTGCTACCTGACTAATTTAAGGTGGACAGATATGAGTGGAAAACTAAGCCTTGTTCAGAGGGCATGTTTGACACAGCTTTCATATCTTTTTGTGCCAGAAAACAACCGATTGACTGGTTCAAGGACGAGTGTTTCAGAGCAAAATCAATATTGCACAGGGGAGAAAAAAACGTGGTCTGTCAGAAAGATTTAAGTTGCCATGTGAAAGATATGTGGTAAAGGCCTCATTAAATGCAACATCCGGGGCAACATCCGGGGCAATGAGGACTGCTTTAAATCAACAAAGGCCATGCCATGCATATGTTTAAGTTAAATGTTAGAATTTATTTATGTCTCTTTGCAAAGAGCGAGAGCGAGCAAGAATAACACAATAAAATAGATATACAGTTAGATTTCCTGGTGACAAGATGTGACTAATGTTAACAATGAGACATTCCGGAGACAGATCCCTGATGGGCTCTGAACTATGAGCCAGAAACATTTCCCATTGTATCATTTCCTGATTATTACAGTTGCTGAGAAAAATGGGCATTTAAAGCCCAGAGGTTTACTGCCAGACTCTGACTTGAATTCCACTTCCTAGTGCCAGTGATCACAGAGAACATAATAACTGTCTGTGGTTGAATAAAGTCAATGTATGTCATTATCCTTCACAAACCTAAATGTTCTCCCATGCTGGAGCCTATCTATCCGTCCAACCAAAAATAAAGAATCAAAGCGATCATACTGACATAAAAACACACATCAAAGACATGTTCCAGCCAAATTCAATTTGACATCTTGTGATCCAGCTACAACAGATTAGTTGCTGTTTTTTATGCCTCTCTCTGCAAAGCATGTCCAAAAACTCCTGATTCACACAAGGCTGGCTGCTTCATGTTAACTCCAGGGGGGTTTAAAACAGTCTTACACTTACCAGCAGCGCAGAGGAGCAGATCCAAATCCACGCAGCGAGCCTCTCGTGTGCCCAACGGTACGATGATGCGGCTGCCGCTCCAAAACCAAGTTCACGTCGCTTCTGGTGACATTCACGGCATGGGGAACACAAACAAAACCCGAAAATTGTGGTCGCACACAGGAAAGGGCAGTGATGCGATGAGGAGGGCACCAACATCTAGCGGAAACAGACGCTCACACCCTCATCGCAGGCTGGCTCAGTGTGAGTGTGAGTGGCACCGAGTCATCGTGCACACACAGTGGCTCCTCCGCCTCACTTTTCTCTGTTACACCGCGTTCCCCCTTTCTCTTCTTGGTGCGTGCAGGGACGCATGCGCAAGTGGGTGCATGCGCGCACCGCCGCTGGCTGCACTGACTGAGCTGATCCAAATACCATAGCTGTAAATGAATTTATATATGGACATATCTAGATATATCTATATCTAGATAAATATAGCCATACCAGTCGAAAAGTGCATGTTGGTTGCATATTGATGGTGGTATAAGTGGAGAGGAAAGCATGTTATGGGACATGTGCACCATGTGATCTCCAGCTTCTTGTTTTTTATTATGTGTCCCATATACGCGTTTTCTGTCCGAATTTTGCCAGCATAAAAATGCATAAAAAAATTAAAAATAAACCAAAAATAAAAATTACCATTGGGCATAATCTCCTGTTTTTGAATAATATAGTTGAAGTATGATGCATTAAAAGTAATAACTTTGAGAAAAAGACTTTAAAATTATACTAAAAGGTACAGTGTGTAGAATTTTGTGATATCTAGTGTTGAAATTGCATGTTGCAGCTGAACACCCCTCACCTCACCCTCTCCAGTTTAGTTTGTCCAGTCTGGACTAATGTAAAGTACATGGCGGCCTCCGTAGAGAGGACCCCCTCGATGTAAATATAAAGTGTTTAAATATAAAGGGCCTTTCCTGGGGTAAAGAAAACTATAATTCATACAATTTAGATGAAACAAACTAGTGAAAACATCATCAAATCAAATCAAATCAAATTTTATTTCTATAGCCCAAATTCACAAAACAAATTTTGCCTCAGAGGGCTTTACAATCTGTACAGGGAGTGACACCCTCTGTCCTTAGACCCTCGGTTCGAGTGAGGAAAAACTTGCCCACAAAAAAAAAACAGGGAAAAGAAGGTGTTAGAAACCTCAGGAAGAGCCACAGAGGAGGGATCCCTCTCCCAGGATGGACAGACGTGCAATGGATGTCACATGTACAGAACAACGCAACAGAAACATATTGTACAATTACAATGAATGACAATGATTACAGTATCAGTGGTTGGCAGAGATGGTAATATATATAGTGGTGGGTTATAACAATGCTACAATAATATACAAGTTAATATTAATGTCATAGAATTATGACTGATAATAATAATAAGAGTGGTGGATGTCATGCAGGGCCATGGCAGTAGTGACAACCACAATCCATGACCTGGGAGCAGCCATGATCCATGAGAACCTGCTGGGGGAAGAAGTTTAGTTAGTAACATGCATTAACATGCATTCATGAGACATCTATGTTTACAGATGGTGATGATAATAGAGAGGGAGACAGAGAGAGGGAGGGAGGGAGAGAGGGAGGAAGGGGGGGTCCCCCGGCAGTTTAGTCCTATAGCAGCATAACTGAGGGATCACCTGAGACAGCTCTAACTATAAGCTCTATCAAAAAGGAAGGTCTTAAGTCTAAGTGTTGACTGTGTCTGCTTCCCGAACCCAAAATGGCAGTTTGTTCCACAGAATAGGAGCTTGATAGCTGAAAGCTCTGGCTCCCAATCTACTCTTGGAGACTATGGGAACCACAAGGAACCCAGCATTCTGAGAGCGTAGTGTTCTGGAGGGGTAGTAAGGTACTATGAGCTCTTTTAGATATGATGGTGCCTGCCCATGAAGAGCTTTGTATGTAAATCATGAGGATTGTTCTACATTAAATTGCTGCCAACAGTTCTCTGTTACCTAAAGCTTACACAATGGACCTTTAATGCATATTGTTTAAGTAAATGATTAAATTCCAACCCTCTTATTCACTAGTCTGCACTCTCACACTGAACTTTGTTCCCCAGCTTTATCATCCACTGACTGCAGTTTCTTTAGGTCTAAATTATGCCTCATCTGTGCATCTGTACTTTGATTGCTTGTAAAGTAATAGCTTATCCGTTAATGTAGATACGGGTTGTGATATACTTCTTGCATCAAAAGTTCAAACAAAAGGACTTTTGATCCAGGCAAATCAGGACACACACAGTTCCATAAATGTAACCCGGGGGCTGACAGTGATAGTTGAAGCTCACACAAGTTAATTAACTTTTCTGTGTCAGTGATCTCCTGATGATTTATGAGGATTTTCTTGCTACAATCTCTTAACAGTGTGACTCCAGATTTCTCCCAGAGGGATCTACATCTGCAGGGCCTCGTTGCTGTTGGCTGTGATTTTGTAAATTTCTGTTTGTAAAGGAGATACACACACATATTTACCAGAGAAATGCATATATCTTTGCTTTATTGAACTATTTTTTTTAAATTATACTAGGAGACATCTTTTGTTGGATTCCCCTTTTAAATATCTCCTCTAATGTATCTGCTGGCAACAACATTGTTTTGCACAAATGTAAACCTGAAGATTGAACAAATGTTTGCTGGCTCTGGATCAAGGACAGTGTTGGGGTTCGGTAAATAAAGTGAGAGCCTGAGTCCTGCATGGCTCCTATGAACCGCACAGCAGCGTTTCATTATCAAGTTGTGGCATCCATGTAAATGCATGACTCAACAAAATGCAGTTAATCTAAACAATTAAATACATTTTAGATAGGGGATTATTTGGTTGTTTTTCAGATGACATAGTTTAGGTGTGTACATGGGTTTAGCACTCGTCTTCCATTTTGTGTGTAAAATTGTACTTTCGCTTTCAACATGCAGCCCTCTCATGTCTCATTTAATTGTTTGACCTACATTTACCAGAAACCCAATAAAATGTTTGGATCTGCTGCTCGCCTTTAATTAACCCAGCTGGTGCTTTGCTGCAGCTACATGCGAGCTGATTTACTCACCACAGATAGAAACGTCCAGGTCAGTACCACAGCGGCCACCAGAGACCACCATGCTGACTAACAGCTAAGTGCTTTTCCATAGTGTTGGTGGTCCAAGCACACCATTCTGTGGCTTGTGCTCTCTCTCCTTTTCTTTCACGTCTTGCTTCATTTAGTTTTTTCAAAGTGTTGGAATGCTGACACAGCATTTGTGCTCAGGGGGATTTCCAAGACTCAGCTAATTTAATTCTGTCAGCAATTTAATCTTTGTCCTAATCCTGAAAGTCTGTATGTGTGTTTTAGTCATATTTAGTCGAATGTTATCCTTTTTTGGCAGGGGAACTGACTTTCGCATACAGCACCAAAACAGTACGCCACTTAGTTTGGAGTTGACCTGTAACCTTAAGAAATGGTTGAACATTTTGGGAAATGTGCTTATTATCTTTCTTGGCTTTCATGCACACTAATTTCCACTGGTAAATATGATGTTTTAACCATAAAATGGTTAGCTTAGCTTAGCATAAAGACTGCAACTCTGGGGAAACGGTTTTCAGCAGTAATAAAACATATCTCAAGTCCTGTGATAAAATCAGGCAAATTGATTATTTGTACAATTGCAAATTGTTATTTTGTAAATGGGAAAATACAACAGTAAATCACAACACACAATTACATATCAATAAAAAAAACACACCATAGTAAATCGTAAAACTCAACAACAAATAAGAAAACACAAATGCAAAATCATTCAACAGAAAAAAATCACAAAACACAGTAATAAATCACTGATCACAAGGACATTACCATGTAAAATGGAGGTATCTGCTTTCCATCTTTGATCATCTTGCCTGGTTCCCTTGATGTTTTGCTTTGTCCAGCACCAAAGGCACATGGGGTGTTTCTTTTCAATTAAAAAGACGTTTGTCCAATCCCCTATTTGTCATTGTGATTTGCATTTCAGGGCTACTGCATATTTGTATATTATTTCATATGAAATGTTTTGTCTTCCTTAAAAATTGAGAGAGCCAGTTCAATATTAGTCCCCCCTAACAACAATGTTATTTGGAGATGTAGTAACAGACCATTAATTATATCAAGTATGCATTGTAATTTAAAAGAGGTTTGATGAAAGGAAATTAACACACTGCTGTGTATCTGTGTATTAATGGTGACATGTGTCTTGATGTAAAAATCAGGTTTGAGTGACTTTTTATGTAATATAATTTTTTTTATTACGCTAAACGGCTTTTCTCTGAAGCCATTCAGATATCTGTGTGTGTGTGTGTGTGTGTGTGTGTGTGTGTGTGTGTGCATGTCATCTGGAGGAGGATTTGTTATGGTAACAACAAAAGCCTAGTAGAACATCTGTGCCTTTCTGAGATTAGTCTCAATTTTTATGTTACAATGTTGGCTCACCACTAAAGAGGCGATTATCAAGGGTCTTTTATTGTGGTCCTTAATGTCTGCTGGTGTTTCAGGGGGATGGTAAAGTGGGAGGATGATACAGCATTAATGAAAGTCAGGAAAAAAGAGAACACGGAGCAGTTCTTGGAGGCAGATGGTGCCTCATGAAAAAAACTTGCATTAAAAAAAATTATAAAATGAAAAGATCACAAATGTTTTGCTCCAGTTGATTCGAATGAACACCTGATATTCTGCACTGAGTGGTCCGAATGCCAACTATCTGAGATGATGCGCTGCCAGCAAGCTTGAGTAAAAGGGCAAAGTACTGCCAAGGACATTAACCCATACCTAACAGAACTGTAAGGTTTTTTTTATTGGTTGGAGGGGAATTCTTCAGCATGTTCAGACTTTGTTCCTACCAGCTGAGCTTACAATACTCGGAGCGAGGAAAATATTAATACTAGCAGACCTGATATTTTGCTGTTAAAGAAACACACAAAGTTGTGAATTGTCTCAATAAGAATCACTTCTCTGTTCATCCTTTAAGACTAGTTCAGTAAAAAGGTCATATCACTGTCAGTTGTTTGTCATGGGTGGATAGGGATTTCCCTTTAACTTTAAAATTCTCCCTGTCTCTCTCTCTTTCTCTCTCTCTCACACACACACACACAAACACACAGTTGTCTCTCCATGACTTCATAGGACATTGCATAGACTCATTGATTTTTTTGGAGACTTCTCTAACCTTAACTATAGTTAGGACTTGTTTTCCAGTCCCCATACTGTGACTGTGTCAACAGATTTACATCCCCACAACATGAGTAATATTACACAGAGAGAGAGAGAGAGAGAGAGAGAGAGAGAGAGAGAGAGAGAGAGATGTCTTAATGACTGGCATCTTACTGTAAACACTCTCAATTTGATTGTACTGGTAAATACACCACCTAGTGGTAAACTTGATCTCTATCTCTTTTTCACCCACACTTTCAATGTTCACCTTTAAAGGGAGAATCACACTCGTACAGTGTTCGACATCCCCTTTACTGAAAGTTCAACAGCCGTTTGCAATTGCAAATTCATCATCTGATATGGGAAACAAGCTAGTGCAGCCAAAAATAAAACTTCCTTCCTGTTCACTCTTTGAACATCCTTTCCAGACATGCAGTGTTGATTATACAAAAACAGAGAGAAAAAGAAAAAAGTTAAAGTAACAACGCAGAAAACTTGTTAACTAATTTGCATGTTATCAAATGAAATACATTTTTTTAATTAGTTCAACATAAAGTTAATAAGTCATATTAACACAATTGCCAACTCCAATTTGAAAAACTTAATTTGTGTATAAACAACTACATTTTACTCTATTTTTTTCTTTTGAATTTTGCTATTGTTATTTGTATATTTTGTATGCTTTGTATATGTGTATTTGTTTGTATTTTTGTGTTTCTTTGAACGTGCAAAATGTAACTTCAGCCGCTTTAGGGGTCTCTCAATCATAACAATACCAAAAGTTTGAAGTTGTCAAAAAGCAGCATCATGGGAGTTGTTGTCTTCGCCACCAGTGACCAATACAAACAGAGGAAGGAGAAAACAGTCAGCTGGCAGTGTATTTTTCCTTTGTCATACATGGTTTGAAGTTATGGAAGAGAGGTTAATGCAGGTAAAGCAGATATGATGCAATTAAAAAGGGCCTAGAAATTAAACGTCCTGATACCATGAATAAAACTGGGGATTTGTCTGGGTTTAAAGATTGTTAGAAACATTCTAGATCATTATGTCAAGAAAATATACAACACAGGTCCATACATTTTTAGATAAAAGAAAACACTATAGACACTTAATCACATCATGTTAAGGAAAGTATTAAGACAGCAGCAGTGTTTTCTTCCAATCTGAGCCAATTGTCCTTCATCGAGCAAACATTGTTAACTATGTCATTTCTTTTCTGCATCACTTTCATTTAAGTCTCAGCAGGGTCATTGTTTGAGATCAGCTCATCTCCTTGTGAGCTGCTCTCTCCGCTTAGTCTGTTGTGAGAGCTGTCCACGTTGGAGTCGTGTGTCCTCTCATTTTTAATCAGGTCTTCTAGGTCTAGAGAGGAAAAATTAGAGGAAGGTATTAAACATAGATTCTCCTCGAGATTGGCCTGCTTCTCTTGCAGATTACATTAACCAAAATTCTTAGTTTCTAAAGAGGAAATGTTTTCATCTGCATTTGTTTGTTTGTTAGCAGCATTGTGCAAAAATTACTCAACTTATTTCTATGAAATTTAATTCAGGAATGGGCCGAAGACGAACTCAGTGAGTGCAATTTGTTACAGATCCAAATAAAAAATCCAGATCTCAAGAATTTGTTTTCATCAGGGGACTGTTGGGCCTTGAAGGAGGTATGTACTTAGTGAGGAGAAAGAAAAAATATTATCTTGAATGACAATTTGTGCATGGAGCGGGACCAATACTCACACTTGAGCAACGTCATATTAATGAGACTGCATCCTTGGCTTATGTTCCTGCTCAGGTTAATGTAGAAGCAGAACTTGATTTCCTGAGGGTACTGATCGTGGGAAAGGTTCTGTATCAGAGGAATCAATCGCCTGGACATGGGTCCCTCCGCCAGAGCCTGATGCATCATGTACATGCACCACTCTTCCTGCAGGAAGTCAGGAGTGATGAGCAGAACCTGCAAGTGGCTCTCCTGCACAGCCTGGCAGAATTCTGTGAAAATTGGACTTCCTGGACTGACGTCCCTTTGCCAAAGGAAGCACCTGAGGCTGCGGGGCGAAGCCTCCAGTAAAGAGACCAGGCCATTGGCCTCCTCAATGTCACTGTCGGCTTGACTGTGGCACACAAGCAAGTCATATTTTCGTCTCCATCTCAGGTGTGAGCTCAGAGCAGAAGGTGGATTTTTTGGTTCAGATGATGACGATGATGTATATGAAAATGATGTTGATACACTTGTCTCGCTAGCGTTTTCTTCATGTCGTGATGCTAATGATGTTCTTGATTTCTCTTCATGTCGTGATGCTAATGATGTTCTTGATTTCAGGAGGTTTTGGAACCAACCTGAAACAAGAAAGACAAACTGCATATTACTGACTTAATTACACATTTCAACATTGATGGATCCTTCCTGATGCAGCTATATGTCACCAGTGAAATCATAAATATTATTACAAACAACACAATCTGCTCTCTGTGTTATATGTTTAACAGCAGCATGATACACAGCCATGAACAAAACTTTGCATCGAACATTGGGCTGAGGTCAGGTGCTTTGGTCGATTGCTCTGGATAATCCCTTAAGTATTGTTTTTTGGCAATAAATACTCGCTTGATATACAGTACCTGAGAGATAATCACTATTGCCAAAAAAATAACAATGAGATAGTAGCTAAAGCAGATACAGTACAATTAAGGTGAAAATGTTTTATTCTTCTTCGTTCTTGCCGCAAATTAAACCACTATCATGTTTTATAACAGTTGATATTTTTCATTCAGTGTGATGAATGATTATTGGGGAGGTTCAACAAGCTGGTTTTATATATTATATGTAGCAATAGACATGAATTGAACCTTTTATGAAATTAATTTCCATGCTCCAACTTTTGTTGATGGCTTAAAAAACCTTCTGTCTGCGCAAGGATGACACAAATGTGTTTCTGCAGTTTCTGGAGCATTATCGAAGCAGATCTGTTCCACAGGAAGTATATATTTTTAACAGGCTGGCGAGAAAAGGACAAGTTAACAGGCTGGCGAGAAAAGGACAAGTTAACAAACGAAAACAGGCAGATTGTTGAATCAGGATTGCAAATGTGTGAAACCACAACTTACCATGCATGTTGTTAACATTGTCATGTCTCTTCAACATCTCTCCTAAATCCTTCTGGCAAATAGATACTATATGGATCCCCTTTATCCCATACTTGGTAGGTAATGAGTGGTAGTTGCAACAGTCTGCTTGAACTGAAAGTAACAAAGACCATGTGAAACCTCTATCGAATGTCACTGATATCACCAGAGAAAAAAAAGAGGAAGGAACTCGGCATGATTTAAAATGCAAAGTGTCTAGCATGTCACACCTCATGGAACTGATAGTTAACTATTAACTACAAATAAATAAACCTTAATAACTGTTGTTTCTCAATAAAAAGGACAGTTACAGCCTTGAATACTTCTACTTTCTGATCTGGATTGTTTGGAATAGGAGACTTATGTATTTAAGTTAAACCTTCTGTTGTTACAATTGCTACAAGGAGTTATTATAGAACCTGATGGCGGATGGCAGGAATGACTTCCTGAATCTGTCCTTGTGACAGCGGAGTTGTCTGAGTCTGTGTGAGAATGTGCTGCTCTGAGCCTGGAGGATTTGGTGGAGAGGACTTCGATCCAAAAGACTGTGTATATTTATTTTAGCTAGAAAACAAGCAGTGAAATGTTCCCACTGTCCTATAAACACCAAGTCAGTGCATTTGGTTGATATCAAGCAGTCAGCAAAGTAGTCACCAGGTGAGGAACAGCTGATTTTAGTACTACCTGCTGACGTACCACCACCACGTGACTCAGATACCTATGTCTATCCCTATTTGCTATGTGACCATAGCAACATTATGCATGGCCCTAATAGTCTTCTGTGTGCTTACCATTACAGTAGTGATGGAGTAGAAGTTATAGATAAATGAAATTTGTAGTTTCTAATTTAGTTATTAACGTGCATTCAAACAGCTTGAATTCAATTAATATGTGTAAATGGAGAAGAAGTTGAAAATTCTCCTCAAGCAAAGCAACAGGGCACATTATATAATCTGGAATAACAAAATAAAAGATCAACAAAAAAAAAAGCTAGAAAACAACAACATCCGAATATGTAATAACAAAATAAAAGACCGAATAAAATAAAATTGAAGAAAAGCTTCAGAATCTTTAATAACAAAATAAAAGACCAACAAAAATAATAATAATAAAAACTTTTGAATGTGATACAATAATAATAATAATAATAATAATAATGACAATAAAAACTTCAGAATCAGCAAAGACTAAATAAAAGACCAACAAAACTAAAAAGTATTAGACTCAAACTGCGCAAGCGCGAAACTGAGACAAACTGTCCCCGGAAGTGTGCGTCACTTCCTGGCTCTGCGTCTGACGTGTCTGAAACAGTTTTGCACTGGTGGTGGATTTTATCATCTTTTAAGAATTACCTGGTGAGTGTGAACCGTGTGAGCAGCTGTCACCGGTGCTACAGACATCCACTGGACCCGTCATGATCCTCGGTGCTTCCTGTTCACTCTGTCTCACCCTCACAACCTGTGTGTGTGCTTTTATTCCAGATACGTGGGGGCAAGATGCTGGACTTCTTCACCATCTTCAGCAAAGGGGGGATAGTGCTGTGGTGTTTTCAGGGGGCCGGGGTCAGTGAATCCTTCACGGGGCCCGTCAACGCGTTGATCCGCTCCGTCATCCTCCAGGTGAGACACAACCACCACCACCGCTGGTTGGTGTTTGGCTAACTCTCTGTTAGCAGCTCCAGCTAACAGGTAGCAGATGTTAGCTAACTGCGTAAAGACAGTGGACTAAAGAAGCAACTTCTCTGGAGTGAATGAACCTGAAGTCACGATGTTATGCAGCAGAAACTGAATTGTGAGATGGTTTAGTGTTTTGATCAAAGCTGGGAAGATTGAGCAGTGTGTGTGTGTGTGTGTGTGTGTGTGTGTGTGTGTGTGTGTGTGTGTGTGTGTGTGTCTCCGGCTGACATGTCAACGATGTGTGTGATGTTACAGGAGCGAAGTGGGAATAACTCCTTCTCCCATGAGGCCCTGAGTCTTAAATACAAGCTCGACAATGAGTTTGAGCTCATTTTTGTGGTAAGTCTCGCACCTACACACTCAATCACGGCTTATTCCTTCCCTGTCAGATCATCACAGTTTGGACACATGAGAACCATATTCAAAACATAGACAACCAAAATGTGTCTCAGGTAGAGGTGAAATTATGTGAACATTTTGTATCAGGACACAATATAAGAAGACAATCCTAGTCCACAACAGGGACATTTGCTATGTAGCACCAGCAAAAGAGGACAGTCAAAACGTAGATATCAGTAAAAGTAATGAATAAGTAATCATGCAATAAAAATTCAAATACAATATAAATGATGTTGTGTAAACAGAACATAATGCAACAGTTTGCACATTCAATAATGAATTGCACAGATAGAAATGTGTATGAATGAGTGTTATAGTGACCAATCATGGTTATCAGCATCATCGCTGTACTGTTAAAATGCTCAACAAGTACATAAGCTGAAGTTAAATTGTTAATATGTTCAATCAAAATTATAATATAGCACCAGCACCATATCATATGTTAAACATTTACATTGAAGAGTGAATACCTCACTGCCCAAAGGTAAGAGGATTTTGACATGGAATGACCCTAAAATAAAAATGTATGAAATCACAAATTGTGACCATTGCTTATGTTGTTTTTTTCATTTGTGTATGTTAATGATCACTACTCTAGGTGGGTTTTCAAAAGATCCTGACGCTGACATATGTGGACAAGTTCATAGATGATGTTCAGCTTCATTTTAGAGATCGTTATAAGAATGAGCTGGAGCAGAAGGGTGCGCTGAAGCTTCTTAACAATAACTTTGAATTTGAGGACGACTTCACGATGCTTCTAAGGTAAAAAAACAGATAGGATCCCTGTATGCTTTTCTTTTGCCTGAAGCAGTCATCACTAGTTAAGTAAACTGGAATTGTAGCTTATTTTACTTAAGCATATTAATTATCTTCACTGACCAAGACCTTTCTCATCCTGTTCATGCTGACTCATATCAAATGTTTACCACAAGAGAGGCGGAGGAGAGCAGCAAAGCTCGGAGCCACGTCCCCATGCGGTCCTTCAAGGAGTCAGAGAAATCCCAAAAAACTGTGAAATCCATGATTGAGACAAAGGGTGGGGACAAAAACAAGGAACAGGGTGGCAAGAAGAATAAAAATACCAAAAAGGAGGGTATGTCCATTTTGAGGTGGTTCTTCTAAGTGTAACATCATTTCAGTCTCAATCCTGACTTGTTGTGATGTTCTCAACCTCTGCAGCTCCTGTGGCTGAGCCTGCCAAAGTTGACAAGGGCAAGGTCACATCTTCTGGGCAGAAGACGGTTGAGAATGGTAACCAGGGCTTGACTCCTGAGGAGGACATGCAGAAGAAGAGAGAGGAATTCTTTCGCAAGCGCATTGTTGGAACTACTGAAAAACCGAGGTGAGAGAAAAGAGACTAATATATGCTTGAAAAAAAATGGGTAGAGATATCGTAAGGTCATCTCACCAGCAGCAGCAGCAGCATAGACACAATGTCAAGTATTATGTCTGTTAAATTCCATTTCAGTCATCTGCATGGTTCAGATCCCCAAGTGGATCATCAACAGAAATTGCCTGATGTTAAAAAGTGTTAAGGGCAGAAACTGATGTTTTTAAAATGAATGCATATTATAATGTGATTGTGTCATTTGTCCCTATTATAATAACTATTAAAACTATGTTTATTATGTGTTTTTCAATACCCAACAGAAATACTACTAAACATTTAAATGATCACACGTCTTTTTAGAATTAGGTTTTGTCAGTCTCCTGGTGTAAGTGTCTGATTGCTTATTTCTAAATGCTAAATTCTGCCATTGTCTCTTTTAGTAGTAAGTCTCCAAAGCCCCAGAAACCAAGGGAGAAACAAATGCGTGTTTGGGACATTGGTGGTAGCAGCACCAAGGGGCTCGACTACAGCAAAACTAAAAGAGATGGCTCCACTAATGGTGACGAACAGAGCCTGGATACCAAAATTGACCCAGTATGTACCCTCTCCTCCTCCACTCCTCTCCCTAAGAGGTTTCTAGCTAAAGAGTCATATGTTACAGTCACATTAGTAACGACTCCATTGAAGTTCTCAATGTGCTGGATGTGTTAAAGGGGATGCAGGTGAGCTCCATGGAGGGAGACCTGCCGCCTGTGGACTACGAGTCCAGTGAGGAAGAGGAGATTGAGGAAGAGGATGAGAGAGTGGTTGTGAATGAAACAAGCAAGAAAAGGTAAGAAAGTTTTCAATATATTTTAACATTATACCTTAAATATGTCTCCAATATCAGTTGTACTCTGAACAAGTACTTAACTTTGCATGTTCTCTTCAGCTCCAAAAAGGGTGGCAGCTTTGGAGGCATGTTTGGGATGCTGAAGGGCCTGGTGGGCTCCAAGAGCCTGAGCAGTGATGACATGGAGCCAGTGCTGGAGAAGATGAAGGACCACCTCATCAGTATGATATCACATCTCCCACTTCCACTGTCTTCATTCAGCTAGATATGAGAGTGAATCTGCTATTCATTCTTCTCCTTTGTCATCATGTAGCAAAGAATGTAGCAGCCGACATTGCCTCCAAGCTCTGTGACTCTGTAGCCAAAAAACTGGAGGGGAAAGTCATGGGCACATTTACCAGTAAGTCACTTTTATCAGTTATTTTCTATCTATCTACTGATCCCACAAATGTCTGTCTGTTTCTGGCTCTCATATCTCAAGAACAGTTCATCTTGTTTGGCTTCACATTGTAAAGGCCCTGAGAAAGTGCAGTGTCAAATTTGGTGTGATTTGGACATTACGAATTTGGAATAAGTGAACAGTGCCTTGCCGTCAGTGGAATCTGTGGGTTGAACATGTCTTCTTCTATGTCCTCGGATAAATATCATATCATTTTGATCATTTTTATTTCACAATAGTTGTCCATAAAGTTAAACCACAACATTTATTTTATTATTTATTTTATTTATAAAATTTTCACCTCAGATAAACCAGATTGGATGAACACAAAGTTTTCTATCTTCACTCTGCATCATAGACTAATTTATAAAAAGCTCTACACACAACGTTCAGCACACAAACAATAACAAGTGACAGTAAATCGTAGAACTGTTTGAGGAGGACTCGTTAATGACCCAAAATATTCCTGAAGTAGTTCCAGAGCATTAACACAGGACAAACAAGCAAGTTTACAATGGACACTGCACTAGTTTATTTAATATAGAACACAGATCTTCACCCCCTTTTTTAGTTTGGTATTCGTTTGATGCTGGGATTTCTTACAATGTAGCGTTCATCTCTGCCTTCACTTGTCCTTCTGTGAGAGCTCAGTGTACACACTGACAACAGTAATGTCTTTATCGTAATGCATTTTCCCCAACGTGGTTCATATGATTACCACAGTAAGTTGATTAAAATATGATCCTCCCCATGGTATCTTTTACACAGGATGTGATTCACATTGTGGAATCTTCAGCATCTGGATATAATAAATCTGTAAAATCCCACATATATTAAAGATAAAGACCAGACGCAGACGTTACAATTGTACACTCAGCAAGCACTTTATTAGGAACAGCATATTTATTTTTACGTTTGGCCACCATCAGCCTCAGTTTTTTGTGACATTGATTCCACAAGATGTTGAAAACATCTGCTCCATGTTGACTTGATCACATCACATATCTGCAGATTTTTCAGCTGCATGTTCAAACTGCCAATCTCCTGTTCACGAAGGTGTTCTTCTTTATTGAGATCTGAAGACTGGAGGCCATTGAAGCTCATTAAACTCACTTCATGTTCATGAAACCTGTTTCTGTTTGTAGCTGTGGCCTCCACAGTAAAGCAGGCCCTACAGGACTCGCTGGTGCAGATCCTGCAGCCCAAGCGAAGGGTGGATATTCTGAGAGACGTCATGGAGGCACAGAGCCAGCGAAGGCCTTTTGTCATCACATTTTGTGGTGTCAATGGTGTCGGAAAGTCCACCAACCTGGCCAAGGTGAGGTGTTAAGTGGGTAGTGGCATGTTCCAACCATTTTCCTGCTAGTTCCGGCATAGTTCCTGTGGTTTGTTGTTGTTTATCCACACTGGAAGTCACTTATAGCTTCAGGCTTTATACATCATTTTGTTTGGCCTAGTTTTATGGTCGAGTAACTCTGAGAATATAACTCACTCTGGGGCTTCCTGTGTTAAAATGTCTGCACCGCAAAGTTTTAGACTGAAGTTTCATGCAAATTACACTTAAATACATGCATATTATAAACTTGTTTCACTGTTAAACATGGCCACAATCTTACCACAGTGAAAAGGTTTAATCAGTTGATTCGGCTAATTATGAGTCTTTGAACTTGAAAAAAGGAGATTTCTCCTCCTGAAGTGGAAGCAAGTAAAAAAACACTGAGATAAAAAAACTTGAAACAATTTTACTTTCTGCCTCTTACACTTCTTGCATGTAAGATAAATACTGAGCTGTTGTTATATTGTTACCTTGTTGTTGTCAAATTTATGAATTAGTGTTGAGAGCTTATATCTCCACTGGGGTTAATGCTCTATCTTTATTTCTAATATCCATGTCAAAGCAGTGTTTCCTTTTAATTATCTAGACTGTTGCCACCAGCATGTTTTAACATTAAATATTCAACAGTTTCATAATGAACCAAAATATTTTTTCCGCTTGTCATAAAGGGGTAATAAACTCTGCGAAAAAACAGAAGCTGGTGGAGGAAATAATGATTTCATTACGATATTATATTAGGTATGAAAATAAAATCTCTTGTTTTTGTTACCAATACATACCCAATAATTCACACTAAAATCGATATATGTTTTGCATATTGTGCAGATGGCTCTGTTCTATTTAGTTGTCCCAGTGTGCCGGCATGCACAAATACCAGCACTCGCTCAAACCGGATTCAGAGGCTTATTTTTGAATATATAAGAAAAATAAATTATACTATTTGCTCAGCTCTGCTGATGTCTTACCCTGGAGTGTAACTTTTGAAATGTCAGGGTTGATATAAACTAACCGTGTCTGTTTCGGTCCAGATTTCCTTCTGGCTGATAGAGAACGGTTTCACAGTGCTGATCGCAGCCTGTGACACTTTTCGTGCCGGGGCAGTGGAGCAGCTCCGCACTCATCAGAGGCGCCTGAACTCTCTGCATCCCCAGGAGCAGCACGGTGGAAGGCCCGTAGTTCAGCTCTATGAGAAGGGCTACGGCAAGGATGCGGCTGGAATCGCCATGGAGGCCATTGCCTATGGTAAAACATTTTCTTTCTAGCTGAATATTTAAAATGTGTTCTTGTTGATTTTGCGTGTGAACCTCAGAGTTTTAGATAATTGGTACTGGTTCATTTAACCATGAAGCTGCTGTGATAAGTGATGAGTTTCCTTTGTTTTGTTAGTTATGATCCATTCTCATTAATGATGAATGTCATCCATATTGTAAAGTTACATCTGTACCTTCCGCATTCTTTCACTCCAGCTCGCAACCAGGCTTTTGATGTTGTGCTGGTGGACACTGCTGGGCGTATGCAGGACAACGCCCCCCTCATGACAGCCCTGGCCAAACTCATCGCAGTCAACATGCCTGACCTGGTGCTGTTTGTTGGGGAGGCTCTGGTGGGCAACGAGGCGGTTGACCAGCTGGTAAGACGACCGCTGATGAATTCAGTCTTTTTTGATAGTGCGTGCTGTATCTCAACAACAGGACAGTGTCACTGAGGACTAATCTTCCCACTCAGTAACTTGAATATGTTTTCTAGGAAATTCACGCCAATTTCAAACAAAACAATTTGTGTCCTAATCATGTGATCGACTGATATAATACATTGTGATTCGCTGAAATACTCGTGGTGAAGGCAATAATGCATTATGGGAAATTTAGTGTGTTAACCTGCAAAAAAGATTTTAAAGTAGCATTTCAGACAAAGCTTTGATGATCTGACAGGAGCAGATTACAGCAGGTTTTCAAATAACAATTAAGAGGATTCACCCAGACGAACGTTTAGGGATAAGACTGATTTACGATGAAAGCTAAATGTTTGAGCTGTCAAATGTTTTTGCTGCTTGTCTCTGATTCAAAGGCTGAGACATTTCATTCTGTCAGCTCTTTACAAAACCCTCAGGCTTTAGGTGGTGGTTTTCAAACGGTGCTTTGGTTTGAGTGTATTTTTATTCAGCATTTTAGTGGATTAACAGTAATAAATAAGAAAATGTTGTACGATTAAAGCAAACTCTCCAGCAGGGGTCAGTGCTGCTGCAGTGACCTATGCACTTTTGCTTTTACAGATGTGTTTTTTTCCCTCACTTAAACACGGTGATGTGAAAGTCAGCACTGTACAAATTAAGCCCCAACTGAGTCACCTCTCTTAATTGTGTCCTCAGGTGAAGTTCAACCAGGCTCTGGCCGACCACTCCATGTCTGACAAGCCTCGGCTCATTGATGGAATTGTTCTCACCAAGTTTGACACCATTGACGACAAGGTACAGTCATGTTTTCCAGTGCTTTGCGGCAGTTTCCTGAGTTATGAGAGATTAGCAGAAAGCTGACGCCACTGCGTCTTTTACAGGTTGGTGCTGCCATTTCCATGACGTACATCACGGGCCAGCCCATTGTGTTTGTGGGCACGGGGCAGACCTACAGCGACCTGCGCAGCCTCAACGCCCGCGCCGTGGTCGGCGCCCTGATGAAGGCTTAAGCGGCCGCATGTTCAGCTGTTTGTTCATCGTCTAAAACAATGTTGCCACACTGCCGTGAGATGTTCCAGCCCTGCAAGCCTTCGTCTCTCATCCTCCTGTCTCTCCTGCTATACTTCGCATCCAATGAAGAACTCGTGTCACACACAGGACTTTTATTCTCCCAGTAAAGGACAAGTGAGCACTTTGACAAAACAGGTCAATTTGCAAATCGAAGCCACAGGATCATTTCTAAACTTTTGGGCCGAACTGAAAAGTACCTCCAACAATGAAGTCGCATCCAAATGACATTTTAGCTACATGGATCTAGGCTGTAAATGTCATTAGTTTACTGGTTCACTCAGTAAAAGACTTTGAAAACAAAGTCCCCACCTGGCATTTTGTCAGTCACTTTTCCCCCTCTGTGTAAATGAGGTCAGGTCATGAAGGCTGGCTGGATGTGACATTTCAGCAGCTGCCGGTGCCTGAGGAAAGCTTAGTGACCATAGTGCCTATCTGTCACTGCATACGATGTTTTTCCATCAAGAGTACCACGACAGTTACGGTGTGAAACCACTCCTCATCCAGTGAAGGTGTCTGAATCTTGCTACATTCACACTACTACATTTTAAACATGTCAGTGACTGCAGCTATTGATACTCCTGGCATTTTAGTTTGAAAACTCTGCAGCTACATTATAGTCTGAAAGGGCAGAAACAAAGATGTTTGGAAACGATGACGTTACACAGCAGCTTGCAGATTGAGTCTTTTCGTTCACGTCATAGTGTGCGCTTATTCGTTGACGAGTAATGCTCTTAGAAATGCTCCGCTGTTTTTGTTTTGCCATGACTCCCAGTCTTGTGTTTTCTGCTTCCATGGCTGCCTAATACTCCAGTCACAGTTCCACCTCGTTGTCGGTCTATTAAGCAAAGAAATCCCTGCTTTTACTTTGTGCCATTGGGGTCTCGTGTGTAGCATCTTTATGCAACTAACAACCAACTGCAGAGTAAACTTTCTGCTTCCTGTGCACACTGGCAAACGTATGCCCAATGTACATGAGTGTTGCGTGATAAGGGTTTATGTGTATTAGTTTGGACAGGGACTAAAACTGATACATAGCCAAAAAGGCTGGTGTGGATGGACATTGCTTTTGTTTTAAAATTGCATTTTAAAATGTAGTATTGTGGATGTAGCCTGTTTACACATCAGCCATAGAATTCATCAAGTATCAAGTCAGTGGATGTTGTAATTCTCAAGTTTATCTACAGCTAAACACACTAATGGATGGATTATCTTCCAGAGCTCCTCACCTACATAACTGGTAACTGTTAACACATTCTCATCATGATGTGGAGACCTGGTTTTATGAAAGAGAAAAGTATACTCCCTCAGTTTGATTAAAAGCAGACAGATATTTTGTAAAAAACTTTTTAGTTCTTACAAGTCAGATCTCAGATGGGCCTTTATATTTATGTTTTCACTCTTGATTTATATGAAGAAATGTATGTTTCAAATATCTCTACTCCCCCTTTAATTTTAGGTAGAGCAATATGAGAGAATCCGGAGTTATACAGAAGATTTGAGCTAATTTATGAGAATGTAAACATTTCTAAATAAAGCTGCTATATGCTACGACGGCCTGTAAAGTGGAACTTGTTCTGTCATATGTTGCAGAGGCACACGGTCTGTAGCAGCTCAGTGACATTTGACATTCAAACATGACAGACACATGGGATACCAAAAGCKTTATTTTGAAAATAGTATTTATAAATACTGTCAGAAAACACATGCAAGTATTAAAAATACAAAAAAAAGGCTTACAAAGAACATTTTTTTTATTTTCAGCACAGGAGTGGAAAAGTGATTGCAACTGGCAGAGAGTCTCTGCTATGAAAAGAGGACAGACTTGTTGTAACTATCCATGACGGAGAATAATTTCCACCATTCCCATTCCCTCATCCAGTAATGTGCAAATCAAGTGTTCCTGGTTTCAGGGTTGAGCATGACAGATACAATCAAATCTTACATATCATCGAGACTTGTATTTTTCAGTTAAGAGCATGTGATGTGCGTTACAGCTTGCACCTAGAGCCTCTCATATCCGGGCAGTCAAGGTCATGAGGAGGCAGTTTGTTTTACTGTTTAATGTGTGTCCAAATCTGAGCAGCATAGCATTGCATCATCACCAACATAAAAACTGGAGTTCACCCAAATGTTGAGGGTTCAGCATATTAACGTGCAGTACAGTGGGAGCTGTGGCATTGGGCCTTACATTTTTCCTTTCCCTTTTTAAAATAAAAACTAATTTAAAAAAAAAAAAAGGGAAAAAGTGGACATTCTGCAAACATATAGACAACAACAGCTTTAAGGTCTATTATGGCCCACAGTGTTCCAGGGATTCCTAATTCTGAATCAGAATCAAGTAATACTCGAAATACACTGATCTCTCACGGCGGAGCTGTGGAGGAAAATGACTGATAGCGATCCCGACCGTGTGTCTGTCAGGAATGAAAGTCTGGGGCAAAAAGAGAAGGAATGGACTCGAGTGAGCAGCTGAATAACAAAGAGCAGCAACTTGTCACTGTCTGCCATACATGCAATACTGCAGTCAGCTGTGTCTTTGTATTTTAAAGTACCAGCAGGTCTTTCATACTGAAAATCAAGAACAGTCTTGGATTTTCTGTCTACCAGCATGCAGCAAGAAAACACAAGTGTCAGGGCTTTATTATTGTGGAGCATGTCTCCTGCAAGTGGCCACTGCCTGAAGTCAAAGAGAAGAGTCCTAACCTTGAAGGAGGCTTTTTTGTGTGTTGAAACCATTCTGCTGCTCTTCCCCATTTTGGGAGGGAGATCCTGTAGAGGGAGATAAGAAAAGAAAAAAAAGACGCTTTTAAAATTCAGGCTCAAATTTAATTTTAAATTCCTCTATGCAAGATAGGTTAAACCTTGGGTTGGAAATATTGGAAAAGCTTGCCAGTGCTGGCTACAGGCGATACATCCCATCCCCTTCCATATTCTCTCTCAATAAAGCTGCAGCCCCAAAACAAATGAATGTGCACCGACAACTGCTGGAGGATGACTTTGCAGTCCACTTACTAACTTCTGATTATCGTACCTTCGTCAGCCATATATATCTTTCCGTCATGTGCAGTGAGAGAAGAGGGAGGATATACACAGGGAAGCACGTCAGTTAGTGACGGACAGGTAAACCAGCGGATCATTCCATCCAAATGAAATGATTGTGTTTATTATAGTCCTGCGAGGGCCCCAGACAAATGTATTGGTACAACAAAGTGGTTCAACAAATGAACAATGTTTCCTTTAAGCAGATATGCTGAACTGAAATCCAAGAAAATCCTTTATTTTTCGTCCCAAAGAGAGACAGAAAAGCTACTTTATGAAACCAGGACTACTGACTACATTGTATGCCCTGAATCACTTCTGTGGCATGGCAGGGTAACCTGACCTGAGCCTCTGCTTCCAGGCAAGTTTAATCCTTAAACCCTAGTTTTAAACCCCTGCTCTACTTAGCTTCCTCTCTGCATTACACTTACTAATCACAATCACAGTACCGGATGAGCATAGTAAATAAAGATAAAGTAAGATTCTTTAACTTCTGTTGTAAAACAAATGTAACCTGATAAATCTCTAACACAAAATTTAATTAGTATCACTACTACTATTTTAAGTACTGTGTGGTTAGATATGTTGCCCTAAACATTTTCAGTCTTAAACCAGACCACACTTTGGCTAACCTCAACCAAATGCTGCAAGAGTCTAAACATAACTTAAAACTTTAGCAATGCTGTGGTTGTGGGAAACGAATGTGTCGTCTGTGAACATGTTGCCGCTTGTGTCCACCTTTCTGTGACTTAACAAAACTGTAATCTCTAGAAGACAGGGTAGCTTGAACTCATCAGTCACACAAAGAGAAGTGTCATCAGCCTTCATCCTCCTCACCCCAGCCGTTGGTGGACACGTCGCGGTTGCAGATCTCATTGGCCAGCCTCTCGAAGTACTCGGGCAGGTCGGCATACTCGTCTCCATAGGAGATGACTTTGATTCCCTTGTCCAGCATGTTGTCGCGTAGCTTCTTGAACTCGCCCACATCTTCGCGCCGCACCAGCATGAAGTGCTCCAGGTCCGACTTGTGTTTGACTGCCTCCAGAAACAGAGCCTGGAAGGTGGTGTCGTCCACTGTGCGCCCGCAGCCGAGAAACACAAAGGATTTGGTCTCGTACAGTTTCTGTATCTCACGCTGTTGAAACAAGGGGTAATGTGTGTGAATTCTCTTTAGACATGCTGCTATTTCAAAAGTATGATTCACTAAAAAAAAAAACCTTTCAAGTATAAAGTCATGATATTACAAAATAAAATTGTAAGATCACAAGTTAAATCTCATATTATGAAAAATAAAGTCATAATTTTATAAGAGGAAGAAGATCAGTCTGCTGCCCGTGTTAAAATGAGAAATGTGGAACATCTTGTTGATATTCCATCTTACAAAAAAAACAGTGTTGGAACAAAGACAATTTGGAACAGACAGCCTTTCCCAGTTTGTGCAACTAGTATGAAAATATAAATTAAATTAATAATAAAAATACACTTTTCAAAACATTGTTACAAAATGTTTTACATGGTTGAACCGGATAAAAACATTTCAGGACTGAGGCAAATAAAGTGATAGAATAAAGTAATACAGTTCTATGATAATAAAGCAGACAAGACGGTGTACCAGGATTAATAAAATATATGTTCTTGAAGTGATATAAAATATGTCACTGATTCTCTATCCTTAGATCCTTGGGAAGGGAGTCCCAGAGCTGAGGAGCCTTGCTCACTTTTAGTCTTGAACCAAAACTCAGGAGTGGCAAGCAGAGCCCTGCCCGAGGATCTGAGGCTGCACTGTGGCCCTGAGGGGAGCGGTAATACAGCATTGTAACATCACAAGCTGAATCACAAGTTCCTTTATAGGTGATCAGTAAAGTAGTAACATACCAGAAACATGTTCTATTATTTACAAATTCAAATTTCTGTTCGACACATGTCAACAAACCAGCCCGACAACGACTTCACTCACTCACCATGACCTCAGTGTTCCTCAGTACATTCTGGTAGCCAGCAGGGTGCAGCACGATCCCACGGGGGTTGGTGTAAACACCGTGGATATGCAGCACACTTAACCTCCGTTTCTCCTGAGCCCACTCCAACACCTAGACATGCACACACACATCACAGTCCACTGCTCTCAATCCTGTTCTGGCTGGGCAGCGTGTAAAAATCACTGAACAGCAGTGAGAGGATATTAGCCCTGATGGAGAGGAGGCATAAATACCAGGACTGAGAGGCACAGCGACCGGTCTCTCAAAAAACTCAATCCATTCTTGCAAATTTGTGTTTTATTTAACAAATAAACAAACTGACTATTTTAAAATGAGCCGAGACATAAGTGACATGATTGGATGAGTTGAGATTTCATGAAGAAAACTGGTCAGAAGGGAAACAAATCTATGTTTACTTGAGAAACACACACATGCTCCTCACCCCAGTCTTAACCAAAAAGCAAATATTGTTCAATCTATAAAATTCAACAGCGGCTGAGTAATGGATGGAACTTTAACCTTCCTCCACCTGTCGGAGACAAAAGGCTCTTTCAGGTCAGAGCTTTCTCTATTTTTCTCTAAAACAGACCAAAGAGGAACTTCACTGAAAGGGAAGATATATAAATCCTGTGGAGGAAGTAAGTTCCACCAAATGCTCAGAGTATAAGGAACTATTCAGGTGGATATATAACCTTAAAAGAATTTAACAATGCAACCTGAATTGAAAAAAAAAACCCTCCTACAATCGAACCATAGACAAACATAAGTTACTTGCTTTAGCGCATGCACTTTGCACTCATTTGAAAGAGAAAGCTGACTTGTGATCAGGAAAAATCAATCAATCACCCAAGCAGCGTCTGTTTACCTTCTTCTCATCCGTCAGGTCCAAAGACTCTAGCTTGGTGCCCTGGTGAGCCGCGTATATCTCCAGCAGGTTGTCGAAGTTGGTGGTGAGGACCAGCGCCCCACTCTCCATCAACTGCAGCACCGAGCGCAGCAGATGTTTCCCTGCATGCTCCATCTTGCACTCCAAGTCGTCGAACACCTCGTACAGACAGTCCTTGAAAAATGTGGATCGTACGTTGCCCGTTCTCTGTCCAAAAACACAAAAACAGGAAAAGATGCTAGTAATAATGTTTACTGTTAGAGAACTGCACAACTTTGGATATTTTACAAGTGCTTATACAGAAATCATACAAATAATGCTGCCAAAAATACCAAATTCACCTAAATTCCTGCAGAAAACACCTTAACGGACCATTTACAACACTCCACAGATAGTGCATGATGCTTTCAAGAACATATCCTCTGTGTCTGCGGACTTAACCTTTATACTATCTCAGCTAAGCATCATTTAACAGCATTAAATTACCATGATAACCACTGGAAAGGGGAAATGCAGCAGCACTGGGATCTTCATTTGCCAAGAGGAAGTAAAACAGATATTCAAAATAAACACATCATGAATGATTATCACCGGAGCACTGAATTAACTGAATTATCTAAAATCGTAAGTCAGAGGGTTGCAAACACTTTCTATCTTGCAATCTAAGTTAGTTTTACATTTACAGCTATTTTGCAGGGGAGAGCCATGCAGAGCCAATCCCAGCTCACGTTGGGCAAGACGCAGGCCACACTTTGGACAGGTCACCAGTCTATAACAGGGCTGACACATGGGAAACAAACATCAATTTATGCTCACATGTCACACTGATGAGAAATTTAAAATCGCCAATTAATCAATTTACTTTGTCTTCGGACTCTGGAAGGAAGGCAGAGAATCGAAGGAAACCTACAGAGCCACGAAGAGATCATGCAGACACAGAGGAACCCTGGCCAGCTGGCAGGTTTGACCCCTCGAGGCCACAGCACTGACCACTGAACTGAACAAGTCTGCTTGGTGAACTCTTCAAAGGAGAATGGCCACACTGATGTGAAAGAAAATTAGAACTCTCCTAATTTTTTAAATGATTTCAATATTGCAAAAACATTTCCAACCTAAGATGCTGAGTAAAGAGTGTATGACTAAAAAACTACATTTACTGGTTTAACTTGCTTGAACGTTATTACCTTTTGGGGAAGTATCTCATGTTAAAAATTAAAGTATCAGTTAACCACTGTCAAATACAGCAATTGTGATGTGGAGTACACTTTCACAAACCCACATCAAGCAGCCTTTTAATTGGATTGAACCGTCTTGAGTGCAGTTTTATTTACAGTATATAACATGTGACCTGACCATGTAAGAATCAAGTGTCTTAAAATAAATGTGTGCATTTTAAACAGAGCCTGGCGGTATTTATCAGCCAACTTGCATTATTGTTTGCCGTTTTATTTTACAGAATAAACAATGCAGAAAAGACAAGCATTTATTTACATTTGAAATCTTTTTAAAAAGGACAGTTTATTTTATTAATTCAAGTTTTATTTATTTGGTTGTATTTTTTTTCTTTTTAGTGGTTTACAATAAAGTTTATGTTAATTCAAACCGTATAATACTAAGCCTCAATTACTTTACTTCTTTGTCATAAGGGACTGACAACATTATAGAAATCATAGAGGATTATAAATTATAAATGGGCAACGTATAATTTCTTGTATTGTAAAATCAGCTAATATATTGGTATTTGAAATATTTTACTCATTAATATCAGTATCGGACCCAGGACTATTACTACTGTAGTAGTAGGACAATTTTATTTTGTTTATATCATAATACAAGAGTATGAATGGTAATAAAGCCCAGTCAGTGCTCCCATTTCTAGACACACTAGGAATTAGACACATTAAGTAGGCCTCTGCCTAGTTACCATGCTTAATCATGAGCTTAGACCCAAAGCTTGATAAATGACCCACATAGTCATGTACTTCAGGAATCAGACTTTTTGACCTTAAACCTTTATTTCTGTTTTAATATGCTTTCAACAAATTTTCATTCACAGAGCTCTTTTTATCAGCATCTTAAATTATGTAATTTACTCTGAAGCAAGACTTCAGGTGAGTCAGCTTTTTAAACATCTGCTCAACAACAACAACAACAACGTGACTAGTCTCATGCAGTCGATAGCAAAAGTCAGTACAAGATTGTTCACAGATTGAAGCAGACACCACGACTCCTTTCATAGTTTCTGTCCTGGGATTTCTCTGCCTTGCATTAAGGGCAAGAAAGAGGTAGTCTGTCATATATGGCCCAGTCCCCGGATGCTGAACTTCTGATGAAAAGTTTCACAGGCAGAAGTCTAGTTTTGATGAGGAGATTAATTCTGGTTTGTTTCTGCTGAATCTCTCCATGACAATGAATGAGAGGTTTTGTGAAAAGCTGTGGGCGAAAGAAAGGCAGGAAGAGACGGTAAGCCAAGAATAGCAAAGACTAGTGGCAATAGATGCAGTGACCAAGGTGATCCTTGCAAAGGGAAATGCTCCACTGACTTCCAGAGATTATGGCTCTAACAGGCTTAACGGTAGGAGCCCTTTCCACAGGAAGATGGCTCATTTCCCATTTCCTCCACTGACCCTGTTTATGTTTTTCTCGCTCGAATAAATTTACTTGTCAGCACGCTTAAATTAATTAGCTTTTTTTTTTGCCGAGGTCAAAGGTGTGAGAGGATTTACGACAAAAATAAGTTCTCTTTGGAGTTTTAACATCAGATTACCCTCATTTCCTGACACTGTGTAACTGCGGACCACCAAAATCCATCTGATACACAATTTCATGAAGTGTTGGTTCAGACCTCACTGTTAGTGGAATTAGGTGGAGCTGAGGGCAGGCCTGTCATGACTCGTTTATTTCTGAGGGTATTTTGTTAGGCACCTCACAATGAATAATACCAACATTGTGGATGATAAACACATTAGTACATTACAAGTGCTAACATGCGTGCTTACCTGCAATAAAGGAAATATTTTTGCAGATGGATTTTGTGATTATAGCTGCTACACGCTCATGACCTCTCCTTTAACATGCTTGCTGTTGGGGTGGTGCGTTAACTCTGTCTGAATGGAAAATCTAGTGGGGGGGGNGGGGGGGGGGGGGGGGGGGTTGTTTTTTTTCCTCTGCATGCTAGATCCTGCTGTGTCTGTAGCCAACAGCAGTGGGCTGGTGTCTGCACGACTGTGGATTGAAATAAACACGATGGATAAAGCCATAAAAGCGCTGTTTGTTCCCTTTGTGACAACAGGCTGAGGCCTGAAACAAAGAGTGTTTTATCAATGTCAAAGGTGCGATGAGACATGACTAACACAGGAGGCAAACTGTAATAAGGCTCCCATCTGGCAGCCCTGCTCCAGAACAGACCTGTCCAATAAAAAAGACCCGGGTCATCCGGTAAAACCAAAAATGATATTATCCGAAGTGGTATTGAAGAAATTGAATTAATTTTTCTCCCCATCAGCAACAAAATTTGTTTGATTCTGGATTATCTTCATTGTGCTTGTTGTTTATTTTATTTTAACTGTGCTAGTCTCTTTCTCAGGGTGCAAGTTAGATTTATTTTTGTTTCATTCCTCTCTGTGGTCACATGGTGCAAAACAGTCTCAAAATTGCTCTGCTCTGTGTGATGGAATGGTTCTCCTTTTTGTACAAATGTGTATTCTAAGAGGGGTATAATTAACTGCTATTTGATACAATAAAGTATGCAACCTTACTTGCTTATTGCAAATTCACGGGATGTCCACACTACAAAGCCACTTTGTTTCAGGCCTAAGAGATCTTGTATGTGGCTTCCAGTTTCTGGAAGCTCTTACCAAAATAGAGTATGGTTTGTTGATGACATTGAAACATCATTTGCAAGACTCACCAAACTACCCAATAGTGGCAGCTTATGTACAACTTTTTTGGCACAAAGCAAATCAGTGGAACGCAGGTTTGTACATATCCTGGAAACATCTAGTCAGTCTCGATTAAAAAAGACAAGGGAGGATCAAAAAATATATAAACTAAGGTGGCTAAGTTCAGCTAGCCTGCCTTTATCTGGGCGATTGTTTTCCAAGCTGCCCTGTAGAAAGCAATGGGGTTTATGAACACTTGAAAATTAGAAACACAAAACAGAGCCTCACTACATTTGAGATCAACACAATATTCACTGACTAAACCCTTTGTCTGAATTGACCAACATTTCTGAGAACAAATACTAAAAACAAGCCATGTGTCATTTGCTATAGGCCTTTTAATGAGATAAGACTAAGATGTCTTATCTCAATCCATGCAAGTTGAAAAAAAATGTTCCTGGCTGAGAAAAGGACAGCAAGCTGACAGTCATTCTAGCATGTGTTGGTACATATGCAACAAGGTGACGCGGGAGAGGCAAGGAAAAAGGCTCAGGCAGTCTTACCGGGGAAAGTTTCTGAATGAGGTCATGGGCCACATGCACCAAATTCTTGTCTTCCTGCATGTGTTTCTGGAAACGCCGACTTTCTTCCTCCTCTAGTAGGTCAAAGTCATTGGCCGCATCAAGCAAGGCCTGGATGAGGCCCTTCCATGAGCGGAGTGCCGGGACCTGAGGGGCAACTGCAGAGCTCACCCCTGTGCCAATCACCAGGACCAGCTCAGGGGCCCGCTTGGTCTTCAGGCTGGGCAGCAGTTTCCTAAAGGGCAGGGAGAGATTGAGTTAAGACGGTTCCGAAGACGGTGCTTCCCAAATCCTTTCAACAACATGGAGGTTAAAGCATATTCAAGCATACTGGCATGCAGTGTGAAACTAAAACTTACCTTTATTAAGATGTGGTAAAAAAAAATTTAAATAAAAAAAAAACTAAAAGGCTTCAATCAGCCCAGCTGAAAAAACCTAGGACTGAAAAGTCACAATAATGTATAGCAATTCAGCTTACCTGGGCTTTTTGGCATTTGAATCTGCATCCTGAGAATCAGCTGCAGGTCGCTTCTCAGTTTTCACTGCTACAACGGAGGCCATTCAGCTCCTGAAACACAGAGATGATACAACACATGCTGCTTCTGAAAGCCTTGGCAATGCAAGTTCAATGAGGATTTATTTAGCAAACAAAAGGCAACACAGCATTCCTCCTAAATTAGCACCAACACAAAATTACAGAATACTAACACTGCCACAACTCTTTACACTCTGATCACACTGGAATCATATTTTGCAAATGTACATATATATGTCAGGCAAAAGCAGTCTAATTTCAATTGAAATGTTGCTGAACCTGTTTTACCTAACAACATCCTTATCACTTTACAAACAGGAAATCTTTTGTAAAGAGCTTACTGCCAGCACTTCAAGTCTAATAACATACTGATAGCCACTATAAAAAAGAAAAAGGGCTGCGGTTCCCCGCAACTTAAACACACCTGGTGAATTTTTGGTTCAACTGCTTATGATATTTATTTTTTTTAACATCAAGTAAAGTCATTGCTCACAAAGTCACAGCTACAACTGCATTACATAGACAGGATATGAGTGTTTAATTTAATCTAGTATATGTATCAATATTAACATGATTTCATTTGAAGACAACTATCAGTGGCTTTTATGCTGCAGATAATCAGCATTAACAGTTTCCTAAACTTGATGTAGGTAAGTTAATGTCCCCTAGCAACAGCTGTACATATAGAGGAAGTCAGTGTAACATTTATTAACATGAATTTATAAGTATATAATAACTACCAGTAACTTATATGCTAAAGTTAACAAACATTACCACAGTTATCTTACCTTGATGTAGGTGAGTCCAACGCTTATTTCTACTCAAGCAGAAATTCCTTTGATTCAAAGTCAACCAAAATCTAAGTTGTGTTCACGTGAACCACGTGAAATATCCACTGGATTTCAGCACTCGCAGCCTTTTTCTGATGGTGTTAACGAAAGCTAGCCCACATAGGGATAAACACCAGGGACACGACGTACAGCGAAAAGTGAACTAACACCTTTAGCGTTCAGCTAGCGAAGAGTTAGTCCGTCGCTCTGAGGCTAAGTTAGAGGTTTCCTGCTCATACTGAGAGTAGCTAATGAATGTTAGCTCACAGTGCTGATGTGTCCTGGATACAGCTGCTCAGCACACATTCCTGTTGACTCATGTGAACGTCGCTGATGTGTGTGCGTGTGCGCGCGCGTGCGTGCGTGTGTGTGTGTGTGTGTGTTTTAAACTCAGACATTAAAGTCACTGCCTGTAGTGGTGTGTGCGCTCGGCCTCATGATGCCTTCAGGTGCTGTCCGCATAACTGGCCTCAGTGTTTATTGTTCTGCGTGAAAAATCAGGCCCACAAGAAAAAAACAAAACATGAATACTTATGTATATCAGCAAGGTTATTTGATGTGAGTCATCCTGAGATACCATTGTGTTACACATGCGTAATGTATACATTATACATACATCATACATAATAATGACAATACACTTTATTTATGTGGGGACTGTTGGGTTTTTCAAGTCTTGACCTTAAGTTGTGATTTGGCGCTAAAAATGTAACTGAATTGAATACCATTTATTTTAGTTCATTCATTTTTCTGCCATGGATTTTGTAAAGCACTTTGTAACCTTGTTTAGATAAGTGCTGCATAAATAAAGTTTTTATTATTATGTTTAATATTATGATTATTATAATGTAGCACAGTTACAAGGTGCTTTTTAAGTTAATTATGAATCATTTAAAGCAACCAAAGGGAAACAGTTAGTCAATTTAATTTAATTTAAAATAATTCACTTTATGGGAGATTTGAAAATGGATAAGGGGATACAGAATGATCCAGGGAGATTCATCCAAGCAAGTTTCCTGAGCTCCATGACTGGACATTGCATTTATTGCCTCAACAAATATCAGTGATCATTTATTTTTGCTTTTAAACAACAATTCACTTTTTTTTAACAACTTTAAAGCTAAGATTTACAAAGTGCACCCGAATGCAGCAACACCTAGATCCTTTCTGACTGTGTGACGTCAGAGAAGGTCAAGAAGGCAACACTGTACAGTGCAGCACCTTACAGTCTGTGTACTAAACACTAAATGTATACACTGTTGTTTACATCATAACCTGCCCTTTTTGCATTTATAAAATGATTCAGCAGATTGCAGCAGAAAGCACATAGCACTTTCTATTGTAGCATTAATGTGTACTATAACATCAGAGAAACCAAACACTGCCTTTGTGCTCAAGGCCTCATATTGTCATAGTATGTGTTATAATGTATCAAAAAACTTGCTCAAATCAAAGCCACAGCTTCGTTGATCCTGAGTAAAACTATAAATATTATTTTTGATTAACACAAATCTTTGTTGTTGTTGAGCTGGTACTTTTTTTTTTTTGTTCCAACAGTATTTGTTTTCTCCCAATGAGTGTTCTTGGGTTTCTCTAGCAACTTATGCTAAAAAGTCACACGTCAGCATAAACAACTTCAGTCAAAAGCACTTGCTGGACTGGCCTGTCCCCTCATGTTCAAAATGAGAACTGCACTTAGAAGTATTAAGGGCAAAGGTCACAGTCCAACAAATAAAATGAATTTGATTCAATGCATGATATCGTTTTGAACCACTGGTGCAGCCTGTCGTCCGTCCAATACCACAAAATCCAGTCCAGGTGAAGATGATATTTCTATCCCCCACCACTGAAACTAACTGGGTCCTGAGTGAATGATTATGTAAAATACTCACAATACTTATATACATCCTGTTTCTAAAACACTGTGCATACTACACTGTTCCTCCATACTTTCTTCAAGCAATGCTGCTAACATGAATAGGTCTTAACTATTTTAAACTATTTAACATATACAAACCTCTAGGTATCATCACTTGCTCAGTATTAACATTTATTTTATTTCATTCACTCCATCTATTTATATATTTCAGACAGTTTTACAGATATATCATTCTATTTTATATCATTCAATTATTTACTGATGCATCTCTGAATTGATTTCACTTGAAAACCTTACTTTTTATTCCTCGTTTCATTTATTCCTCTATTTTATTTCATTATTTTATTTCCATCCTATTCTTATCTCTTCAAGTATTTTATGTTGGTATCACTATTTTTTTAATCTTTTGACCTAATTGTATTTTTATGAGGTTTACATTGTATGAGAAGTGCTATGCAAGTCAACTCTTATTGGTGTGAAGGGCTGTATTATTTTAAATTAAATGGCTGAGGTGTAGAAAAGCAGAAGTCTATTCCTAAGAATGCACTGTGAGTTTCCTTTACACACCGTCTGTTCCTTAACTTCATTTCTGCAAAGTAACTGTGGAGTCAGAAAGATTTAAATGAGTATAAACACAAAAATGTGCATTTGAGTAGCTGACACTGTAATTGTAGGAGGCCTGGTTCGATTTCTGTTTGAGATGATTGAATGTTACATGAAAAGATAAATAAAGTGAACAGATGGGGATATGTCAAAATCAAACAAGTAGCAATAAGTAACCCTTTAAAGGCTCAGTAATTACCACTTTCTTTTTTCAATTTATTTGACAATTATTCAAAACATTTAATGATCAAACTGTTGACAAACTCTTAAAGCACCAAATAACACAGAACACACGCATGTTCACCTGGTGTGTAAATAAGTTATAATTATAGTGCAATGCATATTATGTATAGGCAGAATTTTAACAAACATCACTGCATACAAGTTAGTATTGAATATAATCTGAATTAGTGACAGACCGATTCATTGGTCGGCCGATTAATAAGGGCAATAGCTTGCATTTTGAGATAATCTGTTAATTTTTAAATTTAGAAGTAGTGCATATCTGCTAAAGCAAACAGATAAAGCAGATTTTTCATTTAAAACAAATTGGTGATTAATTAATGATAAATAAATGATTAGTTCAGCAATTTTGTACCTGATGTCTTACTCTCAATAAATAATTCTACTTTATCACATTCCAAAAATAAAAACAACATATTAATATTGTTTATTGGCCATCCACCACCCTGCTCTCTAATTATCAGCATCAGCACTGGCCATTGAAAAAACCCACATCGGTCCACCACTAATTTCAAACACCAACATATTTTCAAACGATACATGTCAATGTATTCAAAGATACATTCAAACATTTAAAGGCATACCATTTGACAGTCTTCAATATTCAAAAAATATTTCCCATTCAACAAATTTTCATCCAAACCCATAAAGAATATCACAACTGAAAGATTCCACAAACCCTCTTAAACAAAACAGGAAAAGGCATATTCTTCATATTTGATGACTTAAGACATTGGTTTCTCTCAAGCAGAGAGATTTTCTGTCACTGGATTATTTGCTGGTTTATTTTTATGTGATTGAATTAAATGCTGTAGCTTTCCAAGTTATAACAGGCTGGTTGAAGGGCAAAAATAATCTGAACCCTGAAGCTCCTGAGGAGGTAAAAACAAAGCAAGTTGTTCATACTTTTCAATTTCCCTTCTTGAAATGCATCAGTTGTGTTTCAAAGAACACAACATGGCCCTGAAAGTAGCTAACACAACAACATATTAACTTTCTAAATCAAGCAGATCTGCAGCTATGTAGAACTTGGCAGTCAATAACTGCAACAAATACATAGTTGTAAATTAAGTGGTTATGGATAGTCCCATGATAATAATAGTCCAGACTGGTTTTTGCAGATGTGTTACAAACTGAACTGTTATGAGAGAGCAGCATACTGTGGAAATATGTGCGGAATATGGCTTTAAGGACACAGAGGATTAGCAGAGGTCTGGTCAGGGCTTGGTTTAACAAAGCCGTCCCTTTTGCTGAAATCCACCACAGAGCCTGACAGTACAACTCTGAAGGCAGCCAAAGTTAAAGGAAAAAGAAAACACTGCAGCTCTAAACAGAGATGGAACCCTCTCTAAAGTTGGTCTTCCCGATCAGAACATTAAGCAGTGTGGCCCTGCCCTCCGCGGTCTCCTTCTGAACCTCTCTGATGATGTCGCCCAGCCTGTCCTCGTCCTCACGCCCTATGAGGTAGCCCTTGCCGCCGTAACCATCTGCCACTATGTGATAATCTGCACAAAAAGAGGAGAAGCTTATCAGTTAGCTACTACACAGACATAAGACATAAAAGATGCATGAATTTTTTTCAATGCCTGCAAAATTATCTGTGCATGTGCAACAACCATGCAACATCTTACCTGTAAATGCAAGGCCACATGCAACGTTGCTGCCGAGGATGGGAACCTGCTCTCTAGAGATCTGACTCCAACACGCGTCATTTCCCACCACAGCTATAACTGGAGTCTGGAGGGGAAAAGAATAAAGGAAATGTGGAATATCATAAAAAAATAATGTTATTTCTACAAAGACAATGCACAGATCCAGTCATCTTTTGCTGAGGCCTTTAAAGCCTGTGGCGGGGTATTACTACATTTTCAGAAGTTGATTTATCATTACAGCCACTATGAGCGTTTCAAATTTGTCAATTTCCGCCAATACATTTGCACAGACGTCTCCTGTAGGCTGGTGAAAAAAACTGCTTTATGACTACTTAAAAAGTAACCGAGCGAGAAGTTGATAATTATACAACTAGAAATAAAGCAATGTGCAGTTTCTGTCAAACATACATTTCCAGGATCATATAAGGTCACTGTAACCTTTGATCTCTGAAATCTAATCAGTTCATCCTTGAGTCCAGTTCAAAAGTTGCAGAAACTCCCTCAAAGTGGTTTTGAGATATCAAATTCAAGAGGCCAAAAAAATGCGTGTGAAGAGATCACTGTGATCTTCATATGTTCGTGCCAGATGTAAAGACATTTTCTTTGAGAATATTGTTTTGACTTTGACCTTTTGTGACCCTCGACTTCCAAAATCTAATCAGGTAATCTTTGAGGTATTTACTGTTATTACGGATAAAAAAAATAGGTCATTGATAAAACAGTCCCTTGTAACCGTGTGGGTGAACATTTGTCGTAAATCTGAAGACATTCCCTCAAGCTGATCTTAATATATCACATTCAAGAAATACATAAAAATAAAACAATAGCTCATGGATAAAACAGTCCCTTACAACCATGTGGCTGATTTTACCTTGTGTCTCGTAAACGTGTCAAACTCTGCAACACTGTATCCTAAGGAGCCGTCACCATACACTATCCACACCTGAAAAGCACACAGGGTAAGTAGCATCCAAATGATCTGATCAACAGAGGATCTGAACGATGCTTTCACTGGTGACTGTACCTCAGAGTCAGGCCGGCACAGTTTTGCTCCAAGTGCAAATCCTCCTCCAACTCCCAGCGTCCCAAAGGCTCCTGTTTGAACACAATTACAAATTACTAAACAAATTAAACACGGAGCAAACATGACTTGATCATGTTAAACAAACTTGAGATTTTGGATAACATTAAATAGAAGTGACTACTACAGCATAGTTTTCTGTGCACTCCTGCAACCTCCTTATGAGGAGACAAATAACCAGAAAACAACCATTTTGAAAAGAAAAGGATCTTACCTGGATCTAGCCAGCGCATAGGCCCTCTTGGTCTCATTATGTAAGCAGCACTTCCAACAAAATCGCCCCCATCTGCAACAATGATGCTGTCGTCTGCCATCAGCTCATCCACACAGTGCAGGACTTTCAGTGGATTTAAGTGGCGGTCTGTCTTCTCATCAGCTTTAGCTCTGGAATACAAATAAAAGAAAGGAAAAAAACTCAGATTTATGTATAAAAAAGGAAGACGTACGTCCTCTTCCTTCCATCCACATCTTGCACAGGAGCCAGAGTCTCTGCAGTTGTGATCAAATGAGTTGGAGCGCGAAGTTTTCCCTTTATTAAGATTTCACCAATAGGCACATTTTAATTTTGATTAATACGGCGACACAGAGCAGGGACCAGAGATCGTCACCTCTTCTTACCTGTTTGTATTTTCTTTGTTCACATCTCCTGTTTTGAGGCTCTGAGGCCATTCTTCTGGACAGCGGTGACCCTTCAGCCCTTTAGAAAGCTGCACTAAGAACGAACCAGCGTCACCTAGAATACACCAATATTTACATTTTAGACACAAAGCGTTTAATGAAAGTATCTGTCACAACCTTAGAGAGGACTAATCAATATTTAAGTGCAAGTTTAAACTTTTCACTGTTTTGATTGTGGCTGTTCAGAGAAGACACTTTTAAATAGCACATCTAAAGTGACACAGTAACTTATCAAATATAAACCTGTATGATGATGATGGCGGCTTGTGAACATACCCTGAATTGCTATAGTTGGTTTCCAGAACATATCTGAGTTTTTCAGCAGCTGTGATTTATCTCTGTTGACGGCGATGATCTTGCTCCGTCTGTTGAGAACTCTGCCGTAGCTCAGGCGGAAGTCACACACGGTGCCTAAAAACACAACAAACAGTTTGACATTTCAGCCAGAAACAGGCTTTAAACAAAAATATCAAAATATTCCTCAGTTATTGCATGATTATTTTAATACTCTTCGACTTTTTTTCCATTTAGTCAAAATTTCCAGACCTGCTAAAAGCACCAAGTCAGCGTCCTTTAGAGCATCTCTCCTGTTCTGACGGATGTGGATGGGACTGTTTTTACCCAGCATGCCACGAGACATGCCTCCAAGGAAGCATGGGATGCCCAGGTCCTCCAATGCTTTCCTGTAAAGCAGGAAAAAGATTTTGACCAGATGAGCGTTGCTGAGAAACATTTTAAAACAACTTTTGAATGCTATCGGACGGCTGAAGGAAAAACTTGAGTAGCACTTCTTAAACCACTAAACTTTCCAGTTCAGTAAGATACAGGATAGAAAAGTAGGGGGGGATGTGAGATATTGTCCTTTACCTAATGTCATCAACTGGCATGGGAGGTAGTGTTGCTTGGCTTCCCAGCAGAATAACAGGTTTCTTGGCTCGACTCACCAGCTCTATGCACCTTTGTACCTGAATTGTATTGAAAATAATTACAAAGCAAAATGTTTAAAACTCTGCAAACAATGAGAGGGTCGTCTCATTGAGGTACAGTATTTAGCTAATAATAATGATAAATATTAAAGAGCACTTGTACCTGATCCTCTGTGGCTTGTGGGATATCAACAGGAAGCGGAGACACATCTCTGGTCTCCCAGGCTCCAGCAAACAGGTTAATCAGGTGGTTATTGAGGTACCTGAGGAGAAATCACATCATCACAGGGAACCAAGCAGGATTTTTGTCTTTAGAGTAAAGAGTGACATAAATCACAGGGAGAGAAAAGCACTAAAAGTTAATGGTTCTCTAAAAGACGTTACCTTGGAGCAAATCTTAGTTTATCAATGTACCAATAAAGTTACTGATTCTTGTAATGGGTAGAAGTGTAATTTTATATCATTTGAAGTCAAATTTCTATTCTCACACTGTATTTATCTTTTTTTAAATACATGTTCAGTGTCAACAAGACAAGCTGATGACATACCATGTGACAATTTTCCCCATCAAGCCCTTGGGAGGGTTCTTAACCCCAAACTCTTTGGATACCAGGTGGTAGGGGTACAGTGTGTCGATGGGGAACTCTATGAAAACAGGTCCAGGGGTTCCAGACTGGGCGATGGCCAGGGCCTTCCTCACCGTAGGTACGATCTCTCTGATCGTCCTGACGGACGCACAGAACTTACATAGCGGCTTGAACAGAGACATCTGGTCAATGTCTTGCAGCGCTCCTCTGCCCTGTACCACAAACACAATTGATGGAGAGGTTAGAAATTGCAGCTGAGAACATGTACAAGTGTGATAGAGTTTTAGATCTGTCACACACTGTTACTGACCAGAGTAGAACTGCCCTTAAATGAAAACAATTATCTTCTTTTATTTCACTCTCAAATACACATCATGGTTGCATCAGTGTCACCTGAAGTAGTGTGCCAGCAGCTCCGCCTATGAGAAGCAATGGAGATTCAGCCATCTGAGCATTCTTCACTGCCGTCACTGTGTTAGTGAGGCCTGGGCCAGCAGTGACTGCTGCTACACCAACAGTGCCTGGTGGAAAGAGACAAAATAACTCAGCTACAGGTCTGACTAAACACAATGCTATGCTAGTCTCAGCCAAAACACTGGCACACCTACAAGCCTCTTTTAATGCTGTTAATTACACATCACAAAGTCTGGAGCAGAACAGCAACACGGCCAGTTCTTTAATGCTCCACAAGCACATCATGATGTTTTGACACATTTATCCCTGTAACGTAAAACTGCACCTGACAGTCTTGCCACAGCATCAGCAGCGAACACAGCTGTGGCTTCGTGCCGGGTGTCCACGATGCGGATGCCAAGCTTCTCACAAGCCACCAGGATAGGCGAGATGTGTCCACCGACGAGAGTGAAAACGTACTTGATCCCGTGGGCGCGGAGCACCTCTGCCACGCTCTCGCCTCCATGCCGTGGACTCTGTGTTTCAGTCTGAAATGCACAGATGACAGAATATTTAGATTAAACGATTCTGAAAACCTGAAAAAAAGATTTTTCATTGATAAATAATTGACAATGTAAGGTCGTGGCCCTCTCCAGGAGCATTTCACATAGTCGATCATTGAATTTAAGTTGGTTCTCATTAAATTGAGAAACTGACCAACCCAACCCAAACTGAGTCGGATGTTTTCCCAGTTACAGGCATGTGCAGTGAAATCAAAAAAGTTGATAGGCTGTTATCAACAAAAACTCTCTTGACATCTTTGTCTGTCTTCTGCTTGTATGTCCCCGCTTTTTCTTTCTGTTGCTCCACGTTTGTGTTGTATGGTAGAAATGTCATCAACACACCAACTCGATTGAAGAAAGGCTGCAGAAAATCCAGAGCGTCTCAGTTGGACACTTACGCTCACACATACAGCCCCTCTGGAGAATGTCCGGGGGGGGTCTCTGGAGTTCAGTGCAAAGTCGTTCTAATAGGCCCCCTGGGAAATTGCCCACATAGCCCAGCCTGTTGCACCGCCCCTGGCCCCTGTCTAAAGCCAATCACACCATCCCCTCGCCCCCTCCCCTGGTCTTTCATATATCACAATAACCACATACTGTCAGCCTTTGTGTTATCCCATTGACCGCTTGGCCTTTGTGCAATAAAACCCACCGAGCTGGTGAAAGGTCATGTTCGTGCGCATCGTCTCACCTTTCACCTGTGACCAGCCACTACGCACGGGTGGGGACACAGCATTGAGTTAGTACAGTGTAATGCTAACAGGTTACATTGTGTTTAGCATGTGGAGGAAACCCACCTTGTGAAAGAGCTGGTAGATCAAACCCAGTTTGTAGGCGGCCAGCAGGAGCGCACACACCGCGACGCCGGCACAGCATCCGAGGACGGAGCTGAGTGACTCCATGTTGTCACAGAGAAGTAAACACTCACCTGAGCTCAACTTAATATCAAACCTGCTCCCAACTCCTCCACTTCAGGCTAAGCTAAGTTACTAACGCTGCTCCCGACAACTGCTACACGGCCATTTTTCAAAGTCGTCACTGTCACTGTGCGATTAGATCACATGTGGAAAAAGCTCCGGGACACTCATCAGACACAGAGACTGCACTTCCGTGAACGCTGCTTTGACCTTTTTTATAACGACAACACAGGAACACCTCTGGACACCTTCACTAGTAAAGTGCACTGTGACTACATGTGCAACAACAGGGTTTACTTTCAAAATAAAGCCCCCAGCTACATTAAACAAGCGACAATAGAGGCCAAATGCATACATGTTCATGTATTCACAAAGACAATAACATGTGAGTATTTTCTCAATGTTACCCACTGCGAATTTAGTCAAGATTACCCGGTATAATAAATCCTCGTCCTTTATTGTGAAGAACATGACGAGTCTATTTCCGGTTACTGGGTTTATCTCATGTGACTTTAACAAATCAGTTTGTGGGTGTAACCGAACGAAGTAACGGACAAGCCCTTCGTCCAATCAGAAGCAAGAGGGGGCGGTTACAAACTGTCACATTGAATCAGAGCAAACTTCACACTGAGAAAATAAGATACAGATTTTTATTTTATTTTATTTTATTTTGTTTTGTGGGCATCAAGAGGCAGAATTAATGTGACACTTCACAAAAACTTTGGAGAGAAAAAAATAAACATTCTTTAACAATAATACATTTAGCTGCTGAAAATGTCATTGTGAATGATTAATTGTACAGGCAATTCACTGGTAATAAAGTCAGATCCCTATGTGTGTGTGTGTTATTGTGTGTGTGTGTGTGTGTGTGTGTGTGTGTGTGGGTGGGTGTGTGTTTGGGTGGCTGTGTTTGAATAGCACGTTTGTTCTCCCTATCTTCACAGCAGTGTACAAAAGGGGAGTTTGTAAACATCAATTGTCTTTCCATGATCAGGTTGTTCGGCAAACAGTATTTTGTCATCTGGTTTTTGTTCCTCAAAAATAATGATCTGAAAGAGAGCAGAAATTAAACTTGATTTGGTGTGAACGTAATCTGTCACAGATTACAGCAAAACAGAAATCAGAGGTGGACAAACATCGGATCAGGTTTACCTGATTCTCTCCACTTCTGAGCCACGTTCCAGGAAGGTAGAGGAAATGCTGAGGACCAATGAGCCAGTGGCGTCCGAGGTTCTGCCCGTTGACAAACACGACTCCTTTACCCCAACCCTGTAGATGCATGCACTATGCCTGATTAGAATGTGTGTTTGAAAACTGTGGTATCAACACCATCAACATCATCATCATTACACTTTTATTAAACAATCATGCAGTATTTTGTGTGGAAACATTGCAAAAGCATATTAACACTACAACAATACCCAGTTCTGATATATGTAGCTCACTATGAAATATAGGGGTTTGACTCACAGGGAGTGTGACAAAGGTGTCTGTGGGAGGCCCGTTCACATAGAGTCCGGCCTGGAAAAACCCTGGGATGCAGGGCGACTTGATGTCAGACTTCCAATAACCTGAATTTATTATTCTGAAACACGATCAAACAATCAGTTCAAACTAAAATCTATCCAGACATCATCTGGTAATATTTGACACATCATAATAATAATTAGGAAGTAACTGAGTATACTTTGGACTAAGGTAGATATATAAGCACGGCACTCAAAAGTCAAAGGTCAAAGCTATAAAAACCTGTTTATGAGTGAAATGCTGATTTATGAGAAGAGTACAAAGTGTTTCAGTGTGAATCTGTCCTTTAATTTGTATCAAGAAACTGTTTAGTGTAGCTCTTACTTCAGTTGACCAACCTTTTGATAAAGCCTGGCTTCATATCCAAACAGAAGATGGTAAATCCTCTGAGAGGGAAATGATTCAGCAGAATGTCTCCCACAATTCCTGAGAGGTAAAAACATGAAATGTAAACAAGCAGAAAAAACACACAGACACACACACATACATGCTTTTTGGTGTGCTCTATCTGATGTGCAGAATATGGCAAAGGAAGAAGAAAGTCTACACACACGAGAGTCATTCTGATTATTCATGTGTGAGTGAATTCAATAGATTTCGGTGCCCAAGCAACATCCAATCTGTTATGATGTTTCCTTATATTACTCGTGTCTAGCTGTGCACAGTGGGTAATGACAGATTCTGCTGGTATGACTGGTGTGAAAGCAAAAACATGGCACATGATTGAATGTACAATAACCTTTGCGCTGTTGATCCAGAGCTTTCCCGTAGTTCACCCGTCCACAGTTCTCCACGAGTAAACTCAACGTCCTCGCTTGCTTTGATGCACAAAACCAAGAGTCATTTTAGAAATCTTAGAAAATCTTAGAAAAGTTTTTTTTAATGTACTTTTACTTAAAGGTAAAACATTGAGTACTTCCTCCACCACTGATGTTTGCGCAGTTCATGCTGATTTTGTATCAGAGTCTTTTCTGTTAGGTACCTTGGATCTTTGACAACAAAATTAAAAAAAAAGTTCAGTACCTTTCCATCGGGGAGTGTCAGCTCGTGGGTCTTATAGTCCAAACTACCAACAAATTGTCTGTCCACAAAAACCTAGAGAACATTAACAGTCACAGTGACAGGGTTAAGTATGACCACATTATATAGTTGTTTTGAAACGATATCATTATTTGTGCACAGTATGTGTTTCTGGGGTTGATCTGCGTGTCCTCACCATGGCTCTATCTCTGATGTTGTTCCTGGAGTTGAGGACGCCTCCACTGCTGATGGTGGTTTCGTACAGCGTGTAACCGTACGACTGACCGTTGTTATTGTTGACAGGTAGACTCTCCATGTTCACCGGGCTCTCTGACCTGTGAGGCTACATGCACACAGTCAAACAATGCAACATGTTAGCCTCGTTCCATCAGCGTTCAATCAAATCTATGTTTGTGTCGTTTTACACGTAGGGCACATAACTGTTGGGGTAAAAATATGCATTATCACTGAATTTAACTGTACATGCATGCATGGCAATGAGGTGTACATGGAATTAAAGCTATTGTCTAAACTGCATATGATGTGCACCTCTTTGTGTTCACAATGTTTCATATGATGAAATCTGAGCAGACAAGCTGCAGGTTGCCAGATCTGGACACAGCAGCAGACAAACAGGCTAATAACAACAACATCCTGTCTGTCTGAGGCTCTCCACATCTTTTTGTGCTCATCCCAGCAGGGACAGTGTGGTTGGAGATTGGATACAACATTTTTCATCCTGTAGTAAACCATAGAATCAACTGTCAAACCTGACAGGTGCTCGGTGTATCTGCAGCCCACCTTGTCAGTGAAGTGCAGGCTGTCCCACAGTGACAGGTGCTGCTGGATGACAACAGGGTCGTACACTCTCCTTCCCTGTGGAGATGGCACTTCAGGAAGAGGCTCAGCTGGAACACGAGTTGACAAAAACATTTGCAGTAATTAAGTCTGATTATGACAGACTCAGATGCTCAGGGGGGTGAAGTCATCAGTTGAATTGCTAGATTTACATGGCTTTCAATCAGAGCATGTGGATGTTAAAGAAGAGCTTACAGTGGTACTGGCTGAATAAATTCCTCAACAGCTGATATTTCTGGGTGCAGTCTCCAGCCTCATTTAAGGGAGCGTCATAATCTGCAGGGAAAATATTCACAAATACAGTATGAGGCGATGTATCTGTTGAGGGGAGATTTAGTCTCAGAGCTCTCATGGGAAGGGGTTATGTCTATACCGACCATAACTGGTGACCTGAGGTTTGTAACCACCAAAGTCCATCGCTCCATTCATGAAGCCGAAGCTGGTTCCACCATGAAACATGTACAGGTTGATGGAAACACCTCTCTCCAGGATCTCTGACACCACAGCTAGCATGTCTGTCAAGAGGGAGCACAAATCCCAATAGGTCCCATCCTATTCACTGTAAAACGAAATACTTTTGCTCACTCAAGATACTTTTTAAGTATCAATACTCACATATATGAAATTAACAAGTACATACAGAGAAAACATAACGAAAGACTAATAGTTATATTTACTATATTTAATGAAGCAAAGCATTTAGTAATACACAGACTGAGCCAAAGAGCCACATGCAGTTATGAATGACTTAGAGTGAATAACTGTGATTATTGATTATTGAAGTGTTTCTTTACCCTCAGCATGGAACACATGGTGATGCTCTCCCCACACATCAAACCACCCAGACCAGTACTCCATCACCATCAGAGGCTTCTGCGGCTGCACAGAACAGAACACATGTCTGCATTACATACATATTATACTTTTATCTATCAGAGGCTTTCACAAAAGTACTAAATTGACTATTTCCCCCATGGCAAGATATATCTACATATGCAAAAGTAGAAATAACCAATACATGTAATTTACCTGCATGTCAGCCAAGTGCTGGATCGCTCCAAATGACAGTCTCTGAAGGTTTATTGTTTTTAAAACTGAAATGAGCAATGTGTAAAATACTTAAGTGCAGTTTCAAGGGCAAAACATTAAAAAGCTTCAAAGTTAGAAGTTGCAATCAGGTTTTTTTTTAATGTAAGTCAAAGGTCCCTACCGCCTTCCACTCCTCCATATCTCAAGCCCTCCCAGTTGTCTGATGTCAGCAGGAGCTCACGGATTCCTCTGGTCTGGAGACACTGCCGTCAGAGGAAGAGAAAAACCTTACACACATGAGGAATGCTGAAATACCTGCAGAACTATATAACATAAACATTTTATTGACAAAGAACTTGAAATTAATGAACTCACATTCTTTATAAATGACATGTATTCTTCATCTTTTGCATATGATCCATACTCGTTCTCAACTTGCACTGCAATGATTGGTCCTCCATCTTCAAACTTAAAAAACAAAATCAAGGAAAACTATGTTGGCTGCAACATTGATAATAAATATAGAATGTAATGAGGTCAGTTATCTGGACGTACCATCAGAGGTTTGATAATTGAGACAAGCTTGTCAAAGTAGAGGTTGACAGCATCTACAAATCCAGGATAAGTTGTCCTCAGCTGCATATCTTTATCTTGTAACAACCAGCTGAAAACAAACAAACATGAGAACAACTGTGTGGCGCATACGGCTCATACAGTATGTGGCTGTATTTTTAGATAATGACCAGATGGTGTTACCTAGGCAACCCACCCAAGTCCCATTCAGCGCAGATGTAGGGTCCAGGACGCAGGATGACCCAGAGACCCATCTCTGCTGCTAGACTGACGTAGGCCCTGAAAAAAAGAGGAGGAAACCTCTGCTTCATTCTGAATACAAAACGGGAGGGAAAAAAGAAAGAGGGTGCCTTACCTGAGGTCCAGCTGTTCCTGGAAGTTGAACGTTCCTCTCTCAGGCTCGTGCAGATTCCATGGCACATAGCTAAAAAAAACGGACGTGTAAAACCCTGATTTTCGTGTTTCTATTTCATTTTAGGACACAGACACATTTGATTTTATCTGATCTGTGTTAGAACAGTGAATATCCTGCTGTGTGAGGCGTAGTCACATCAAAGTGGCAGCCTACGTTGTGAGAGTGTTGAGGCCACAAGCCTTCATCTTCAGAAGCCGGTCCCCCCAGTACGCTCTGGGCACGCGGAAATAATGGATGGAGCCTCCCAGGATGTGAAAGGGCTCTCCCTCCAGAGTGAACTGATCCGAATTTGCCCTCAGACCCTCCGAACGACTCATTTTTCTCACTTCAGGATGGTGAGGGGAACTGTTTTATAAAACAGAGGTCCAGTCTTTGAAACAAGTCTGTGTTAGATGATTATATTCAAAAGAGTAAAGTATCACAACTTATATATTACTGTAATAAAGCTTTACAATCAGTAATTCATGAATTTGTCGTATATTGTACATAAAAATAGATGAAGATTTCACAATTGAAATATAAATAAAATGTAGAATAAAAGCAAAACCTTACCAAGGGTTGTCATGAAAGTCCAGAGGCAGAATTACTGTCAAAGCTGTACCATTGTAAAGGAGGACGGTGCTGGGAGGCCTCAAACTCTGTAGATAAGGGAAACTATTGTTGTTTCAGAACAAAAATATAATAGTGCTCTGTCTCTCTGTCTCTCTCTTTCTGTGTGTGTGTGTGTGTGTGTGTGTGTGTGTGTGTGTGTGGCAGTCAGAGAATGGAAGCATCACATTGCATTATACTGTATTGCATTATATGCTGGCTTCATGGTATAGTATATAGCTATAAATATAGCTACCTTTCTCCATGTTGTCAATGGAGTTCCATATCCCAGATGTCGCCATCTTGTGCTTTTGATGTCTTACTAATAGACACCAATCAGGAGTCAATCTCAGCACATTTTAGTGTTATCAAATAACTTAAATCCAAACCAATGGAAATGTTCAAGTTTACTTTGGAGAAGATTTGTTTGGGTACAGGGAATTGCTGCCTCAACACAAAACGCACTCAATAATAACATTAAATAGGACACATGTGCAAAACATGAGCTTTTGTTCACATCTGTCTGTGCCTGCTGCATCTACCCTCACTTGAATGCTGCAGAAATTCTGTGTTGCTATAAATGCATCTGAGGCTCTGCTGTGTTGTACATATGTAGGACATTCTCCGGAGATCATGTCTGAAAACGGCTTTAAACATCCACGAGAGGCCACGACACTTTTCACTTTCTGCGTTTTTTTCGAGCAGCGTTCCATTGAGGACGGTCCCTAAAAGCCGGAGAGCGGTTCAGAGCAGTGACGTTCAGGTGTGCGTGCGCGCTCCCGCTGCTGTGAGGACGCGCCTCCTCAGGGTGGTAAGTACATTGGCAAGACATCATCACACAGTGTCTGTCCGGTTGTGGACACTGATCTCACCGGGGACACTTAGACACCGGGACAGGCGGGACACTTCTTCTTTGAGCTGAAACGTTAATCCCGGAAGTTGTAGTTCTGAGGAGCCGAGTGAACATGGGGTAGCTCAGGTGGACAGTTTGACAGGCTTCACGAACTTCAGTCCCCGGGACACACTCCGTCAGGCTGAAGTCCAGAGGGTCGGTCACACAGGAGCACAGAGAGGAGGAGTGATTTACTTCGTGCTGTCCGGAGACACGTTCGGTCGCGTTGCGCTCACTAGAGTCGTGTTTCCAATGGAGAGCTCCTCTGTGTTTGGTGTTCGTCTGCCCCTGAAGCAAAGGTACTTTCTGCTGCTCTGCATCGCTGCGGGAGCCATCATCACTTATCACAAGTTCACGAGGTAAGACAGCGGACGATGTTCGCATTATATACACGAGCTGTCAGGAAGGTTAACTCACTGCTCTCGTGTTTGAATGTGTTTCTGGGTTTCCTTTGGTCGTGTTGCTGCCTCCCTCTGATTTATTGTAAACTGCATGTGAACCCCCCCCCCCCCAGGCTCACCTGACCACCCAGGGTCCATTACAGTGACCTTATTAATCATCAAGTTGCTCCACGTCACTTTGTTTGCTTTTCAGGTGTGAGTCTCAAATCGCATCTGTTCCTCTGATCCTAACATATGCAATATTAAAAAGACATCAGCAATAAGTAGTAGAAATATAAAAGAAATATATAGAGCAAATATGAATAGAATTAAACTAATATATACAGTGTAAAGAAATATATCATGTGAGAGAATATGTTCAGTGAATGGATTGCACATGAGCCATTTATATTGCACAGTTGAGAAGTGTTAGTCCGTAATGGTGGTGCATGTAGTTTTTGCTTAAAGCTGGTTGTACAGTCTTGCTTGAGTCATTGCTTGATACAGTTGTAAGCCTGCCTGTTTCCTTGGCCTGTGTCAGGCCTTGTTCCATTACCTCAGAGCTCGAAATTACGAATTACGACTGTTGCTGTAGTTTATCAGATGGTGGAAGTAGAAGAAGACATGTCAAACATTGACTCCCTCTGGCAGGAGGCTGCGGTACTCACTCCTTTTTTTTTCCCCAACTGCTGCTGGCCTCATCAACAAGGCCTGGGACACTATCACTGGCCTGCACTGATGTATACATACGTCTGTGGCACTTTGACTCTTTAACTTCCTGTGGCAAATAACCAACTAAGTGTACTTTGCACAATCCACTCTCTAGTGCTTACTTACAACATATTGCCCATATTGCAAAACCCACCCCCCGCACTACATTTTTTTACACTTAAATTGTATTTCCTATTTTTTTGTATTTATAACTATAATACAAATACACCGAAGCGATGTGTATGTGTAACTGCTTTGGAATAAAACCCAATTCTGATTGTGAAACCTGGCCCATAGACTGCCCCGCCCCTACCAACTGCTACAGAGCGCTGGTCGCCTGTTTATTCAATGTTTTATTGATATTGAGCATATCTCTCATACATTTCGCACAAAACTTGGCACTGCACTTTCTCGGGCAATTTACAATAGACATGCCAGGTGTGAAATTGATAAGACAAAGACGAATGGTTCGCAAGACATGCGTTCCACATACAGACAGACCTATGGAAATAGTAGGTATATACATGTATGTAGCAGCTTATGTACACTGTATGTGCAGGATATGCATTGTTGTTTTTCATTTAACAACAGTAACAAACAATACTGACCATTTCAAACACTATCATTACCTGGCAGACACCAATGAGGGAAAGGCAGGGAAACGGCTTTGATGCCAATCTGCAGGGTTCTCCATTCACATGCGTAAATTGTTGTGGTTGCAACAAGTGAAATCAAAGAAGGAGACACAGGGGCTTGTGAAAATTGATGCAATTATGATACATATTAAAAAAACTGAGATATGAATTTCAAAGAAGAAAATAAACTCTCACAAAAAGGGCGTTGTTTTAATGAGAGGCCAAAAGGGAAGGTGCTTCAGCAGCGTCTGGGGTCTACCTGTGCATGAGCCTGCTCTCAATGCTGATTTATTTACATACTGTGCAGCGGAGGAGCCCAACCCGACCAAGAAAGCATGTTTTGTGTTGAAGGCGCACACCTTCCACCGGGCCAGGTTTTGTCTATGCTGCTCTGAATACATTCAAACACTGCGATAACACATTGAGAGGCACACCCAGCATAACAGCCACCACATTTTTTTTTATTACAGCTAGTCTACCAACTAGTCTGGCAGATCTTAAATATGACGGTTGCTCAACTGTTCCTGCCTCTTCCCCCCACTCTCTTCCACCCACTTCTCCTCTCTCCCTTTTTTTTACTTCACCCCAGCCGGTCAAGTCAGATGGCTGCTCACATTCAGTCTGGTTCTGTTGCAGGTTTCTTCCCGTTTAAAGGGAGTTGTGGGAAATGTTGGGTCTCGACCTCAATACAATTATGTTGTGATTTGGTTCTATACCAATAATATTGAATTGAATAATTTCAACATCTGCCTTGAGGGCAACATCTTGTGTTTTAAATGTCTTCTTTCTCCATTTCCTTTAGTCCATTTGCACTAGCTTAGTGAGTTCTTTTTTTAGGCTGTGAATAAAAAACATTTCCCCCTTAGGAAATACCCTGTTGAAATCAAGAGAATGAGCAGGGTGGCGGGTCTGACAGCCAACACGTCCCAGTTCACTCTGGAGGGAAAACCCTTCCGCATCTTGGGGGGCTCCATCCACTACTTCCGTGTCCCAAGAGCCTACTGGCAGGATAGACTGATGAAGCTGAAGTCTTGTGGCCTCAACACCCTCACAACGTAGGCTCCCACTGCAACTCATCGCTGGTTGAATGTACTGAGCATCAGAGTAGGGCTGGGCAACATGGCCAAAAATTGTATCATTTAAGATGAGATGGTATAAAAATGTTTTATCTGGATTATTGTGACAGAAATGATCACGGTTATCAGTATTTTCACAGTATAAAATGTGCTGAAAATGTGTATTTATTAAAAATAAAAGCACCATATAACTCCACCACTCCACCCGCCCCTCTGAGTCACACGTCTGACTTCCCAAATGAAGGTTGTGCTTTGAAACTCTTCCTTATGTGGATGGAAGGACATGTTAAACAAGTGTATATAAATCTGACCTAGATCGACTATGTCTTTTACAAGTCTTCATTTTATTGCTATTGATAACAATCATATTGCAATAATTATTGTTTTTATTGCCCAGCCCTACCTGTGAGCACTAAACCATGACTTTTATAAACTAGATGAAAGAAAACATAAGGACATTAGAACACATTATAATTTTACATTTGAGTTGTGTGTCCTTTTTTCCTCAGATATGTGCCATGGAACCTCCATGAGCCTGAGCAAGGGGTGTTCAACTTTGAGGATCAGCTGGATTTAGAGTAAGGAACGACGGAGGGTAAAACATGCAGGGAATATGTCGGAGGTCAGATCAACTCCAGCAGATGGCACTGTTGCACTGCAAAGAGGCTGAGCTTGCCACAGTGTTGAATCATTATATCCCACTGAGGAGGTGTATCGTTACGAAATGCTTCTGGTGAATCAGTTGTGCACAGTGATTGCTGATTTATTGATTATGATTGACATTGGTCTATCAAATGTTTTCACAATGTGACGTGAACATTTAAAAAAAGTATTGTGAAGTATTTTAAACTGAATGATATTTGTCATTTGCAATGCTTAACATTTTAAGGTGAAAATGTTTTTATGCCACAGCTTCATATTTGCTTTGCAGATGATAAATAGACCCTGTTTTGTCTCCTTCTCTCAGAGCCTTCCTCCACCTCGCATCCAGCCTGGGCCTCTGGGTGATTTTGCGCCCAGGGCCCTACATCTGTGCTGAGTGGGATTTAGGGGGACTACCCAGGTAAAAACCACAGAGCCAATGATTCTGCATATCTTTTACAGATTATTTTGGACCTGTCCCGCAGCCACAGTCACACTGTAAAGCAGTATATTAAAATGGAAAGTATGGCGCTGAGGTAATCTTATAAATTGGCTCTGAAATGAATTGTTAGGTCAGGTAATCTGTTAGTTGGCAGTATCTTTGCTGCAGGCGAAATCCATTAAACGATTGGAAATAATTCATGGGCTAGTTATGTGAATTATTTCATGTGCTGTCATCCACTTGGCCAGTTTCACTACATGTGCTGCTTCATACTATGCAAAGATTTTCTCTTTGTGTAATTGGAGTTTAACATATATGATATAAAGGCAACACAATTACACGTACATTAGAAAACATCATCATATTAATTTAACACCACTGTTACCTAGATGAAAGTCACTGATGATTTACCAGGTTTTTACCAGAAGTATTACAGAGAATCTAAATTAACTCCGACAGGCACGTCTCTATGAAAGAATGAATTCATTTATTTCTCCAAACAAAATGGTTTTGGACACAATATGAAGACACACTGGAAGTAGGGTATTTTCGGTGTAGTTTTGCCTTCAGGGAATGTGAGGTTGAGGTATTATTTATTTGATAATCATCAAAACAGTGCTTTGGGGGGAACGCAGCAAAGCATGACTCCCTCGCTACAGCACTTCGTGATAGTCATGCTTAGTGCGGTGTGGTTATCTTTTTGATGGTTAAAATGTTTTTCAAAACGGGTTCACAGCAGTTTGAGGAACTTGTTTGATATGTTGCCTTTTTGCATATTCCAGTGTTTTTTGTTGTGATCTCTTTTCAGCTGGTTGCTACGGGATAGAAACATGAAACTGAGAACGACATACCAGGGATTCACCGACGCGGTCAACGCCTTCTTCGATCAACTCATCAAGAAAGTTGTTCCGCACCAGGTACTTTTCATTTGAGCACCATCAGAGTGAAAAAAATAATAATTGGAGCTGAATCACATAATATAAAAATGTTGATTATAGATCGAAAATAAAACTATTAAAATGTGTATAAAGCCATTTCAATTAAAGCCTCTGAGTTTTTATTGTTCTGTGCACACTGATTCTGTTTCCTCCGCCAAGTGGGTTATGTTTTCAATGCTGTTTGTCTCTAAACAAGATTATCCAAATACTACTGAAGTGGATTTCTTGAAACTTGGTTGAAGTGAATAATTTATGGATCTGGATGAAAAAAAACAGGAGCTGATATCTATGAGTTTGTGTGAAATCTGGTGTGGTGTGATTGTATTAAAGGGGACTGTGGGACCTTGGTGGAGGTTCATGTATGTGCTCTGCTATGTGTCATTCTAGTCTGTTCATATTATAATTCATGCAGTTGAAATGTAATCCAAATAGCAGCAAGGTAAAACTATCGTCATGAGAAAAATCGATTCTTCTTCCTGCAATAACCACCTCCTGCAATATTGTGCAATGATTCTAATAATAATCCTCTGGCTTATTTAATGTACAGTTCTCCAAAGGTGGCCCCATTATCGCAGTACAAGTGGAGAATGAATACGGCTCCTATGCTAAGGATAAAGAATACATGCCATTCATCAAAGAGGTAAGGAACGGAAATGTAATTTATTTGAATTGGAACTGGTGACTCTTTGATTAGAGTGCATATATACACCTTTTGACTTTGTTCCCACTGCTGTGCTTGACTCACTCTGCTTCTGTAGAATTCAACAATTACAGTCATGTCGTTAAGTTGCCTCCCTAATCTCCCTTCTCTCCAGGCGTTATTGTCAAGGGGCATCACAGAACTGCTGATGACCTCCGACAACAAGGAAGGACTAAAGCTTGGAGGAGTGAAAGGAGGTATTGTCAGATCAGACAAACAAGACAACAAACACACACATTCAATATGGATGTTGGTGTGTAGTGTTTTAACACACAACAACAGTTCTGAGCCAAGAGTGACCCAGTGTCAGGCAGCTGCACTTCAGATTCCTCACACAAAGGGGTCTGTGTACTGTAGAACCAGGAAGTGACTCTTTTTGATCACACTCTGGCATAAACAAAAACTGTAGCTGTGTCCCAATACAGGAGCCGCCTCTGAGACGTGGCCAAAGCGGCCCACGAAAGAGGAGGCGTTTTATGACTCCGATGACCACGAAGGCCTAACTGAAACTGAGACTGGTCCACCGAGGATTTCCATGATTAGTGTCACAATCTTGTCCCGCCCTTACCGCTGTTGCCTAGCAACAGAGCTGCAGTAGGACACGACAAGAAAGTTTTAACGTCCCCTTATTTTTTTTTTTTTTTTACATGTGTACTATTAACTGTTTAGTCGAGTTGAAGTCTGATACTTGCTATCAAAAGTGTGAGCATCAGATATTTTGGTGTCATCGCTTGCCGGCGGAAAAACTGTTTGTCACTGAAGTGCAATGAATGGTGTGATATGTTTGCCTGAGAGGGATCCATTCGTTGGAGCCCTCTTTGCGAGGGGATGAAAGGACGCGTTTGTCAGCCTCATTTGAGGAAGCCTTTAAAATGGGACAGGCTAATTGTGTCGCTGTGACGCAATCGGTCGTCAAATGAAGCCTCTGAAGGATGCGGCCCCTGAATTGAGACACAGATACTTTGGTGTCAGATAAGAATTTCTGATGAATTTTCTCCATGTGTACTTTTTAATGATTATGTATCAAATGAGTTTGCAATATAATACAATGGCGTTTTTCTCTTTATATCTAGTAAACGGTCCTCCTTCATATAATGATTAATGTGTATCTGCATTAATTTTTATAAATTAAACATATTTCTTGCATGCTAAACACACTGAGCTGCATGATGATATTTTCATGTCACACACAACATCATGAACAGTTGACATTCACTGCTTTGTAAAAGCTTCTATTTCATTTGTGAACTTCAGATTTATTTGGTTTCATTAAGACACCACAGCTGTGATGTGAAACTAGTACAGACGAATGTGTTTGAGTCATTTATTTAAACAAAAATCATTTCATACAGTTTTATACAGCCAACAAAAGTAAAGTGAGCATATTTTTATATTTGATATGACATGATGATAATATTTAACTTTTTTTGTCTGCAGCTCTTGAAACCATCAATTTTCAGAAATTGAACCTGAATGACATTAAGTATTTGGATGAAATACAGGTTAGTCTTATGTGTGTTGCTTCTTCATATGTTATATGATTATGAAACTCAAGGTTAAAGTTCGATTTGTCATGTGCGAGTTAACACAGGGTCTTCAGTTCAATAAAACCGTGCACGAGAAGAAACAGGTCAGCTCAGCAGTGCAACGATCAAATACAATAAAAGCACAGTAGAAAGAGCTTGATGTAGAAAAAGTCTTCTAAAAACCTAATACATTCAAAGATGCAGCGCAACATTCGAGGATGCAAATGTAGTGACAACTTTGAACTGTCTGGAATATATATGTATAAGTTATTTTACAGAGGTGGGTGAGGAAACAAAGTGCTAACGGGCAGATAAACAGATATGCAGAAGCTTGTTGGACGTGAATTGAATATGACTTAAGAAACCTGACGGCCTTGCTCCTTGTGTGTGCTGGGTGGCTGTGGTCCTTGAACATGCTGTGTGCCCATCATAGAGGCCGCTGGTGGTAGATTTACCAATGGCCGGGAGGTTCCAGTTTTCTGATCTAATTAAACTACAGTATGAGCCCTTGCTCTTTCCAATAAAAAGTCTTTCCATATACAATATTTTGGAGCTGACCTGAAAAATATCTTTTGCTTGTGCAATAATGTGGTCACACAGAGATACTGAAAGGTAATTCATTCTTCTTGTGTTTATCTTAGTGGGTGTTGCTTTCCAAAGCTTTTGTAACACCAAGTCATTTCCTCTTCCCCCTGTAGCCTCAGAGGCCTAAAATGGTGATGGAATACTGGTCGGGATGGTTCGATCTTTGGGGGAACCTTCATCACGTGTATACAGCAGAGGGTAAGACTTGTACAAAGATTAGAATCATTTCCTATAGCGAGACGTACAGGATTCTTGATAAGAGTAAAATAGATGTTCACATGAGGGTACGATGGGATTTCTATCGATGGATTCTTTGTTTTGGCCCTTTCTTTCTTTCCAGGGGGTCGATAATACTGGACAATTTGAGACAGGAGTGAGACAGGTTTTGTGCATGGAGACAATACAGGATTTCTGAAGGTAGAACAGACTTGAGGGCAAAACAGCGCTCTCGAGCCTCAGGGTGAAAAAGGCTTAAGACGTGTTTTTTCAGCTGAGAATAAAATGTTCTCTGCCAAGAAAAAAACTGCATAAGGACACAAATAAATTCTTCATGCTGAGTGTAAAACAGTCGCTGTAACACTATGGTTCCTTCACAGACGGCACGGAGCCCACTCGGTGCAGCTGGGATGTACAGCTTAGCATATGGTCATTTCTTCCTTGTTTTCGTGGCTTTGTCAAAAATGTATATACATTTCATGAGCGGTAGGTTTAGAGCCAGGATGCACAAAGCAGAGCGTGTGTGTCCCATCCTCTTTGCTTTGTCTGTTGGCCATATTTGATATTCAAAGGCCACGTTTTTTGAACCACTTCCTTGTACAGGATTTATCAAAGATGCGCTCTGACGATTCTCACTGACTGTGCTGTGTGAGGTGTAGGAGTCACACTCATCTCATGCTCTCACACTCCGTCTGTATCCTCATGCTACACACACAGACACACACTGATTGTCTTGCCCTTGGCTGAATTAAATGACATTTCAGTCGTGTGCCTACCCATTAGTTACCTGTACTATGCTACAGTCACAGGCTGCATGTGTACTGCAGTATCTAGCCTGCATTAGAGCATTAGGCATGACAAAATACATTACAGATAAGCCAGAGGGGTTTTGTCGAAGTGGAGGTTATGTATACACCAAAATGCATCGTGTGTATCCTTGAGGGCTAAAACGTGTTGAGCTCATCTTCTTGACACCAACATTGTTAAATCATTGCTCGCTAGCTGTCTTGTTCTTACCGTTTTTTTAGGGCACTTTCTTGGCTCCATGTTGCATCAACTGTTGATTAGTGCACAAGTTTGAAACCATTGGCAGGATTGTGTGTAACGCCACCACTGATGGAAATAGGATTCAGATTATATGAATAAACAAAGTAGTAAAACAATATTAGAAGTCCTGCATTTCAAAATCTTACTCAAGCAAAAGTAAATGTATTCTCAGTAAAAAGGTTTCAAAAGTTCTTTGCGTTGTGTATCTTCTTGGTATTATATTACTGGATTTTATTGATGCATCAATTACTGTTGTGACTGGTCCAGGTGGTGGAGCATGTTTTAACCACTTTATGTTGTTGAGCAATAGTTTCCAAAGACAATTCAGAACTACAGTGTGTCGTCACTCTAAGGAAAAATGGAATTTGATTTCATAAAATACTTTGAGCGGGATGATTGACATCAAGGAAATGCTGGAACGTTTTCATCACCTTATTCAGAAAATCAAGGGTTAAAACTCACCTCACTCAATCATAAACTATATTAATTTAATTATCACAATAACTAGTAACTAAAGCTGTTGAATAAATGTAGAGGAATGGAAGTAAAGTACCTGCAATCTACTTAATTTCTTTGGAATGATGTAAAATAGAAAACGAGCATTCATTTAATTTCATTTTGAGAAGCCGTTACCAGTTTGAGCTTTTTTGCTTGAAACCTCCTTCATGTAAAGTAACCATTGGTTACCTCAAATCTACTCTGCTTTCTATCCTACACCTGCCATATGACATAGTCCACAGGCTACAGCCTGGAGGGTGATATTTTTAATATAATGTACTGTCATGACATAAACGATAGCACCTGTTTCACAATTGTAAAGATTAATGGCAGCCACACACCCTGCTATCATCATCTGGAGTGCTCTCAGAAACATCTCATTTCGAGAACACAGAGCAGAGCCTGAAGCCATCCCACATCATCACAAAAAAAGAAATGAAAGGGCCAACAGTGTTTATCTTCCTCTCTGTGGGATCCTGAAGAGGAGAAAGAAAAGAACCTCACCATGCAGGAAGTGTAATGGCTATGAAATGAACGCTGGAATATTCAGAGGGGCCTCGTGTCCTTGACAGTTCAGTGCTCTGCAGACTGCAGCACACACCCGGCACTCGGTCACAGCCAGTGGCACCACCGTGAAACCAACCGAGTCGGGCTCTGTCACTCACCATGCTTGATTTTTATTCACCGAGACTCGTGCCCTTGATTCAAATAATTAAAGTCAGTCCAATTTGTCTGCTTACGCCCAATTTGAATTCTTAATTATTTGCTCGGACATGTTCTCCTCAAAACACAGGCAGCTAATTCTTACAGGGAGGTGGGCAGTTTTTTTCTAGGTGTGAGTATAGCCCCATAATGAATTATAGTGACCTGTAATAAGTGTGGCTGAGGTCCGACCATGTTTTAATTGAAGGGGAATTGAGGGCAATAGGATTATTGAAACATTGGCTCCATAGTTAAATGGATTTTTCCCCTCATGTTACTCATGGGTCTAAATGTGTAGCTTTATTTCCATTATTCTCAACTTTGCTCACTGTTGAAACCTAAATAATTAGGTCATTTCTAAACATGGTTTCAAGGTGCTATGTGTCACTTCTCTGCCAACAAACATGCTCTTGCTGGCAGGTGTTGGTAAGCATCACTTGTCAAGAGCTTAAGCTGTCTGTGCTGTTACAAGATTAGATGTTATAATGTGCCCTCAGAGCAGAGCTACCATACACTGTATATATATATATATGATAAAAAGACCCCTACCCACCTGGTGGCTTGCTGCAGTATAGTTTATAAATACTGTCTCCTCCATGTTAGCAGATGGGACATGGACCAAACTAACGAACCATATATGTGTCAAATTTTTATTTGTCATTTATTATTCTTTGTTGTTTTTATCCCATTGACTTTGGTTTTAATTGATTATTTGATGCTATAAAAGTGGTGAAATGTCATGATTGACTGACTCCTGATTGTTTGAGTGCTTATATTGGTAGGACTTTGCTACCGCTGCTTCATCCCCTACGCTACTACACAGATAGATTCCAGATATGCTACGTTGGTTCCAAATATGCAAGATGGCAGCATTACTATTGGGGATATTTTGACTTCATTTTTAGATAGTGGGAGAAAGTGGAGACGCATCATCCAGCTACATCTTCCTCCTCTCATGTTGAACCAACATGAGAGGATGACACTATAATGATGAGATGGGATGGGGGTAGCTAGATAGCATGCATCCAAGTTAGGAAAATAAGTTATAGAAATTATAAAAATAAAAGTTATAGAAAGAGAAGCAAAACAAGGGGAAAGCTCTTTGGGAGTAAAGGTATTGAAATTGTTGCTAAACTAATGAACGTTGTTTCTTGATTGGTGAGTTAATGTTTCTGCTGTTTTGCATCTTTAGATTGGACTTGTTTGTTTCACTTTTTTCACATCACTTTTTTTTGACAGACATGATACCTGTGGTCACAGAGATACTTGTAATGGACTTGTCCATCAATCTCTACATGTTCCATGGAGGGACAAATTTTGGCTTCATGAATGGAGCATTTGCTGTTGGAATACCGGCACCTAAACCTATGGTAACAAGCTACGGTATGTGTGATGAATCTGGTTTCAATCAGCGTTTTGCAACATTTGATTAAACAAAAGTTGATTGTTCAGGTCTTATCTAGATTCATGCCCCGAAGATTCAACGCAAAGAGCCAGGTACGCATTTACAATCCCTGCCATTTATACTGGTGTAAACTCTTATCTGTGAAACCCATTGATGCTGCACAGAAATGTGCAATGTACCAAATAAAAGAAATGTGAAGATAGGTTGATGAAAACACGATGAGGACACTTTAATATTCATAGACGATGACCTTCGGCTGCTTGGACATTTGAGTATGCAATGCACATTAATTAATTCATTACCCAATAAAATGCATTAAGAATGTACATTTTTGTGCAATGGGTTTTATATCCTCCTTTAGGGTACTTAACATGGCAATGACCTCATTCTTCAGTAAAGAGCAGAAATCTGCAAAGTGCTCGACAGTAGGGACGTCCACCTTCGACCTTCTGTGCTCTTCACACTCGTGCTTACTCATCTGAATGCAGTTTTACCTTTTCGCTTCAGAAACGGCACCAATTTCTGTCAAGATTACACAAAATGTGTCTCGGCCAGCTGCTGTCTCAAGATGTTTGATAGGAGAGCATGGTGAAATCATCTGCCACGGTGAGAGGCATGCCTGCCTCTCGCTGGCTCCTGAGCCTGCTGTTCTGATAGCGCATTATCTTTCAGATTACGATGCTCCATTATCCGAGGCTGGGGATTACACCTCCAAGTACCATCTTCTGAGGAATGTATTCAGCCACTACCACAGTGAGTGCTGTATGTTGTTGCTGTGACGGTCCCCCACATCTTCCCCTTCTCTTTTCTCTCCCTTTATTTTCACCCCCCCACTTTAATTATCCATGTAGAGTCTGTTCTCCGTTGGCTAAAGCAGGATAACTTTGCATATAATTACAAGCATGGGTTTTATATGAGGGTTTTGTAAGATTTTTGTCAAAATCAAAGACCCTCAGTTTCTGCCCAGTGTGAAAATTACATCCTAAGCTTTTTATCATGTTTATGGCTCATGCAATTTATTCTATTCGTAAAATTAGGCTTTTGTGTTGAGGAGGTGGGGGACTTTCTTTTGGCAAGCACTGGAAATGTAGATTTTTGGCAATCTGGGTCCTAATCCACAAAATAATAATTCCTCCAGCATTGTGGTGATTGAAGATAGTTTGAAAGGCTCCCTGTGTGTGATTCATCTTTATGTTTTGTAGTCTGCTGAACAATGAGCAGTGGCCTGGATATGACAGCCAGTCTGTGTTCTATAGCAACCACAAACACATGACCCAATTTTTTTAATTAGATCAGCTTGATATTTCATTATTGTTTGGTTGTCAAATCATGTACATTGTGTCAGTTACTCTTTGCCCTGTGGTGATGTTTTTGCATATCTCACACTGATCTGTCAAAGGTCTAACACTTGTGTTTGACAACAAAGAGGGTTCTTAAAATAGACTTGTGTCCTACATGCTTTGGTTTTTTTTATAATTTCAAATATGTCAGAAATTGCAAATTTCAGTTTCTAATATAACAAGTCGCACAAGCATCTTTAGCCTAAGCAACCTGTCTGCCATTATGCTGCTCTCAGACAGGAAATGAACTCCGGATGTTCTCCTGAAGTTATCCGCTAGAGCTATATGTGAGAATGCATATATATTTTACAGCGTGAACTCATATGAGAATACAGCAGGAAAATGTTGGGAAACATGAACAAAACTTAGAAAGGCAATGAGATTCGAGAAATGGTCATGGTAAGGGCACATGTGTGTTCTAAACAAAAACAAGTTTGTCCCCCAGCAGAATTTATAAAGCCCCTTTTCCACTGGTCAAAAAACAACTTGCTTTTGTATGCAATGGGTTTGGATGGGACCGGCAATCACTCCCAGTCAAATGAGTCTGCAGTAGACATAGTTTTTAACTAGCTCCGGCTCAGATTAGCAGTGCTGGAAACAAGACCCCCGGGTGAACGCTCTAATTTGGGAAGACTGTGAGGTGAGGGTGCCTCAGTTTTCAGTGATTTTTTGATTTTAAACATGATGAACGGGGAAATCCCACTGGGCAATGGGAAAGGAGGAGTCAGTCGCCTTTTTAAGAGAATTTAGTCAGATTTACATAAACTGTGTATATCTTGTAATTTTAGTGTAGAAGAGTTCTGCCTCCTCCTTGCTCTATCCAGACACCACCCCTCACCTGAACGTGTCTGACCTGGACAATTTCTTGCTGTGGTCTTCATATGTGAAAAGCAAAATTCAATTGGGTCATGTCTCCTCTGTCAAGAACCAAATGGGTATAATATTTCATTATTGTTGGAAAAACTCCAAATCCGTAACATAACTCTATGCAAGTGTTTCGTTGCACATTTGTTATATTCTACATATTATATACAATACCAAAGGCATTGGCTTTTAAGCATTTAAAGAGCCATTTTGGAGAAAGGTGTTGGCAATTATCCCCCAAGCTTTCCTTAAGTGTTCCAGCTGTTAGCACTTGGTGATAAGGAAACGCTGTCAAGCCTTATCCAGAGGGAGCATTGGTGTGTCTGCATGCTTTAACACCTTTAAAAGCAGTTAGGGGGCATGGGCAACTACTGTCAACCCCTGTAAAGAGACTTTTTGTAGCTTAGAGCACAATCTGGACGCTGCTGTGGAAAGTAGGATCAAGTTCATGTTGGAGAGAATGAATGAACTGGTTCATTTTGTTAATTGTATTGCTGCTATATGACATCATTATCATTATGGCACTGCCAACAGCATCACCATCAGGTGCTGTATTCAAAACCAGTTTATGTTTACAAATGATAGATCATCAAAGACGATGCAGTAGGAGGAGACTGCCAGCAATCTGTGAGCCTTCCTTCACAGAAGTGTTGTCACGTTTGCAACTGAAAAGAACCATGTTTCAGTTTGATCTGGACGAAACAACCTCTTTGTGTTGCGTTAAATATTGGAGAGATGGTCCAAACCATGAACCTTTTACCTCTGTTATTTAGGATTAAACTAAAATTTCTGTAGGGATGAACCAAACAAGATAGTTGTGAAAGCTTGTTGAGCAACAAAGGTGTATATTTTAAGGTGTGTGGTTTTTCCATGTATTTTCATGGTCAAAATGTTGTATACATGGAAGGTTAGTTTGGGGCTCTAATTAAGGATCAATAAAAAGCATAAATTGATATAGAATCAGAAAAACTGCTATCTAGCCTAAAGTTTCCTCCTGGTTTTTCAGTCCACCCTCTCCCTGAACTGCCTCCTCTCCGGGAGAGGAGAGCGTACCAGCCTGCTGTCGTCCAGCAGCACCTGTCTCTGTGGGACATTCTGCATTTCACTGACAAGGTAAGCTACAGCAGCAGAGAGAGAGCTGAAATTCTTGGCACAAAATCAATAATTGATTGAAAAATGTCATTAATTACCACCTATACAATCCCATCATTTAGAGTCAAAGAAAATCGGTGGTTAATTATGTGGATGTGAAGGCTGATGTGGTCTTTGTACGCTTCAAAATCTAGTTTCCTTTTCAAACGAGATGAATATTGCATATGTGGATTCAAGCTGTGATTCACTATGACTGAGGTAAGATGTATTAACTCTACCCATAGTTACAGAAGCTCCTTTATCGCATCTGTGTAGTCATCACAAAATTTCTGTTGGCTTTAATTATCATAAATTAAATCTGCTTAGTAGCTATTAATCCAGCTATTGCAGTTAGTTGTAGTGTTTTTTTATCAGCACTAGCGATTGATGAACACTCCAGCATTTGCTTAAAAAAGCATAAATAATCACTGTTGTCACCATCACTCTTATACCTGTTTTCTCACTTATTGATGTATTGTTTTTTATTATTATTGTGTCGTGCACAGGCTTACAAAACATCATTATTTAAAAAAAGAAAAAGTCCAAAAAAAGTCAAAAGAAACAAGAAATCAATAACAACATGAAAGATACTGACATTTTTCCAAGATTTAGAAAGGTAGTCAACTTATGACCATTAAAAGTAAACTGCCCTTTCTACACTCATAATTAGCTCATAATTTTAAGGGCAAAACTGAAATAAATATGATTAATTCTCTATGTGTGGGTGAAGCTGTTTTCAAGCACAAAGACCAGAAAATCTGTAGAAAATTAGGTCTGTTGACGCTCTGACGTTTGCATTTCACATGTGAAGAACGCAGTAGGAGATTGTTTGGGTCAGACTAGTTTGGCAAGAACAGGAAAATGTCTGTAACATTCAAGGAAGGAGTGGCCCCTGAGTGAAGCATGCTGGAGGCAGGACATGTGAGAAATCATCTGCTTTTGTTGTCTTCTACGTGTATGGCCGCTCTTTTTCACGCTGAGGTATTTGTATTGTTATGTTACTTGGGGTCAGGCACAAGGATTTCCAGGCGCATTTAACTCAAACATTTGCATTCTTATGTCCAGCCCCTCTGGAAAATTTCAGCAAAATGTCTGCATTTCATTGCATGCCTGAAAGCAGCTCAAAGGTCACCTCCTCTCACTCTCTCAACATGGCACCAGTGGCCCATTCACAGACAAGAAGTAATCAAGTGTGTGCACCTGTGTTGAGTGTAAAGTATGAACAGAAAATCTCCCCATGCCAAACACTAAGCAAACAAAAAGATTGGTTAAAGAAACTGAACGGAAGGTGTCATCTTGTGTTTATTACTTTAATACCCACCATTATAGTCTAGCCATTTACACCAAGCTCTCCAGTGGCATTGATATTCATACCAGATGTTGCACATCTGTCAGTTGCTGACACCATTAATTATTCACCTCCTGTTGCAACAATTTGCTTCTCTCTTAGATGAGATGACAATTGCTTTGCCCCTGACCGGCCACACGCCCTTGTTTAAAAGGAGCATTCTCTCTTCAGCGGCTTCAGACTGACGGAGCACAACGTCTGAGTTTGATATTGCATCTGTATGTTTGGAGGAGGGTGGTTAATCGTGTCGAAGCAGAGGGTGTTTATTGTCTTGTGAAGAGCGAGTAATGCACCTCCCGAGGGTATGCAGAGACAATGTGGCTGAATGAAAGGATTGCTCTGATTGTCACACATGCGAGCCTCATTAGGTTTGATAGAGCATCACGTTCTGTAAGGAGGAGATTGTGGGGCAGAAATCGTGAAATGCTGTCTGTTCTGAGAACGGTTGTGAGATTGTTGGTTTTTACTGTAAATTCACAAAATATGAATTTCGGCAACACTTTTAAATGGAGACATATGCATAGTGCTTTTTGAGATTTCCCTTTCCTCTAGTGTGTTATTTATAGGTTTTTTGTGTATGTAAAAGGTCTGCAAAAGGTGAGCGCTAAAGGAAGCTCCACACCATCTTTGCTCCTGAAAAGCCTTGTCAGGAGACCTGCTTGACATCGCAATACTCGATATGTGCATAATATACAACTAGAGGCTAGTCTGGCACGATCCTTAATAAAGCCAGGTAAAGCAAGAGTGGAACCTGACATTTCCTACACGCACTGGAAGCTGTTGACCAATCACAAAAAGTAGGCAACCTCTAGGAGACAGTAGCTAAAACTGAAAAAAGTAAATTATTTTCCGACAGAGGTTGAAAAGAGGAGCTGCAGCAATGGACAATATAAGGAGAATGGTGTATTTTGTGAACATTAGAGCATACATCGTGAAAACCTTGCTTTAAGGCCAGATCATGAGCTGTGAGTCAGAGGCTGCAACCTTCGCAGTCTGCATTTGAAGACCAATCTGACAAATGCGTCCTTCAATACCTGTTTATCGTGGGTCTTTATGTGAACAACCCTTGTAAAAATCTGTCGTCTTTTTCCTATTTTTAGCCGTTGAAGTCAGAAAAGCCAATAAACATGGAGAATCTCCCTGTCAACAATAACAATGGTCAGTCGTACGGCTACACGCTGTATGAGACCATCATCACCAGAGGAGGACTCCTCAACTCGAAGAACAACATCAGAGACAGAGCGCTGGTGAGGAGGGGAAGACACACGGCGACGTAACGCTTTTATAATCACATTTCACAATTTACACTTTTCTTTGTGAGAACGTTTGCACTCGGAAAGTTGTAATCTGCTTGTTAGAAATGACACCCTGTACTTGTGGAGGGCAATTAACAAGCACAAGCTGCGACCAGTTGCTCTGGTATTAATGTCACCCAATTTTATGGCAGTTCTCAAAAGTTGAAACACAAAAAACTTTCTTTTGTGGTTTCAAGTTCATTTTTTGTTTTTCTACATTTAATTTATTTTTCTTCCCAGGTTTTTGTGGACAAAATTTTTGTTGGTGTCCTGGATTATAAAACACAAGAGCTGGCACTTCCTGATGGGAAGGTATCGCATGTGTGTGTGTTTGTGTGCGTCCCTTATTCAGTTTACGTGAAGACGATAAAGTTGTTAATACTTAACAACATGTGGCATGTTAAAGCTTAAGATAATGCTGAGAGATGTTTTTTGGTAACAAGGTCTCAATATTAATTTAACAGTTTATGTCATCATCAGTTAAATGCAGCTTTACAGTTCAGACTCAGAACAGCCTCGATCACTAACTCAAGTCAGACTGGTTGGAAGAATTTTCCACCTCTGTTTGTATTTTGTTAATTCTTTACATTTAGTGTAGTTGCTGATTCTGAGTTATGCTTCTCACACACCTCATTCTCCCACTGAAGGGAAGAAGAACTCTAGGTTTACTGGTGGAGAACTGTGGAAGAGTGAATTATGGGCAAACTCTGGATGAGCAGCGCAAAGGTACAAATTACTCCCCAAACTGATGGCTTTTTAAATGTTCCAGCCAGCACGAGTCCTCTTTAAATGATCTATTTTTCATTAGAGACCTTTTCTGAAGCTAAGCGTCTTAAGATGTATTAGAAAGCTGAAAGCTGCTCTGACTCACCTTTCAGGTCTGGTCGGAGATATCGAGTTAAACAAGGAGGTCCTACGAGACTTCATTATTCATAGTCTGGATATGAAGCCAGGCTTCCTTAACAGGTTTGTGTCTTTTCAATTATGGTCCACTTTCCCTCCATCTTTGTGTTTCTCTGTCATTAAAGCCGCTTGACTCTGATTCAATCCAGCTGATTATCTCCCTGCATCACACAATTACAATGGTAATATGATGGAAAAACCAAGGAGTCAGAACACAGCCTCCCAATTCAGTATCTCATGTTGAACATTTTGAATTAGTGGTGCACCCCGAGGTGCAAATGCATATCCTCATGATGCTTATGACTAAATTCTAAAACCCTCACCTCATTTTTAGGTTATATTGGTTGCCTGATATTTGCTCCACTGATAGTAAACATCAGTTATTACCTTTTACCCAAATTTCTACATCACCATCCTGAAAATGTCAAGGATGGAAGGCGTCTATGATGGAAAGTAACTGGTCTTATATCATGGCAACCTTTTGAATTTACTTTGAGGCTAATTATAACCTATAGCTGAAATTACAAGACAAAGAATCTGAAGATTTCCATGTACTATCCATGTCCAAACTTTCACATTTGACACATGGACATTTACTGCAGCCAGGACACTGTAGGACTGACATGATAAACAACAGGCCTCCTATGAGTAAACACAAGGGATATTTGTGCTTTATAGTAAGGAAATGATTGTGAAAAGTGTAATCTGTAAGAATTGTATTCTATAATGTTTTCTCATTTTACAGAATTGAGAATTCAGGCCACTGGAAGTCTATGCGAGAGCAGCAGTCCTTCCCAACCTTTTTCCAGGCCAAACTCTATGTGAACGGTTCTCCTAAAGACACCTTCATCAAACTCCCTGTAAGTCAGACACAGAGGAGCTGCTAATGCAGAACAGCAGAACCACCACAGGCAGCTCTGCCAAACATTTTGATTTAGGGTGACTGATTCATGTACTTTATTTGACCCTGAGTACGTACAGTTAGTACGCATTTGTATTTGTTTGTATACCTCTGTCAAAAAATCTGAAATGTCACAATAAGTTTTCAGTCATGTTATTATTTTGGCTTAGTTAATACATGCATGCAAATTAGAATGTAAGTATAATTTATTTTATTATGACTCAAATGCATTTCATATATTTTGTACAATATTATGTAAATAGTATTTATTTTGCTTGTCTTTACAAAACATCTGTTGTGAAAATGATCCCATTCTCATGCAGCTGTACTTCATGCAGTCATTGCTTGGATCAGTCAACTACTCGACTGATCATTTCAAAACTGTTAAAGTCTCAGTTTTTCTCAGATTGGAACTTTCCCACATTTTCTGGTCAAGAGTTGTTATTTACAAGTCTGTATTAGTCACAAGATAAAAATCATATTAGAAGTTAAGACTTTCTTGTGTAGTTGATAGTTATCGACATGTTTCTTGGTTTTACTCATTACAACATTAAATTGGCCTCACCAGTCTGTTATGATGAACAGTGATTGTTTGTGTTAACAGGGATGGAGTAAAGGAGTCATCTTCATCAATGGCAAGAATCTTGGACGCTACTGGTCCATCGGTCCTCAGCAAACTCTCTATGTCCCTGGTCCCTGGCTTCACAGGGGAGACAACCAGGTACTTCTGTACTATGTTTTTACGTATACCTGCAGGTGGTTACTCGAAGAGTGATACTCAAATCAGTCACTGTAGCACATTTTAGTATTTTGCAATGGCACAACTATCTATCCTTGTAGGTCATGCCCATGTTAGCATGCAAATATAATTCTTGAAGATTCTTTAAACATTTTGTAGCAATCCAATCCTGACTCAATCCAATCCTGACTCACAATGAGAAATGACTGTCAAATTCCTCACTACTTATTTTATAATAGAGAGTAAATTCATTATGGTTCCAACTAATGATTGTTTTTATTATAGATTATTATATCATATAGATTATTATAGATCTTAAGAACCTTGTTTGTTGATTAATCAGTTGTTGGTGGTTTTGACGATCAAATGTCAGAAAATAATTGAATGTGTTTGCTCTGGTATTAATGTGAATTGTATTGTATTGAACGTGTTTCTGTTTCACAGAGCCCATTGTTTAAAATGTCTTGTTTTGTCTTATCAATAGTCTAAAATCCCAAAGTGCATAAGCAAATGTTTTATTTTTGTTTGATAAAAGACTTAAATGATTTATCAGTGAATGAAAATCAAGCCTGTTAGACTTACTGGCAATCAACTAATCCTTCTGGTTATATTTGTAGTATTTAAAACAAAGTTATGTTATCTAGCTCTTCGACTCCACTAATGCAGCAGAGTAAAAGCATATCTCAGATCAGTAGTTACAGTATTATAGCTACAGATATCCATCACATTATAGCTGTAATGTTGCTGACCTCTGTGGCACAGAACACCTGAGGCTAAATATTCTGCATCTCTGCATTTCTCACCTTTTCTTAAATTGTCTTTTCTGTGATTGTACATATATTGACATTAGTGCTCAGCCACCCACTCTCACTGTCCTCTCACGACTTTGCTTAACCTTTTCATTTTTTTTTTTGCTTCATCCCAGGTGTTACTGTTTGAAGAGCAGGAAACAGATGGTAAGGTCCTGTTCACCACCACCCCTGACTATGGCATGGCTGTCGATGTCTAGTATGGACTGGTGGGCGGATGAGGAGAGGAGGACGATGGGAGAGTAGCTGGGAAGGTCAGAACTGAAGCGTCAGCCGCGAGTTGGATCTACACGGGCACCCCACACGTGGCCGACACCAGCAACAACCACAAGTGATACGTCAGTAAACGTGACATTTGGTGTTCTACCAGAAGACGCAGCCGCATTATCCGCTTCCTCACATCAACTTCTCATTTTAGTGACTGTACTCATGACACTCTGTTGAATAATTTCTATTCAGTTTAGCAACAGTATCATTAACGTCCACTTATACACTCCATAATTTGAGACCAAGAGACTGGGAAAGAGAATGATCTTGATTATAATGAAGTGTTAGAAACTCTCCTTCTTCACAGACTTAATTTATACACTTCATCCAGACTGTATTCATAGAATGTGTGAATAAAGACTGCTGTGACCTCTGTGTCAGTAGTCAAGGCCAACGAAGCCCCTGAACTGCTTTATTTATCCCACATACTGTGAGCCTGTTTGCTTGGTTGCTTTTTCAAATTTACCTTCGTATTAAATGCTGTGAGCTCATGCAGAGGAGTCAATCTTGCAAGCTGTGTTTGAAATCTTTTTTTAAATTCTCATCTGTTGTCTGTAGCGCCAACCAGCCTGGAAACCGACACAAATGTGTTTTTTTAAGGACTGATGCCATGGTGATACTGTGCTGTCACATTTGAAAACTAGTAAGTGCAGGCTAATGACATGATATGCATGAGTAATTCCAATTTAAGAGGTTGTCAGGTTTCCCATGCTGCTGAAATCCTGGAGTGGATTTCGTCAAATAATTCATTAAAACAAAATTTACAGAAAACATGAAACACTGAATATAGTACAGTCCACATGTCTGACCTGGCACGTGATAAAATGCTGTTAAATACAATGTAAACTGACTTCAAATGAAATTTTACATGAATTACAAAACATCAGTAACTGCATGAATACAACAAATGCTCAAGCAAAACTTACTTGTTTTAAGTACCTACATAAAGAAAGGGTTTGCACTTTGGTTATATATTTTTTTCCTCCTTAGGCAGACGTTTTTAATACTTTCTACCTTGATAGCTATGTTTTTTTTTTTTCCATATCATCACATTTTACAAGCTAATTTAGTAAATCACCAGTGGGAAACTAGGTAGTTGTAACAAAGACATTTTGAATGTACGATCTATCCATCTATTCCATCCACTTTAGGTTTAACGGCTGTGCAAGAAAATATCAATTAATAATACAAATGGATCAATTTGTAATTGTTGAGTGTTATTTTTATTAAAATTTTTCAACTGTTCCATTTTTCTCACATTTTATGTAGTGGCAGAAACGGTGTACAACGTGTATTTGTGTGAGGAACTTGGCTCCACAGTCCAAATGTGTCAGATCTCAGTTTGCAGACACACATCATACAACACAATGAGTAAAGACTTCCACTGGACAGAAAACTCAGGACCACGTGAGGTTTTTTTTCTCAGTTGTTTATTTCTCTTGATTCAACTAACATCTTTCTCTGAGACAGAACTGCTGTGGCAAACAAACAACCTTAACAGTCACATGCATAAAATGTGAATCACATGAGGCTGGAAGATGAAAGTGGGGATGAGGAAAGAAGAGAGGACTTGAGAGGTGTGTGTGTGTGTGTGTGTGTGTGTGTGTGTGTGTGTGTGTGTGGTGTATTGTGCCTTAGAGAAGCCCTCAGTGGGTAATGATCACTAACTGACATTAAATATTGGATAAAAATGCACTGCTGAAGTTGATGATGGTTCTAGTAGACTAATTATTAGACATTAGATATTGCTTGATATTTCAAATTGCATGTCGGTCAACGTAACAGCATCACCCTGAAGGTTGAGCCCTGAACTGTTCTTCTGCTTTGGGATAAACCAGAGAAAGTTATGTCGCTGAATCTGAACCAGTGCAAACACATGTTCATCTGTAAGACGCATGACGTTTGTTTTCCTGCAAAGCAACAGTGAGGAACAGAGGAGAACGAGGATTTAGTTTGACTTTAAAAGTAAATGATACACTGAGTTGTTTACACATTGGTAATTTTCTATTGTAGACTACAAATCTTAACTTGGTTCAGGGTGAAGAACGATTTAGATGTGTGTGTTTGTATCTGCCTGTTGGTAGTTCTAACCTTTTACTGATCTATGTGATAATCTGGTTGAACAGTGTAATGTTGTAGAGAGCAGCTGGAAAATACAGATTTAAGTGCAAACGCTGCTAGTCTTAAATTCCACACCCACCCTTAAAATAAATACATAAATATATTAAATTTGATCTTCAATAAATAACTAATCCAAAGATAGTGTGTGATCTCCGTGGCCGAAATCTCCACGCAGTGTAATATCATGCAGTCAATGAAAACCGCCAACTTGATGATAGAGATGTAATGCAGCCATTGTGTGGCTGTGTTTGTTATCGTATTCCGAGTGAAATATGTAATAACACGGTTTCTCCGGCTGATGAGCCCGAGAGGCTGTTAACGTCTTTGTAAGTTTTTATGCCGCAGCAGTGTGTGTGTGTGTGTGTGTGTGTGTGTGTGTGTGTGTGTCGAAGGGGGGGAGGTGGGGGTTGGGTGGGTGAGGGGTACACAGAGATAATCTGGCACCAGTACACAGGCTCAACGTTTGAATTATCTCCAGCTACTTCTGCCAGGCAACGCTAGATAAGAGCCGCTGTGCATTGTGTTTTGCACCATTCGCACGATTTATCAAGTAGCGGAGAGATTCTATTTTTTGAGGTGTAGAATAACTTTGTTACAGTGCTCGGGCGTGTACGGCATCATGCTGATGTCTGACGTTAGTGCTGCGGCAAGTTCCAGTTAATGCTACAAAAGATGTATGCTAACACAAAAAGAAACCAGGAAATAAACGACAACGCTCCCTAATACTGAAGATGGCAAAAAATACGATTTCTAATTTACTTGTGCTTTTCTTTTGTCAGCGGTCACTCCAGAGAAGCATCTTATTTCATCATTTCAAGTTTTTATAAAAAACAAAATATTCTGGGGGCCATGCATGAACAATTTAAATTAGTTATCAGCTGCTGGAAGGTGAGTTGTGTTGAAAGTCAGCAGATGAATCCTGAGTGTCTACGTGTACAATTCTGAGTGTATTTTTCAGAGAGGAGAGGGACTGACAAAGCTGTGTAAAACCAATATGTTGGAGCTTTGATGCTCCTGCACTTTATTAATCTTGCACGTGGCTGACCCTCGTTAATGTGTGATCGTGCATAGACGAGGGGAAATACTAACTCGCTAAAATGACACACTGGTTCCCCACAATGTCAGAAATGACACTGAATGCGAGAGATAACATGAGGATCAGGTCAACGTTCGCGAGCCTCTCGTGTAGCTGATTGGATGTTCTTGTCTATGCTTTATGAATATGTCACACCCTGGAGCTTCTAATACCAAATGAAAGAGGTGATGTGCTATTACTCTTCCCATGCATTGAACCTAGAGTGAACCTGTGCCTTGTCGTGCATCATTGTGAGGAATTCACCAGGGGGAGAGAGGGGAGACTTTTTTTTCTTCGTTTTTTTTAACATATAAATACAGTACAATGGCCAAAATGTTTCTTTAATCCTGTGATTGTTCTGTTTTTGAATTATTATTTACACATGTTGCCACAAGGGTACAACAGCGCGCTAAGGCCATTGATAAAAATTCTAAATAAAATGAATTGAGATCAATAACAGAGCCAGGGGAGGAGGAGAGGATATTATAAAAAAAACTAAAATACAGAATTTCCGTCATTAAAGATGGAACAAAAACACCAACGTTTTGGAAAATCTTGGGAGATGTTGTACATGAGCTTCAGGACTACACTGTGTTTGCCTGCCACACTTGCGACACAACACACTTCTTGATAGCCAGCTCATGTCCACCGGTCTCCAGCTTTACTCAACCCCCTGTCTCGTCAGTCTGATCCCCAGCTCACAGCTCAGCCTTCCTCAGCTCCTGCAGATTCCCTTTCCCTCTCTACAGCCTGATCATCGGCAAATGTCATGAGTAATTCCTTATTGCTACTTTGCAGGCCGTCCCTTGACAGAAGTGAATGGGTTGACACTACTTTTTTGTAAATGAATAACTTCAATCTAAAAAGGATATTTTTATGTTATCATACTCTTTTAACTGTAAGGATGGAAAGTGTTTATTATCTAAAATTTCCCTTCCCCTGGCTTGTTTTTTTTTTTTGTCTTACAATGGCCGTTATTACGCCGTCGTTCAAAGGAACATTGTTTTAGTTTTATTATCTAAATTGTTATGCTCAGAAAGATGCTAGGATTGCTTTACTGTCTCAGTCTCCCTTCAAGTGTACAAGTGGCTTAAATGCATGAGTTTTAATGATACTATAAAATGAACAATGACAACCCAAGAGTAAATGTCGTAAAGAGTCAGTAGTATTGAGCGTGTAAGTCAAGTGCTTGGAAACACCCAGTCCAATTAAATTAAATTAAAGCAAACATTTCATAGTTATCAAAAGAACATTCCTTCCCTTTCCATGTTTGTGTTTGCTCAAAGGAAAATCCACATGAGACATATTTGTCCTTGGAGTGTTGTTTTTATCCAGACTGATGATGTTGGCCAGGTCCGTAGATCCAAGAGGATTTTCTCTTTTGTACCGTGTGCAGATCCAGACAATAAGTGTTTGACTTTCTTAATGTTTTTTTTTCTATTGAGGTGAAGGATTTTCTTTAACCTGCTTGTTTGGTCGAATCCGCTGGTTGTTCTCCTTTCATGTTGTGCTGTCTCTTTTGTTAGGTTGTCCTCGGTGTAAGGTGCAGGTCACGACTGTCCACGCCCCTGTGAGGCTTCCTCTTTACGTCCTCTGCACTTCAGTCCTGACAAACATCCGCCACCTCTTACTCACTGTGCTTTGATATGATACATTTTTACTGATTTAGTCCATATTCTAAAAAATGTTCGACTCAGTTAAGAGGATTAAATCCCACTTCAAAGGCCCCCACTTCCTTTCATTTTCTGGTGATTAAGAGGTGAACACTGGTTGCACTTATCAAGAGACTCGGCCGTTTTCTTTCTATGTAAGTCCAAGGCCAGCCACCTGCAACAGAAAGGATTAAGATAAGTTGAGAAAGAGTGAAAGGCTTCATTTATGGCCAACCTGTTCATTTCATTCGTGTCATTTAATAAAGGACAACATCTGCTGTGTTTGTACACAAAACAGAATATTGGGAAACACTCCAAACATTCGCTCTTTCCATAGTTAGACTGGTTGAGATCAAGTGAAAATAAATTATTTTGAAATGAAATTGAGCTCTGTAATAGCAGGTATATAGCAGGAAACTTTGAAATCATAATTATTTACCGTGGGTTTATCGAGGGAAAACAGTCAGATCTCCACATTGGGGTCTGTGAATCCTTTTTTCCCCTCGTTCACAAGTACAGGTTTCTCCGTTCTCGTGTGCCAAACAAGTATCTAGTGAGAAAAAAAAAACATATGGGAACACAAACAACAGGAACATTAGTGCATGCTTTTCCCTTAATGCACTCATTCAGTGTTCTGTCCCTTTGAGCTCTCACTCTGCTTCGTTTTCTTCAAAACATTCAATTATGGACATAGATCCAAGAATACATACACCACACCAACACGGGCCTGTGTTCTATTTGTAGTTCTTTTGGATGTGCATCACTGAGGCTGATGGGATACACATCATTGCCAATGGTCGGGTTTTAAAGATGCATTTGAAGCATTGGTTGCTCTGACAACCAATCAGAGCAACAGAACGTGAATCGCAGCTTTAGTAATATATTTTGTCCAGTTTGAATTCAGATGGCTTCTCTACATCTGCGGCAGCCATCTTGGTTGTTAAAGAAAATGCATCTGTAGTGCTCCCACTGGGACTTTTCTGTCAATTTTTCAAAACCTTCCCATTTTAGATCAATGGTTGTGATTGGTATGACCAACTCCAGGACAGATGGACATCGGGGAGCTGATCCATCTGTGAGAGTGAATAAACATGAATTTGCTCATTGTTCCATTTTCCAGGTTAAGGAAACATCTATCTAAATATACAATCTAGACTCAGTAGAGTGCATACCTCCACTAAGGCCCAACAGTCAGTTAATTCAGTCAAGGTACACCGAATTGTAAGCACTCTAGATATCAGTCCCCTAAATTTTTTTTATCACGATCATTGGATTATTCCTTAGGAAATTGGTAATGGACAAATGGACAGGTGTAAAAACAGAAATTCCTTGGGGGAGGTAATTATTGGGCATAATTCTAAATTATAAAGATATATGGTCTCTACTAATAATTGTATGATTAAATCATGTATTTTACAATACATAATTGTGGCTATTTCATTGTCAACTGAGGGTAATCATTTGAATTCCACCATTCCTTGTGAAGAGAGCTCTTGAGTCTGAACCTTGCATTAGCAGGACTGAGAAGGAAAACAGGAGTGAGTTATATTATATATAGAATGACACAGTCCTCTCCTGATCATAGGATAATGGCTACCTTCATTATTCATTCAGAACAGTATGATCTTTTGCAGCAGCACTTGAGTTCTTTGCAGAGTTCTTCTGGGTATGCTAGTGCTATCAAGCTTTCACACTGGGTTGATTTGGCCCCAGAGACCAGACAAACATCCAGGAAAAGGATAGCAAGGAGAACGGGAGGGGAGAAAAAAAAAAAAAAAGTGTTGAGCTCATTTCCCCTCTCTTCTCTGCATTGGAACCCTCCTTCCTTTCATCTCTCTGTAGCGGCGTTCATGAATTATGCAGAGGGCGTTTGAGATGTGCCAGGAGCCCACTCCCACTTTGCTCAGGTGTAGGGGGAGGTTAATAGTCACACTGGCATCTGAAGAGGTGGATTATAAGGAAGAGAGATGCCCATGCACGACTTTCCATTTTATTTTCCCTCTTTCTCTGCTTCCCCTTCTCTCCATCCCTGCACTCATCTGTAATCAGTGTGACGTCCCTAACCCCCACCCACTCAACCCCGTGCAAAAAAACACCTCCAATTCCGCTCCCTTGGCCATTTCCTCAATCCCCTCTTTTCATTTACCCATCTGAATGGCTAGGGGATGGCAGCAGAAAAAGCTGGCTGAAAATGTCTCTCTCTCCCTGTGTATATGTGTGTGTGTGTACGTGTGCGTGAGTGTGTGTGTGTGTCTCTCGGAGTGATCGCAGTGTGGATACTGACAAGCCAAAGTCCTCTGGCTGACTCCTCTTTGCCCAGAGAGAGGCTTAGTGAATTGACCCAGACGAAGGGCTGTAAGCAGGAATGGTGGAGCGGGCATGGAGAAGAACGATGGTACGGCTCCAGACAGCTGAAAGCCTCTCGTACAAGTGTGTGTATGTTTCTTAATGTGTACATGTGGGCAGGATGAGAAATATTGTATACATAATACAATCAATGACCCCCCCACACATAATATGTATATATATATATATATATATATATATGAAATATATCTCAGATTACATTCCTATCTTCAAATGTAATTATATGATAATAGCGATAGTTATGACAGTGTTCCTAATCTTTTAGCTGATACGCAGGTTTTTTTAATATGTTTAAGCAATACCAAGAATGGCCAGTAAGTGAAAAACGGTATATCATCTATGGGTGTAGTTTACCTAATTAGAATGAGTATATACTTGGTACTTCAATTAAAATCAAAACAATATTGGTAAGGTCAAGGCCTTACAAAATGATGGAGAAAGTCAACTGTTTCTACAATGAGCACGGTCATGCTCTGTATACTTGGTAAACCAAGTACGAATGATAATAAATATGAACATAATCTTTGTTTAAATTTACCTTTTAATAATTTTTTCACATACATTTATGTAAACATTAAATATGTCTCTATTTTCTGATTTTACGAGAACATTAAGGTAAAAATAAAATCAAACTATAACCCAACCCAACCAAGATATTGATGAGATCCTCAGCTTGCTCAAATAACCCCTGTCCGTACATTGGCACCCACTGAGGACCTCTGCTACTCAGCTCAGGGTACTGATCTTGAGAAAGAACTCAGCTTTAGTATTCAACTCATTTGCCATTCAGGTATCTTGAATGTGTCATCTTGAGTCAACTGTTCCCCTGGAGTCAATGTTGCAACATTATCATACAACGCAAGGTAGGTCTTGTCATTTACCCATCTCTAAAGAGCAGAATTCACAGAGTCGACTGCAGCCTGCATATCAGAGACAGTTTTGGCATTCCAGCTCTTAAGTAATGGCAGAGGCAAGTGTGAGGCCCAACACAGTCTTAATTGTTGAAGTGCTGAAGCCTTCCAAGATGTGCTTTTTGCTGTGTCCAATAGGCTGCCAAGTTCCAGCTCACAAAGCTCTAACACAAGGTAGTGCTATTATAAGACCTCCACACAGTCCACCTTGATGGGCATGTGGACCGCAGGGTCATCAGAGGTGTATTTTTGGATGTAGCAATGGTTCCAAACTTGCTCTTAACCTTTCCTGGCTGGTCAAAGAGGATGTCTAGCTGGTGGACCCCAAAACAATGTCCAAAATGGCAGTTCGGAACAATTGGAGAGACTGAGCATTCAGCCTGTGTAATCATGACAGGCAGTGTGCACCACAATGCACATGCAGGGCTAATTGCTGCAGCCTCCTCATAATTGCCTGTTCCTGTTTGTACTCTCCTCTCGTGAGTCTTCAGATTGAACATCAGCAACACATCACGTGCCACCATTGCAATGCCTTGGCTTGTTATCTCGGACAATTCTGTGTGGCTCAACAAGCTCCTCACATGAGACGAGGGCATGGTCCACAAAGCACAAATATCTAACATCTAACTATCCTGTTCAGGCCACCGCACGGTATCATACCAGTTGGCTGCAATGATGTAGCTAGAATTCCCAAGCTCCTTTTCTCCACCCATGTGTTTTCAATTGATTTTGTATAAGTATATGTTCAAGAGGATCACAGGGGAGAATGTGCAAACCAGTAGCCTCACAAATCTGTAAAAGCTCAATCAAGTTTATGGCAAATGACAAGTTGCCCTGTTTACCTTACCAGTGACCAAAGGAAAGAACCGTTCCTGCTAATAAAATTGAAAACCCTGTGAACGATTTAATGCTGCCTTCCTTTTCAAACAACTTTATAGCTTTAAGTTATTCTAAAGGAACACTGACGTTAAATCGGGAGAACGGTGCCTTTTTCATTCCCACTCCGCTCCCTGATTGCCTGTTCTTGGACTATGTAACTGGGTGGGTGCAGTGCTCACAAGAAGGGCCAACTGAATGATAGTCATTGGCTTAAACTGTCGGAATCAGGCCCAGCAAGTTCAGGAGTGATGCCAAACTGTACATCAGTTTCATAGACTTAGAGGTAATTTAAAACCAGTGTTTCACTCTTATATCCATCAAGAAAACGTTTAAAATATCAAGAATTCCAAACACACATTGACAAGTTTGTTACTAAGATAGCATATCTGGTTTGGGAACCCAGGGATCTCGAGGAATATCCACCACTCAGCTTTGTTTTAGTTCAGTGAGTGGGACGATGCAGTCAAAATTTCAAAAAGGTTGGAAGCAGCTGTCGAGATTCTTAAAATCACAGTAAATAAGCAAATAAGCCATTTTTTGTCCAAACATCAAATTATTCCTTTTGATAGTCCCAGTGGTGTAATTACCGGAAGCAGTTTTCCCCCATTTTCTTGATTAATTTGTTCATGGGAAGTTAGTTTCACAGCTCTTTCTGGTTTTTCTGTAGAAGTCGTACTCTTTCTTGCATCAGCAAGGCAGTTAGCTTGCAGTGGCATAAAGCTACAAAGTTTTCTATTACATAACTTATGAAAACATGATAATTATCTCTGTTGCTAAGGGTTTAATTCAGTAGGGGGCCTGATTTCAACACTCTCAAAAATAGATTGCAGATTTCTTTTTACTTTATTTCCTAACCCTTCTGAATCAATGGTGACTTGTACTGTGTTTTAAAAAGTTGGTTTAACACTTATTACTACAACATATTTAACGAGATGTTTTCAAGGTTATATCCCCTGGCATGCAGGTTATTTTATTACTATGCTAAAGGTGGTGGTGGAAAGGAACTAAGTATGTTTACTTAGTAGGCTACTTTATGCAAGCGTAATTTTGAGACACTCCTCTCCACAATATTTATATTACTATAATTTTACAGATAAAGATTTTACATTGCAAACAAATGATAAGCTTTTAAAATACAACATACTGTGAGAGATTAAACCTGTGGTGCCCAACCTGCTCTCACAAAAAGCAAAGTCTAGACCTGGCTGCTTGTTACTGTGCATCTCAGATGACTGTGGCTTCTGCCTTTCTTTTAAAGAGACATTTTTCTTTAGAACCCATCAGTGAAATAACAATTTTATCACAGAAATACTCAAGATAAGAGAAAAGTCTAACAGATGAAATCAGATTTGTGCATCAGAACATTGTTTTTGCTACTTTCCCTTCATCAGCTCACAAGCCCTCAGCTTTTTCACGTAACCCTTATGGTGAGCTAGCCCCGTGGGTTGAGAACCACCTGACTAATACAGTTAATTGTATATAAAGAAGTTTAAATAAGCTTCACAATGATTACAATGCATTAATGTGAAGGCATCAACCCATCAGGATCTGTCTAACAATGTCCTGTGTAATAATCAGTTACTGTGTCCATTGTAGAGTCTGAACTCAGGACGTTCATTGATTGGTATTTATACCTGAATATTTCTCCATCAGCTATGAACTGCTCCAATCAAGCTGCTTAACAGGATTCAACATAAAAGTGAATTACCTTAGTGCAATTGGCTGCTTTAGGCTCCAGGTCGTTGAGTGTGACTAGTTCCCGGAGCAAACTACTCTCTTGGTAGCCTCCCTTCACCCCACGAAGCTTAAAATATGCCTGTGGCTTGAAGAGGATGAGTCTCAGGTTGATGGCAAAGCCGGCCATGTCGATGGCAAAGGGCCGATGGGGGTCGAACACTGTCTTCCAGCCGTAGACCTTTCCAGCTGCATTGACCTTGGGGGACTCGTATCGCAAGCCGCCCACAAAGGCCACAGGCCACACTGAAACTTTCCGAGTCGATCTCATCTAGCGAGAGGAGAGTCAAGAAGAGAAATGAGGAGGCAAGAGGGCAGATTAGTCATCTATAAAAGCATACATGGTAGTGAGACAGTATTTGAGCATCAGCTGCCAGTGTTACAGCAGAGCACGGACCGAGGGTTTTTAGAGATGCTGCTATCATTCATTTTTAAAACAGTGAAATTGACCGAGCCATTGCGCCAGGTTGGGCTGAAACACTGTTGGACGAAGGCAGATCTCACACAGACACTATTAAACAGCTGCCCTACAATGAGATAATTACACACAACCATCTCTAAAGGGAGTAAACATGGACAGTGCCAAGAGGGTTTGAAGGAGCCAAACCATTAGAGCAAATGGCTCTGGTTGCTGGTTGGCTGAGGAGATTCTTCAAGGTAGAGCGCTGCCATCCTCTATTTTTTTGTCCTTTAATCTTCCAGCATCAAACGATCCTGCCCCCCTTCTCTTTGTGTGCTTCCCAGTTAGTGCCATTTGCAAGAGCCGCCCGCTGCAGTCATAAAAGGTAAGTTTTATAATGAGGGAAGAGTAAAGTTTAGAAACAGCAGTCATTTAATCGAACTCAATGCAATAGAAATTGTGGTGTGTGTGAGTGCATGTGCGGTAACCAGCATGTGTGTCTAAAGGGTAGAGTGCGTGCAGGAAATTTCTACATCTATGTGCACGCTTGTTTGCATATGTATATTTGTTTATCACACATTTTATTTGCAAATCAAATGCAAATAACCCTTTGAACATGAGTTACAGTGGTGTGTGATCTGATAAGCCGCTGTGTGGTCAGTTCAGGGGATCAGAGAGGAGCAGAGTTTGAACAGCAGGAGGTAGGCTGCATTGGGGCTTATGAGAATCCATAAATTTGAGCGTTAGGGAAAACCACTGGGCATCCAGATAACATTTGGCAGGATGGAAGGTCTTAATGAGCACTGGGTGTTAATGGAATGGAAGAGAGATTAAGTGCTTATATGCATGTGGCCATGAGATTGTAGAGCTATGTGTTCTTTTTTTTGTTCGCCACTGCTATATTGGTGTATGTGTGACCATTCCTTGAATCTGCCCTAGTTGGTGGAGGCATATTACTGCAGTATGTTGTAATGATGTTGTAATAAGTTTTATACATACACATCTGGGTTTAGTTTAAAAAACTGCAAAATGATGAGTTTTTCGAAGGGCGGTTGCACACACTTTCAGCTCTTGACTAATTTTATAAACGGCTGACACCACAGACATAATGACCGATTTTTAATCTAATAATCTTCAGAACGCACCAATGGGATGATTTGGCCAGAAAGTCAGACCACACACATGCTTTTTGTAGGACCTGATTTCAAAGTGGCTATTCCAGAGACATGAAAACTCACAGAAACAGAAAAAAAGCGATATCTTCTTCAGTTTGTTTAAGCCGGTTGGCAAACAACTTTTAGGCACATTACTGCCACCTTCTGAGCTGGAGTGTAGAACACTAGGGTTATTCAATGTGACTTCAGAAGTAAAACAAACATGGGTGATGACTGATGACGTGCTTTCTATAGAAAAAAAAAAAGAAAGAATGGATGAAATCATGATGCCAAAAGAAATATAAATTTTGCAGTGCAAGCTGGAGGTGAATTGGAAATGAATTGTTGTTTTGAGTCGCAGCTGTACAAGTATGCTACATCCCGTTGGTGACGCTTCCCGGTCAGTTTGCTCTCTTGATATTGTGGGTTTCTGTCGAAGCCGATTATCATAAATACTGATATTTAAGATTAAAAATAGGAGCGGCTGCGACTCAATCAGAAGCACTAAGATTATTTTGTAAACCCCTCACACTTCAGGATTATTTGGGCAGACAATCAGCACCAAGTGACCTCCAGTTGGGAACTTGCCCCCCCTCGACTGTCGGAAGGGGCAGATCGGGTCTAAAATCGGCCTGATTATCCTCATGTGTGCCCTCCTTGAAGTCTCTACTGTTGCAATGCATTTTGTAGCTGGGCCATGTCACCTGCCTGCTTCCCCTTCCCCCAAAGGTTTGACTTCAATCAAAATGAGCCATAAATCAGGCTCCTCACAGGCAGTGTCAAGAGGATTGTCACTTTCCCATCTATGCTGAAAATGTGAAGTGAGGATTCTACCTGTTGAGTCTGGAGGAAAAATCAACCTGAGTAAAGCAGCACAAATTCCTCCTCCTGCTGGCAGCCAGACAAATGGACACAAAGCAAAGTTGCACTTCCAGTTCTGAGGACTATGATGTGTTTGAGTGGAGTTTTACACTGTTGCTTCAGATTGTTGTACCAAATGTGTTGGAAGTTCAATTTAGACATTTCCCCTCATTATTATTTTTATTATTTCAACAGCAGACTATTGTGTGAACTGTGAGGTGATTGGAAATGTACTGTTCTGGTGTCAGGCTGTGGCAGCTGAAGTGAGCCACTGCTGCTACAGTGAAAGAACTGTAGACGAGCACAGTCAGAAATTAAGTCTTTTCAATGCCACCTACTTTCAGGATTAATTAGTGAGTCAGCCAAAAAATGAAACGTCATAGTCGAATTTAATAAAGAGTAAGTCAGTGGTAATAAATATGATGATTTTTTTAATGTTGTGTAGATGATATTTGAAGTTGTCCGTATAAGAATTAGATATACGTATGCAATAACTTTGTGTGTGCTACACTACATGCTGGTGATACCACATAGTTAGTCTGTTAAATGAAAGTGATTCAAATTGTGTTTACACTTTTACTTCCTCTCTTCATTATTGTGAGCTATCACAGGCTGTGAGCTGCACTGTAAACAATGAGTTATTATATGATGGATAAGCTCCAATTTTGAGTTTGATGTTATTTTTTATTACTTTCAGATTACTGTCTGTGAAAACAATACTATGAAAATATTTCAAGGATTTTCCTTAAGGAAAAGCTTACTTGCTTGATTTCACTATTTTCTTACACCAAGCTAATCATGTTTGCAGATGAAATTATCTTTTGTTGTTAGATCTGAAAATGCATTTTAATGACGTCTTTTTTTAAATCCCATGTTTGATTCACCTGGAGAAAATTATAATCCATTTTTAACACCTGGAGTGGAGCAAAACAATCTTTCACCTGTATCTCCACACTTAAGGAATCACTTATTTGTCTGTCTGTTCTCAACCCATTGAGGCACTATGAATATTCATTCTCCTGTCAGCAAACTATTGGATTTTTACCGTGGTGTCAGCAAACTATACCGCAGTTGCAGTCAGCTGTCTACTTGGCTTTCACCTTTACCTTTTCTCTCATTCTTTTTCCATTACTCCCTCTCCCCTTCTATCTCCCTTGCTCCCTCACTCTCGCTCCCCCTCAGGGCTGTTACCAGCCCATAAATAGGCCTGTTGGAGGTGATGGAGGGCCTCTGAGGGAGATGAAGCACTTCGGCTGATTCCCAGAGAAAGGTAATGACAGGCCCCGTCAATACCCGGTGCTCCATTTACTACAGCCCATGTCTGCACTGCTAACAAGACTTGAGGGTAATACTCAGAAGACCCAGACCATGTCCTCTCAGGTAATTCAAGTGATGTCAAGATGGATGGCCTGAGATGTACTGATTATGTGCCCAAACGTCTCTCCAGCTTCAAATCACCGACTACGCTTGTTTAGAGCTAAAAAAAAATCTGACAATTAATTTTTCAACCTCTCTTACATGTATGCCACCAATGCCTACATTACCTGGCAGAGAAGTTTGCTATACCTATATAATATACTGTATGTTGCACTTCATATGTATCTTCACATAGAACTTCATTTATAGGGATGGATCCACAAGAAAACATTCATAAAACATCATCATCATTTTGTCCAACTCAAACTTTCCTACATCCCCATGGTATGTATCCTATCCTTGCCTGTTTATTGATCAATGCTGATCAATCCTCAGTAAGACGAATGGCTGCTGATCATTCAAGCTTTCCAAACAGGCAGAACAAGCAGGTCTCAAATGGGAAATGTTTAAATCTTCCAAAGCTTCTTAATTGCACACAGTTTGCCCTGCACATTTTCTTTTCCAGTGCAGCATTTAAAAAAGATAGGCAGGACTTGAGTGTATAGTTGGTAATGAACAGGACAATGTTTGAGGTCAGAATTTATGTGATGGCTAGAGGTGATTGGATTGCGGCAAGAATGTAGATGGATGGATTGATGGATGAATGGAAGGATAGATGGATGGATAGATAGGTTGTATATTTGTCTGTTTGTCAGCAGGGTTACTCAGAAACTACTGAACTGATTAACATAGTTAAGAGGGGGTGGGGCATGATCCAAGAAAGAAACCACTACATTTTGGAATGACTTTGAATAAATGTGTGGATCCCATGGTCCGTTTACAAAGATGGACGACGCGTCTCCACTTCCTCCCACTATCCAGAAATGAAGCTAAAATATTCCGGATAGAAACACTTCCATCTTGTGCATTTGAATGCAGAGTCTGTGCAGAAGCGATCAGGGGATTAAGGCACTGTTGCGACGGTCTGTTGATTTGAGCACTGAACCAATCCTGAGACATAGCTGTTCATCATGACAAACTGTTTTTATAGCATCAAATAAATAATGAAAACCAAACTTATTGGAAGGACGAGCACTTTAACATAAATCATTGTGATGAGAAACCACCTTTGAGTAGAGAACAATTTATTTTGGATGGATGGATCCATTTTCCATCCATTAACATGGAGGAGTCGAGAGTTATGACCTATACTGCAGCCAGCCACCAGGTTGTGATCGACAAACTTTGGCTTCACTTTTGGGAGCCGTCATGTCATCCATCTCTATATACAGTCCATAGCAGATCCAGGGTTTATTTTTATTATTTATTAGCCTTGGCTGAGGTATGTGCTATCCAAGTGCCGTGTAAGTTTACCGATAGTGCCTTTTATTGTCATAGTTACTATATGCCCCGCATTCGTGAAAATAATACTTTACTGTGATTAATGAGAGTTTATGAAATGAACATGACTGATACAGCAGCAGCAGTGATGTTGTATATCAGCACTAACCTCCTCAAACAGCTCCAGGCTGTATGTGTTGTCATCATCAGCAAAGTAGACGATTCCAGCTTGACTACTGTTGGCGTTGAAGGTCTCCCTCAACCACCGCAGGGCCAGATTCCTTTGCATGGTCCCTCGCGGTATTCTGGGGTCCCGAGTGTCACCCCGCAGCTTATAGTTCCTGGGCGTCTCTACATTGAGGTGGGTGTAGTTCAGCCCTGTTTCTCGTAGGAGCCTCGTAACAAGAGGCGTTCTCCTTTGTGAGTCCTCCACCAGGATCCAGTGCAGGTTGGGAACATGGAGGAAGGTGTTTGCCAGCCGTGTCAGCTCTGCTTTCTGCACCGGTCGACTGTATGTAGGGGTGATGATGTGGATAGTAGGCAGCACATCAGACCAGGGTGGAGGCCGTGTATACACATATTCTGTCCTTACCACCTCCACTATGTCCTTATCTGAGGCACAGTATTCTTTGGAGTCCTGCGCCTGGCCGCCTGCTTCCCTCTTCCCCTCGACTCCATCATCTGCAGATTTGGAGATAAGAGCACATGTAAGGTATTAGTGCAAACTTGTGCCGCCCTTTGTATATTTGCCTCAGGTGACTTAAACCCAATGGGGGTAAAGTGTACCTGAGAGCCGGTGGTGGCGGACTGCAAGCCTCTCTGGAATGATAAAGATCTCTTTTACTAGGTGGTGACAGGCTGCAAAAAGTGAAAGCAAGCACCGTGAGAGGGTACCACAGCTGATGGACACAGAGAGAAAGCGCAAGATGAAGGAGGGATGAGATGAGCCTCTTTATTCCCCCAGCGTTGCTTTTGGGTTTTCTCTTTTTATGTCGAGACTCCCACCTCAGACTCCCTCATACCTGCTTTTGCTGCTCCACTTCAACAACATGCTGTGTTACTTTCCTGCAGGAAACAAAGCCGTGCATTTTGGTTCAGAGATGCCTAAGCATGGATAAAACTGCTATGATTGCTGCGAGCTGGGTCTAGCTGTTCAAAAGCGTTTGTAATGAAGAAGCATTAACATAAAGTTGTTGTTGTTTTTCGAGGCAAGGGCATGTATTTGCATAAAGTTAGTGTGTGGTTCAAGACCTAAACCAACTTTATTTTAATTTTAGGACTTCTGGTGGGTGGAAGGATACATTGTTGTTTCAAGATCAAACTGAACACGAGGCTTGTGCTCTCTCCACACTAATTGAGGTATTTTTGATAACATATTTTTTCCTCTGTGTTTGGGCCTCTCCTTCACACTGAAACAATATTTTAAGTCACTACAAGAGAGAATTTAACAAATGCCTTCCAAATTGTAGATTTTCAAAAATTCCATCCAAACTACTAGTTGTATGGCTTGATGTTTACTTCTGTGAGGGGGGGCAGATGAATCAGCAAATGCTACGTCATGATGAAAAGACCCAATCAGCAAGTGGTTGTGAGTGTCAATCTCATAATTTTCAAACATCTCTGTTTCTACCCGTCCACACTAAAACACCATGTTTACACTAAAATGGGACAAGAAGTGCTTCCAAAATTCTCTTCTTTCCAAAGTGTATCCATAGCAGAGTTTGCAAATGAAAACATAGTAGTATGGGTGTAGCCTTAGCCACTGCACAGGAGGAAAGATATAAATGTTGTGCATGATTTAGTTGTTCCTTATATAAAAGGATAAGGCTCTTTAATTGACTCCAGTGATAAAACCAATTTATTTTCCATGAAATATAGTATTTCGGCCACTGTAGTTTGGTCATAAATGAATAGAAAATGATAATAGAATCATTAATATTCTTAACTTCCTTTCATTTTCCCACAACTAATGTTAATCTTTGTCATTGTTCTGCCTGAGTTCCATTTGCACCTCCATCATAAAAGAGGATTTTTCTGCAGCACGTAGATTACCACAATCCGCTGATGGCCAGATGTTCAACAAAGGCTGCCAGTGAGCATGCTGCCAAAAAACCTCCAGCTTCTCTTTTGAGAGCACACAAAAGCATGGCAGTCAGAGCAGGGTCAGATAGCACTGGCAAAAATATTTTTAATTTTTACTGTATCCCATAAGAAAATAAAATGACTTTCTCCATTTAATTGGAGGAACCTTTCCCCCGTATAATTTCGATATGCAGTGAAGAAAGTACTGCAGTATGCATTTTAATGATTGCTGGCCGAGCATATACTATTTTAAGCCTTTGGACGACCTACAAAACCGAATTAGTAAAAATGATTTGGAAAAGATCAGGAGTCCAGGCACAGCCCATGGTCGTTTTTTGTAAACCAGTTTGGTTTGTTAACCCCTCTATGTGCATTCATGGCATTAGAGAACTCCATTGATTTGCTGTCGCTCTAATGTGGGTTTGTTTACTCTGCAGCATACTTGACATTTCGTTCAGTTGGTTTTTGGTCCTGAGGGGATGATAGGAAGGACTCATGAGTGCATATTAATGACTGGCTGGTGTGCAAATGTGTTTGGATGCAAGATATTCCATGAAGCTAATCGAGCAGACACATTTATATCGAAGGTTGCTAATTAATAAACTAAGATTTTTTTAAGTTGGGGAAATGTTACATTAATGTTACATAAATCTATTGAATAACTTGGACATACAATTGTATACTGTATGCTGTGAGAATAAATTAGGGATTGATTGAGTGGATAAGCTGTGAAGTGGCATTGTTTTGTAACATACTTTATTTTTAGCAGAAGAAATAGAGTTCGATTCAAATTACAGAGTGGATTTAATGAATTAAAATTATATAAAAACATTCTTAGAATATTAAACGGTCTGATGAGGTTTACAATGACTGGACAAGTGCTATTGAGAGCCGACGGAGCATATGATCATGGCCAGTGAGTGCCTCTAAATGAACCACCTGTTGTCTCAACCTGAAGTGGAGTGATAAGGTTCGAGGACCCACTTTAGGTTTGATATTGCCAGTGAAGTGCTGTGCACTGCGTACCCTTGCGGATGGCGAGGAGTGGAGCTATAGCGCTTTGGTGCCAAACAGTGATGAGCAGAGTCCAGGGTAAAACGATCAACACGATGGCAAGAATATCTCTTCTCTTCGGCATCTCCAGGATTGGTTATTTGGCTCGGCATTACCTAGAGAAAAAAAAAGCATTTTATAATAAACTGGAATTCAAGATAATGACCGTAATCCTTCAAGTGTAACGTCACCCAGGGGCTGCCTCCTTCGGAGGATGCCGTCTACCTGGCCCATGAACCTAATTTTTGAAATGAGACAAGTCTACAGAGGCTCATGTGTCACCGAAGCACAATGAATCCTGCGATACTTTCTCGGTCTTTGATGGAGCTTCTGAAATGGGTCTAGTCAGTAGAGGGTGCAGTGTTGACTTCAAACACTTTACACTAAAATGTCAAGATTTAGACCTGAATCAACTAACATTACTAACTGCCTGAATATGTTTCCGGCTAAAAAAGTGCTGTCAGGGTACAATTTTTAAACTTACGGAGGCACAGAGTTGCAGTGTATTGCTAAATCTCAATTACCTGGAAATGGGAAGCTAATTGTCAGGCCCCTAATCATCATTAACTGCCTCAGAAACATCATATTATGACCTCCGGACAATGGAAGTGAAAAAATACATTGCTGGTGACACAAATTAGCCAACAGTCTACTCTGTGCTGTTGAAATTAAATAAAACATTATATTGTCTAAAAGGCAGCTGCATTACAGCCTCACCAAATTAAAATGAACGATACAATGGAGCAGGTGAATGATGTCACATTAATTCAGGGGTTACATGAAAGAAAGCTTTGGTTTAAAGCCGTAACTAAGCATGTCAGCCAACATATGGAAGGTCAAAGCCACTGGAGGAGGCCACAGAGCAAGAGCTAGTTCATTCTGCCAACCCAGTGAGCTCATCGGTGCCATCCCCGAGGACAGGGACGTGACTTCATGCCCAGTGCAGAAACTATTCATCAGCCAAATGGCAGGAAACGATGTCACCAGGCTGCGGGTTGACTGTTTGGCAAATGTGCACCGACCCTCTGAGTCCAGATCACTTCGTTCAGCTTTGTATCCCTTTGAAAATTTTAATTACAGCATGACAGAAATTAGCCAGGGCAGGCATTAACTGGAATGGCATGACTCTTTAGCCTCTTTAAAACCATCTCTTCTTCATGCTATGTGGCGATTTTTAGGTCCAATGAACATAGATATATATATATAAATATCATAAAACATTTGCATTCATTTTAGATGTGTGTTTCTATGAATCTGAGTAGTTTAGACATGTATATACTGCAATTAATTAATATATCTATGAACAGTACGTTTAAGTTTAACCTACATACTCTACTCAAATGGATTTGGTTGGATATAAAAAAAATCAAGAAATATAGAAAATATAATAACAACTAGAATTTAACTCAGTAGAGTGTGTACCTCTGCCAGTCCCCTTATGAAACCACTAAATATCACACAATCATAAATATCAGTCCCCTTAAATTGCCTTAACTTTTTTCATGAATAATATTTTGAGAAATTGACAAAAAAGTCTTGCAATATAACAATGATCTGCCCCTAATCCGGATCAACACCTAAATAGAATGGGTTCTTCCTTGACACTGTATTGAAGTCATTTTAGTAGTGTAATCCTGCTAACAAAGAAACGCTGAAGAAAACATAAGCACTGGGGTAAATATGAAAAACATATTATATTATATATCACTATAATTATTATAACCAATTTATAGAGATTATACAGGTAATAGATTCTGATTCTCTCCATGTTAAGACATTAAATAAATAAGCACACAATGACATGATCACAACATTTTTAGTGTTTCACAATTTTTTTGCTCATTTACACTAAATTATGCTGAGTCCTCTTTGAAAAAAATGCAGTTATTAACTGATCAGATCAAACAAAGGAAGAAAAACAAACAGAAATGATGTGAGCACAGATGTTTGCTGTATTCATTTCAGCTTTACACCTGAGGAAGCAAGTCATTATGTTCCCCTCAGTGATGCTGCTCCCACTGCTTTGGAAGGTGGCAGAATATTTCGTGGCTTTATATAATTCTGCATGGCAATCATGCTTATTGAGCTTTGAAAATAAATACACCATTAATGCCCACGCCATCAGGTGAGAGTGGCTTGAGTGTGAAAAGTTGTTACTAAAACCCTACATACACCAGAGCTGTTTCTGCTGATAAAAACGTTTGTTCCAAAGAATTTTAAAGTGGTTTTGTTTTTTAGCAGAGAGAGAGCAATGTGGAAAATATACCTCTGTGTGCTTTTGTAGAAATACAGTGACTTGTGCAGAAAGTGACGTTACCCATATGCCAAGTTCTTGAAATGATGGAAATATCAGTGTAAGACTCAGTTAATATCTTCAGTCTTGTTTTGAAAAGCTGTATAATCTCTTTAAATGCTACATAAATGCATAAATGCTAAACGCTGCCTCTTAATATTTTTGTCTTGCACTTTGGAACAGCTCAGTCGTCACCAATATGGGTTAGCTACAAAAATGCTGGCTCTGAACTCTGAACTGGTTCTGAAGTCAGTGGAATGTCCCTTTAACAACACTGCTTGCATAAGATTAATACAACGATATGAGTGAAAAAAATATTTTGCATGCTTACCCACAGTTAGAACTGGATTATGTCACCACTGGTGATGCGCAGCACAGAAGGCCACACTATGAACTGGACGAGTGTCGTATCAGTGGCGTCCTCCATCTCAGCCGACCATTTCTTGTTTGCTTTCTGACGGGGAACCTCAGGTCCAGATCTGAAAGATAAAGACGTTACAGTTTATATGATTCAGAGATGACAGATTGTGAGAGCTTCTACTTGTCTGCCACCCTCCTCCACACACACACACACACGTTTGTAGTTCTATCTTAATGAGGACACTCATTGACATCATACATTCCCAAGCCCCTTACCATCAAAACTACATGCCTAACCCATGTCATAACCTCATCCTAATTCTAACCCTTAAACAGCCCATTGAAATTCTCATTGCGTGAGGACCTCACTTTCCAAAAATATCCTTCCTCTGTTGGGTAGAAATATAGAAAATATAATAACAACTAGAATTTAACTCAGTAGAGTGTGTACCTCTGCCAGTCCCCTTATGAAACCACTAAATATCACACAATCATAAATATCAGTCCCCTTAAATTGCCTTAACTTTTTTCATGAATAATATTTTGAGAAATTGACAAAAAAGTCTTGCAATATAACAATGATCTGCCCCTAATCCGGATCAACACCTAAATAGAATGGGTTCTTCCTTGACACTGTATTGAAGTCATTTTAGTAGTGTAATCCTGCTAACAAAGAAACGCTGAAGAAAACATAAGCACTNCATAACCTCATCCTAATTCTAACCCTTAAACAGCCCATTGAAATTCTCATTGCGTGAGGACCTCACTTTCCAAAAATATCCTTCCTCTGTTGGGTCTTTGCTTAAAATGGTCCACACAAAGATATAAGTACAGGAACACACACACACACACACACACACACACACACACACACACACACACACACACTCACTCACTCACTCACTCACTCACTCACTCAAACCAGCATGTGAGATTCAAGTCAGCCAGGTTTTAACATCGCGGTTGGCGCAGGGTCTAAGAGTCAGGTCTTGGCCACAGACTTCATTAGCGGTGAGACTGTGTGTGACGTCTATCCATTATTTAACATCAGAGAGCCGCGGCCTCAGAACGCAGCAGAGCAGAAGTCCGTCGGTATATTGTAAATAACTTTAATTTGGATGCACATCATTCACAGGAGGACTCCCTCTCCTGGTGGTATACCACTGCTGTGCTTTACTGTGCACAATTTCTATTCATGTGTGAAATGTTCATATTCATTTATGTGATTTAACCTAATTGAGAACAATCTGAAGTGCACACACAAAAATGTGTTTTTTTATGTGTAATGTGGAAACTGGAGGAGGGTTAGTCACAACTCCTCCGCCTGCCAACAGTCTGGGGTGGGGGATGTTACAAAAATAAACTGGCATCATGTCTTATTCAAATACATCTGAGGGAAGGCTGCTTCTATGAAGGCTTATGCTTCACTCAGCGACTGATGTCTGCATGCTGCATCAGCTCCAGAACTGGATGATCCAAGACAGTTTCTTAGCGGCTTTGTCATAGAAAAATCATATAAACTGCAGATATGTCTGTTCTGTGGAATGAACAGCAAGAGTCCCAGAGTCTTTGTCTTAGCGAGGCACACGGTTGCATAAAAAGGCAAATTGCCTGTGACCCAGTAATTCAGGAGGGGTGGTTGCGGATGATATGCACAAAATTTAAGAACAATCTATTTTCAGATTTGCCCTGACTCGTCGCTGAATTTCTCAAAATGAGGGAGCGTGCTTCTGAGGGTTGACGTCAGTTGTGTGGAAAAAGCAATAAAAGATGAAGAGAAGAAACCATCTTGATGGGTTAGTGCTGTATCTGCTGTTTTATGACAGCGACAAACAAGAACTGTGACCAAAAAAATGACTAAACAGCAGAGATAGATTCAATTGCTTCCAGGTACTGTCATGCATGCAAGCGTGCAATGACAGTGTTGTCACTCTGATTTCTGCAGAACACACTCCTCTCCTCGACACACTGTGATGGAGCTAAACAAGAAAACACTGTGTTGTACAACCAGCTGCCAAAATCTCAGACCAACAGGCCGATGTAAAGTCTCAGCACTTCACATTTCTGATGGAAAATGTAGCTTAGCCCCTCTAATGCTGGACGGGGCCTCGTCTCTGCTGCCATCAGGCGGTATATTTGTAACAAATTGGTGACACCAGCAGATGTGCACGGAGGGCCTGGCGGCGAGGCCTCTGTATCCACCAACACCCAGGTGGCCTGTTTGTCTGTGGCACTTGCCCTGTGCGATGTGGCAAGAATACAGAGAGTGAGCGGAACACCACAGACTGCAGCAGCCAATGGCAGACAATGAAGCGTGACAGCCTTTCACATCAGCAGGAGTTAACCAGCTGTGAAGGAAACACCTGCCGCTGGGTTATAAAGAATCACAGCAACGAAGCCACGTGTGAAAATGATTGTGCTGATTGTTGAGCTAACACCATTACCCCCCCAAAAAAGGTGAATCGGGGGTGAAAGCGTCTGTTTTTCGTGAGTAGTTTTGAGTGCGTCTGCTTCTGAACGAGACGAAATGTGGACAACACTATTTCTAATGATCTCACTCATGTTTTACATAACGCGGCAGTCTGCCTCTTTTTATGAACATTGATTTTATGATTATCATTACAGCAGCCTATTCATGGACACTTTTACTGAGCTCAGATGTTAATTCTTCCCATATTTGTTTCTGTATAGGGCCTGAATGGTTTTATTTCCTCAGATCTCTCGCAATCGTAACTCATAGTCTTTCTCAGGAGATGAAAGTTTTATAAAGAAACTGGATGACTGCTTTTCGCATGCAACGGTAAGTCTGTAGTATAATTTTCAACAGCTAAAATCTTCCCATGTGAATTCTTAAAATGAGATGATTTTAAACTGAATTAGCATCAGTTTTAAAAGAATAAAAACTCTCAAGTCATAACATGAGGCTCCAGAGAGCCTTGTTTCATTTTTCTTTACATCACCCTGTACCGTTCTCTGTTTTTGTAACTTTTATTTTCAATGAAACTACTTAAACCACCGTGATCATCTTTAGAATTTTCACCAAGCAGGATGCCTCTGAATGATGATGTGGCCAAAATACCATAAAAAAGCCACTTCTACCAGGATCTTCAACTACATTTCATTGCCCTCCTCTGCAGTTGGCTTGTTGTCATGGAAACAGCTCAGTTGTCCACTATTGGGCTTAACACGAAGGTGAACTTTACTATTATCGCCTGTTATGACTGATTTAGGCTGTGATCTGATAACGGAACACAATCTGCTGTTTAAAACCACAAGATGTGACCGAAAGCACTGGTACAAAATGTTATAACATTTAGTCGACATCTCCAAGATAAAGAAAATAAGTCAACCCAACTTAACCCAAAATAATTTGAACTATGGACTCTCAAACTTTAATCCAATGCAGTGTTTAGCTTAGTTTCAGTCTCCAGATAAACTTGTTCTTTGGGCTATAAAATACTTAATAGGCCTCAGCCTGTATACTTTGATAATTTACGACATAGTTGTTGCAGAGTCATCGGGTCGGCACTGCTGGCTCACACACTTTCCCTCTTTTTTCTCACACTTTTTTTAAGCTAAGTCTTGGAGGACGAAACTGGGGCAAGTTTCCAACTTTGTAATCGAGTCTTGCTTCTGACTTCTGAGCTCCCTTGGCTCTGACCATCTCCTATTTCCAGAGGACCAATAATAACATCATCTCTTCCTTGCTTGCTTTGCTGTGGCATCATTTTGATGGAGTCTACAGTCAGCAGGGGAGAGATAGGCTCTCTAGAGATAGTGTGTCCTGGTATGTCCAATCATTCGCCTTTCATTAACAAATTCATCAGGCTGAGACTGACTTGGTAAAGGCTGGGAAAACACTTTTCAGGGATATGTGGGGAAGCTTAGATGACAAGTTCCTGCAATAGATCATTATTGATGTTACTGTCACGACTCCTGAAAAAACAGCTTCACCTAGAAGTGTCATTAAAAAGTCCATTTGAATCTGAGGGCATTGATTCCAAAAGGCTTAATTGGTTTTGAAGTCAGTTAACCTGGAGTGGGGGATTGGTCTACGCTTTCTCTGATGTTTCGCTGCTCACATTGTCAAGGCACAGAACCTTTAACCAGGTTTAACAAACCTACAGGGAAACTCACTGTGAAATCATAATGTGCCCTATCGAAAAGCAGGGACTCACAAGTTGTGGCTCCGCCTCTCAGCACTGGTTCTAAAGTTATATATTGATTTTCCAGGAGGAGACACTTCACCCAAGACTTAGGGGTGAAGTTACACTTTAATAACTCCATCTTTATTATATGCTTAATTTATTACTTTCACTTTCTGCTCAGAAAAAAAAAAGCAGACGCCGCCTCGTCGGCGTCGTCAAGAGGATTCTTAAAGAGGTGTGTGCACCGAGGCTTGAATCTGTTTGAATCTTTCCTCTTCCTCACAAGCTAATTACACTCACCTGTGGGCAGAGCAGGAGCCGACGACATGCTGTACAATATTAAAATGAAATCTTGAGCAGAGCAGGCAATTATTTCACTTTTCAACTGTTAATGAATGTGTTGAAAGTTCCTGGCATTAAAACAGTTAGGAAACTATCAAGGATCTTCATGTGCCTTGTGCTGAGGGGGGGGGGTGGTCTTTTTTCTTCCTTTATATAACACAAAAATGAATACGTTCCAGTTCTGCGCCTGCAAGTGCTTGTTGAGCTACACTACTCATATTCAAGGTTCAATGAAAGGTTGCCTTCACACCAGTTTTGTGTTACTTGTCCCATCAATCCAATTCACACCTGCCATGCACCAGGTCTCTTCAAAATTTGATCCTCTTCTCATGAAACAAGCGCCTGCTCAGAGTCAAGCTAATAATAGCAACGTAGGGAAGGCAGCAGCCTCTGCGCCTGCAAGATTAAAGACAGATATGTTGTTTACAATCATGTCATGTGCATGAGTTTACCTTCAATTCTGTCGTCTGGAAATGACTTATGATAAGAATTAATGCAGTATCATATAATTATAGTGTCTCAAGCATGATTAATACTCAGAAAACACGTGGACCTGCAATCTAACCCATTTTCTCCTTTTGCTGCACTAGCTAGGACAATCACTGCAAATGCTATTAATGCAAGTGTAA